TGTGGTACGCAGGATTATACTTTTTCCCACAATTCTGTTTTACATGAAAATCACCACATCTGGAGATTGCATGCACTTCACATGAAAATGCTCCAAAACCATATCTCACAAGTGAATTTGGCATGTGGTAGCACATGTAAAGATCAAGTGGTTTCATTGTTAAGCATATATTGCAGTGGCTGATTAATTAAAGGGATAGTTCACCCATAATTTTAAATTCTGTCATGAATATCTAGTTATGAATTTGTTTCTTCATAAATCTCAGTTTCTTCTGTCAAATGTAAGACACTGTGAAAAATGCTGGAAATCTGTAACCACTGACTTACATTGTATTTGTTGTTCCTACCTCAGAAGTCAGGTTTCTAGCATTGTTCAATAACTTATTTTGAGCTCAACAGAAAAAAAAAGTCAAAGGTTTGAAACCACTTGAGGGTGAGTAAACGGAGTACATTTTCATTTTTGAAGGAACTATCCCTTTAAAATGCTTGACCACAAAGTGGTTTACTGTTAATTATTTTTAATGAACATGTTAATCAGTCAAGCCTGATTTACATTCCAACCTCAGATGATGTAAAGGGATGTTTACATGTTTTCTTCGCGCGCACCATGACATTGCTCTTTAATACTGAACGAGATGACCAAAACCTCTGGGAAAGTTATCTTAACCAAGCAGGGGTATTTGAGAAAATGGGTTAGCGGGTTAGGAGTGTCAGACCATTATTCCAAGTCCAACAGAAACTCCTCAAGCGGCCGGATCCATAATGGTTTACCTGCCTCCGTCCGTCCTCTGGTTACATAACAGGGCGACGAGAGCGCGTGAGTCCGCCAAGAGAAAACGCGGCAAACGTGTGATTGTGAACACGGGAAAAATAACACTCTACATCAAAAAAACTAAGTGGTCAGACATGTAGACCAATTTTTTTACACAAGCAGTAAAGACGTTAAAATATCCTTTCATATCCTCTCATTCTGTGTGTGACTTAACCTGTTACATAACAGCTCTCCACACACACGCAAGCACAGCGCAACGCCTGCCAGACACTCGGGCGGTGTCTCCATACCAAACAAGCTGCCTTTTAAGACAGCATGTGAAGGCTACACAGTCGCACATGTTGTGGCAAAACCGCTGCACAGGCAAGCAGCTCAACCAGGTTTTGAAACACAGCCACAGACGAGCCTGCCAAAGCCAAGCGGACCTGAAATCTGCTCCGACGTCCTAAACTGTGTCAACTATGATGGTCCACCGAATGACACATTAACCGACATTTCTTTGATTTGTACCCCTAAATCACAGAGAAGGGGTGTGGCTGTCTCATGTAAAACAAGCGCTCATTTACACAATATGAAATCACCACTTTGCTATGCAAATGTGTCTGGTGCCCTTAAACACTGCTAGTGGAGATGCAACATATGGACACGGTTACCACAGAAATCGACTTAAATGAACACACAATGAGAAAAGGAGTATATAAAGCTGACAGGCGTGAAAAATGACAGCACTGTTTCATTAACTAGCAAACAGCATGGGAGCAATAGATCAGAAATGACAGGTAGTCAGTGGCCAGGAATGCTCGGACTAGTCTACAAATGTGTGTATTATTATTAGTTCAATTGCACTAGGCGTGCATGTGTACGCTGGACCACCACCAGGCCTCAATATATGTAAAATACCATGATGTTTTATCTATTGCAAATTCAGTGCTAATATGAAACAGCTTGACCACATGCAAGGACTGAAGTTTTAAGATCAAGCTCAAATTTGATCTCCGTGAACTTGGCTGAGCAGGAAAATAATCCACAAGCAAGTTTCGATTGGGTTCTTCGAGCTTACCCTTGTTGGTACTTGAGCAACTCTGCCGCCGAACTGGTGCTGGTTTGTCGGTTTCAGGCTTGCTGTCCGGTTTCACCGGGCTGTCCTCCACCGAGGCGCCCGCTTCAGAAGCACTCTTGCGCGGTACCGTCTCGGGCTCTGGCGGAGACTCCATGTTAATTTGCCGGCTTCAGTTACTAATACAACGGAATCGCTTTGTAGAACAGCTCGGGTTCGTTTTACATCGTCTTTTGGTGCGGATTGCACTTGAGCGTGTGACAGATCTGTTAGTGTTCATGAGAGCGGGTGTGGCCCTTCTGTCCACAGACAGCGCTGTTGAGCGCGAGAGACATGATGGTCACACCAAACATACACGGACACACTCTCTAACATTCCAGCAAAGGCATATGGAGCACATTTAACGTTTACATGACAGTTTATTGCGTCCAAATTCAGGCTGGTGCAACCAATATTCGCTTACATAACTATACAACCTAAATATAATTTGCATTATCAACAAATATCAATAGTTAGCTCTTTGTAGTAAGAATACACACAAAACATGCAAAAGTTAAGAGTTAATTTTTTTCTTAAAACTGAACTTAGAGTACCCTACTTCAATGATTCATCGAGCTGGTGAGCGAGACGTAAACAAAACATTCGCAAACCGCTAACGCTGATTCAATTCGACTGGCGACTGAATTTTATGAAGCAAAGGCAAGTAGAAAACATTAATGCATCACAGACACAGAAACAAAGAAAAAGTACACACAGAGGTTACTAGGGTAACAGGGAAACAACAATGATGTAATTTTCAGAGGACAAAGGACAGAGATAAGTTTTACTGCTTTCAAATTGACCAGAGCTCTGAGCAAATGAGCGCTATCAGATGTTTGAATGTCCCGCAAAAAAAAATGTAAAATTTATTTTTAAAAGATAAATATTTATAATTGAGCCAATTTCTCAAACAGCAAGAAAATGTACTTGTAAAACGAGACTGGATACAAATGAAAATATTATTTTACTATTGTTTTCATCAAGTTAAAAGATGCAAACACGATTTGATAGCGAAGCTCAATAACGAGAGTTCATTCATGCGCATTAACACTATTTGGCAGGTATTACTTGCTCGACTATTGGGAAACGCACGTCATCAATATTTAAGGTCAATTTGAGTGATTCATTTTGACATTTTAACTTGAGAATTAGTCCAACATTAGTGCGCTGTTAAGATTGTTTTGTCGTTAAATATTTCCCAACGCTCATTACGTCTTATGAGTAAACGCATGCATTTTCCCAATATTTCAAATGTTGCCTGGTCTAGACTTGCATTGCTCCCTCCCTAACGCGCGCGCACACACACAAACACACACAGCATGCTTGACATGTGATGAGCGAACATGCTGCTGACGTATTTCCGCTGAACGCAGTCTGCAGGAGGCGCAGCGCGTGGACCTCAGCGTGCACAAGTATTTTCATGCATTTCATATGATCTCATGTGGGATGAAGTTAATTTACAAGCACAATTACACCCCGCAACAATATTATATCTAAATAATTACAATATTCTAATCACAAGAGTATATTCATGAAAACTTGGGTTGATAAAGGGATTCTTTTAATAGGACAGTTGTTTAACATTAAAGGATACCTGATGACATATGGGGGATTTCTTTCATACTTTGATTTTCCAGTAACCCCAAAGGAATACGCCTCGGTAATTAAAGTTATCTCTTCTAGTATTGTTTCTTTATACTCTAAGAATGCATCCTTTCAGCTTAAACCTAGGCTGGTTTTGGAGGGGGTTTGGCCATTTCCAGCCTGGTCTTAGCTGGCTGGGAGATGACCAGCTTGACCAGCCTAGCCAGGCTGGAAGCCCATCTAAAACCAGGCTGGTCAAGCTAGTTTTAGCTGGCCATTTTCCAGTCTGACCAGCTAAGACCAGGCTGGAAATGGCTGGAAACCAGCCTGGAAATGGCCAAAACCCCTCAAAAACCAGCCTGGTCGACCAGCTAAAACCAGCCAACCAGGCCGGTTTAAGCTGGATTTTTGCTGATACTTTCTGTGGCCAAATTTGTTTTTCATTAAGCAAAAAGAATAACAATAAGAACATACGTCTACTATTCCAAAAAGAACTGGTTAGTAAACCATGTTATGTTCTATTCGTCTAAGATTACTCAAAATATTGATTGGAAGAAAGTTTGGGTATTACCTAATAAATATCTAATTACAAATAAAATCTAAGGATTTTTATTTAGGATACTACACAAATGTTACCATGCTAAGCATTTTTTTAACCAGATTTATTAAAGACATGGATGTCAACTGTCCATCATAACCAGAAACAGTATCTCATATTTTCTGCCATTGCCTGTGTACAAAATGGTTATGGGGGAAGATATCTAAATTTATAAGTGATAAAGTGCTATCAAATTTTCTTTAACTGTACGAGTATGTTATTTTTGTTTTTTTTTCACTATGATACAAAGTTGGAAAATTAAGCTCATGTTATTAATCTTCTGATTATACTAACCAAGTTTCATATCCATCAATGTAAATTCAGCTATTACAAACCTGTTTTTAGTTGTACTAAAAGAACTAAATATTTATTTAAATACCATTAAGAAGAGTACAAACAAAAAAGCTGTTAAAACTGTATATTTGTTTGACACTTTTTAGTTATTATTAGCAAGACCTAGAATTATTTATTTGTAATTTTTTTCTGTTATTTTATTTAGTTTTACCTATAAAATTTTTGTATCTCCATATAATTTTTCTATATACCTTTAATTTTGTATACCTCTGGCATTGTTTTGTATGTATCATTCTTGCATTGAATAAATAAAAAATACAATATCCAACTAAAAAAAAAACAATATTCAATGGAGAAATAAATATGATCTCATGTTAGTGAATCAGTATAAGAAGGTCATGAAATAACAGATGTGTGATACTTTTTCTTGGTATTTTTCAAAATAATGCAAATTTAGGGGGAAAAAATTAGGAAACTAAACATTTCTACATTACATAATGTACAGTAATCTTTAGCTGGAATTAGTTTATGGATTAAAAGTGCATTAAAAAGCTTTTTTTTTGTATATTCATAGTAGAATAAATAGAACACTGACACTTTTATCAGTTAGATTTCACTTTCACTTTATATTGTTCATAATTAATGAGGTCACAATGATTATTTTAACCAAATGTGATTTATTTAGTGCATTTAAGTTTCACGGAGATGCAATTAGAGTGCAATACTATAGTTTCTATTTACAGCAGCATCAAGCTACAGTAGATTTTAATACAATATGGGATGTATGATCATGACTACAGCACATTAGGTTTCCGGAAAGATCTTTCATGCAGTAAAGCAGAGGAAATTCTTATATAAAGCCTGACATTCCTAGTGTTTGCTTTGGATTAGTGGAGATTACTTATGACATTTTTGGTGTCTTTGCCCGTTACAGCTGTCTACACACAGCAGCATTGACCTGTGGGTGTATGTCTGGTCTACTGATGCATAGGAAATAGGAGGACATGGAAAGAGCCACGGTGGAGGGCACGGGATAACCAACCTCTCCTTTCCTGCCCACAACAGGCCAACAGGGGTCACTTGCACCCACATACAGGAAGCCCAGTTTCTTAGCAACATGGAGAGAATCCATTGCCAGGTGCTTTGACATATTCTCTGAACATCATTGTGGGAAAACTGAGAAGAGGTAGAGTTAAGGTCATATCTTAATCAAACTAATTGTGGAACAGCAGAAACTGCACTTTTATTGCATAGTCATAGTCCACCACGGCTCTATCCGAAATCACATAGTTTCCATTTACTGTATATAGCAGGTGTAAAACAGTATGGGACAAAAGAAGTAGGTCTGAGTTCATAGTAATCATAAAAGAGTATGCACAAAGGACCCAGATGACCTAATACTGCAGGCAAGATTCTGAAGTGTGCATACTATGAACAATCCCATGAGGCCGTGGACGAGGATTTGTGAATTGCAATGCCCAGTTCAAAATGGCACAATTCTTGTGCACTTACAGTCTTGTGGACATACAATAGCCAATGTATGCGTATGACTGTTAAGTCTACTGAACATAAATGCAATATTAAAGCTCTCTGAAGCTCTCACCCCATTTGCAGCCATTGTGCACTGTCGATACATTGTAGCAAGCTTTGACCTCAAAGCAGCATTAGGTCACGGAAGTGCAGACAGAAGAACACCACAAGAGTTCAGGATGTCATTTGGGATCGCGTAAGACAGTGTTTTACATGCCCTGGAACGTAAAGCCAAAAAACAAACAGACAAACAAACAAAACAAAACAAACAGATTGCCCCCTGGTGGCTGGATGCTGCATTAGTCATAATCCCCACCCACTCACCGTTAATTCAAATACAATATTCGCCCAAATGCTTTAATTTGGATTTTGGGTGCTTCTTATAATGCTGATGTTGGTTAGTTATTTGATGAAATAAATATGGGGTGTGCCTCCATGACTGTGCACTTGTTTTTTGTTTTGTAAATATGGCCAGGACTTTAATACTGCAGCTCCAACTCATGCTCACCACTGGGTTAACATAAGTTAGAATAATACATTCACCTGGCCCCACAGCTGCAAATTGCGGGTCCTTCAAAGGATAGTTCACCTAAATATAAACATTTCCTCTCCCTCAAGGGGTTCCAAAGCTTTAAGAGTTTCTTTCTTCTGTTAAACACAGGATATTTTACAGAAATCTGAAAACTTGTTACCATCGACTTTCTTAGTCAATAGTATGGAAATACTATGGAAGTCAATGGTAACAGGTTTTCAGTTTTCTTCAAAATATCTTCTTTTGTTTTCAGGAAGAGAAGCAATGGTTATGGAACGAGAAGGATTAGTTAATGATGACAGAATTTTCAGTTTTGGGTGAACTAACCCTTTCAGATTTGAAGTGGTCATTGCTGTACTATTATTAATAACAACAGGGGGCGACCCGGAATAACATTCATGACGAAATAGTGGTGAAGAAGTCAGTAAGTGGAGTTGCTGAATTAATGAATTTAATTATATATAAAATGAACAGGTTGAGGATGAATTAGGAGAACACTCGTTAAAATGTTTGCTTTTAGCACTGTGTGAATGAGTAATTTAGGCTACATTCTTCATCAATGCTAACTGCATGCGTAATGCAAAACATTATATACAATAAAAATAAGTGCATTTTGTTCTCTAAAGCTGCTAAAAAAACAGCAAGCACGACAAGACTCTGCTCCAAGTTGTACATCTTTAAGTATGGAGCTGTGCAAACTCAAAGCTAATGATTGCTAACACTGTAACGACATCAGATTTGCTGCATGCACCTAAGCAAAAAGTATAAATCAGCATTCAGGCTCTTAATGACGTCATTGGTGCAAGGTGACAGCAGCCATTCTTTTCTATAGTAAAAACAAAGGTGGTGACGTGTTGGCCATCATTGTTTTTACAGTCAAGATTATCAAGATTACATTCAAAACACACACACACATACATATTATATAAAAAAATCCTTATGAAAATAAGTAGCTACGCCTAAGGCTATGTGATTTCGGACAGAGCTCATGTCTGGAGAAAAACTTTATGCATCATTTCTACCATTTTTGAGTACATTTATGCAACGTCAGGGGAAGGATGATCTAGAAACAAAGATAAGGGCGCGGGCCAGATTTCTTGTAATCAAGGTTGGTAGAATATTAAGCTAAACAGTGCATATTATAGTTGAATAATGTAGTGATTTTCTTTTATAGCAACACAAAAATCTCTTACCATGATATTCAACTTGTCCTACATCAATACATCAAACATGACAGCAAAAATCAAAGTGCTTAAATCTATTGAAACATAAAAAAGAGATAACTCCAAAAAATTCAGAGATACATTCAAAACTCCAGCGAGTTTAAAAAAGACATTTGCCTAAATATACTGTATTTCTAAGCAAAACATATATAAATATATATGATGCTTTGAATGCTAGGCATGATTCAACTGTTGCCCATTTTGATAAAGCGCTGTGATTTCTGCCTCGCCATCTGATGTTGCTTGCGTGCAAACTGGGCATTGTCGATTCCTTCTCGCAGTCTCTGCGAAGAACGAAACAAAATAGTCCATAAAAAGGCCAGCATTTGTTTTTTTAATATTTTGAGATGCAGTCATTTTGATAGCTCTGTACTTCTACGCAGTGTAATGGCATGTGTACACTAATAAGATAAAACTAGTGCAACCTGTGTAACTAGCTTAATCGCAAGTTGGCATCTGTGAAATGGCAAGCTAAACATAAAACAGTTGCTTTTAACATCTTGCTTGGTAGCTTTGAAACTGAAAGTGTAATCATTAAAAGCTACATAACAGCAGATTCAACATAGACACACAACAAAAATAAAATAAATACATTTACCTCAGCCATGTCAGGATGTTTCATGTGTATCACTCTGACTTGTGCCTGTCCGTCCTTCCTAATGAGGTTCAATTTGTTGTGTTCCTGCACCAACATTCATTTTGTTTGTCAAGCAATGTTAATTAATTCACTACAGACCACTGTTAGAAAGCTATACAAATGTCAGCTACTACTTTTAAAGTAATAGCTAGGGCAGCACGATATTGGAAAAAGCAAAATTGCAATATTGTTTAATACGAATACAATTTTACCACATGACTATTTGGTTGGATTTCATAAATTTACATTGATTGGGATGATTTTGAAGAGTAGAATATCTGCATACTATACAATAAGCATATTAAAAGCAAAGATATATAAAATAGAGCAAAGATACAACTGAAATAAATAATGCTTTATATTTTTGGGGAGGAATCTAACAGTATTTAGACAGAAATGTAATAACTGAATGTAGAATAAAACTATATATTCATTGCATTAATAATTGTTTGCAAGGCCAATAATTATTCACAGTCACAGGCCTTAAAAACACAGTAAAATCATAAACACTCACGTTGAATGACTCAACCTAGCAAACAATTTTGTGTTTAATAATCAAATTCTAATAGACATCTAAGAATAGCCCTAAAGAAATAGACAGATTAGACAGACTTTATATGCGTAGTCATTCATTTTTTGTTTATTTGATGACTAATCTAAGCCCAAATTTAGCCTTGTTTTAGCCTATACAACTATGTTTAGACATCTATTAGACATCTTTTAAAAACAAAAATGCTTGCTGGGCACTATGGTCTGAACTGTAGCATGTGATCAACTATAATCCCAACTGGACATCCTGCGACTATTCCGAATTTGCACATTGCTATATCAATGCTGAAACAATATATTGTGCAGCCCTAGAAAAACAGCATACTATTGTTTATGTTTTAATGCTAACACTGGCAGTATTTATAGCATGTACCCGGTAATATATCTTCAGATCTCCTCCTTCTGTGCATGGAGGTCTCTGGAAACTCTCAAACTGACATTCCCATTCTTTATTGAAATGTCCGATCACATCGATCTCCTTCACACACATCACTCTCCTGCACGATAAATAAACCAACACATACAGCAAGAACATATGGAAAAAGTGGGAAATGCCAGAGTTCAATCATTCGTTCTGTTGTTGAAATACCTGTTGGTGATCATGATGTTTGTTTTTCTGTGTCCTGGGTACATGTAGTGTTCTCTGAAGATTTCCCCGTCCAACTGTTTAATCTCAGATCTCTGAAAAACACACAAACTTGTACACCACAACACACCAGTATAGGCTTTTTTTGTATGAACCGATCAGCTGCAAAGCATAGAAATGATCATGATCGTGTTAAAGAGGAGTATTGATTTATTCCACATGATTATTATGGTCAATCACAGGACTCTGACAAGCTCTTGGGTTAATAATTCAATTACAACACATTAAAACAAATGATTACATGACAATTAATGCAATATATAAAGTATATAGGAAAATACATCAGACATTAATTCCAGCATGCACTTTAAAATGCCCATTTATTGCATATAAATACGTTTGCATAAATCAATATGCACATTTCATGTATTGACATTGATTAAGAATAAATATATTGTTAATATAGACTGTAATTTTCTTCAGATTTCAGATGCATGGAAATGTTTTTACAGACACATGTTCAAAGAAACTGAGATGATGTTTAGAAAAATAGATCAACTTTGTCACATCCTATTTCTAACAAATATAATAATTATTTAAATATTAATAATGAAAAGCGGTAATTGTTTGCTTACATTTCAAACAATACATTTCTTTTAGGGAAAAATGACTATAATGAGGTTGTTTTGATATATTTGGCATTAACAAATAAAAAATAAGAGATATACTGATATTTATTGAATATATTAAAATGTCTGAAGTATAACGCTAAAATTATTTTTGGCATAAAATTAAAAGAGAAATTAAAAAATGTTTTCTAGAATAGAAAAGTAGCAAAGCTGTAAAAGTGCACAAGAGAGACAACTTCAGATGCAGACTTAGGATATTATATCATTTTCTAAACACAACAATGTGACATTCTATTGTAGGTGGACTAGACTAGACTGGATCTAGTGCTGAATGTCCAGTTTGGTTCATTTAAGTGCTACAATATCTCTGTGTTCACAAATGTTTTCATTAAGCGTGGATCTTTAAGTAAAAAAAAAATCTTAATCCCATCTCCCACTCCCATTTTACATCTCCTCAGGCTGCATGTGGGAAAGGACAGAGAAAAAGAAAAAAATTAGTAGGACACGGGAATTTGTTTTTCCACGAATTGGAGTCAGGGTTGGAGTCAGTTCAACTGTTGAGTTTAAGGTCAGTTTTAATGAAGGATACAACAGGAAATTTAATAAGCGGACACTGGAATTTGGTTAAGTTTAAAGGCAAGAGACTACTAGGGAAAATATGGATGGAGGAAAATAATATTTACACAATTTTCTCTTTAAACCACATAAAAGTTTTATATTGCAAGTTTTATGAAAAGTTTTTTTTTTAAATATGAAATAAAATATTACCACCATCATCAAAAACACAAGTGAATGAAGTATAAGTAATTTGAATGAAAGCGCTCTAAAAATCTCCAGAATATAGACAGTAAAAGTGCTACTAAATGGGAGAATCGTTCAAAAAATATTAACGCACAAAACAGAAAATATTAAAGCTTGCTCCTAAAACAGAATAACAGTTCAAGTCAATTCAGTCAAGTCAAGTCAATTAAACTTAAATGTAATTAAAAGTTGACAGTAACTTTGTATCTTTAATTCTGACATACTCTCTGAGTAAATAGAAAAGTTTATCTGAGTCTGAATCAAAGAATTAATTATATAATGTTTTCTTTGTCTTGTGGCTGTGCACATGCTTTCAGCGGCGAAGCCAAGCTAAATTAAATCAGGCATAAAATAAAAATGACAACAGCTTAGAAAGTGAAACCAAAAGCCAAATTTTTAGAACCACCAGACAGATGCATTTTTAAGTCCCAAAAGGGCGCATGTGAGATTGTCAATAAGAGAGTGTTGAATAGGCATGGGACGATAACCATTTTCAAGGTATACCGTGGTTTGGAAAAGTCAAGGTTTTAAAACCGCCCAAATTTTCTGCTATACTGTTCCTAAGGTATGTGTAAGATTTTTTATTTATGTTTTTTTTTTTTGGGGGGGCTTGTTTGTTTTTTAGGACAACAGTATCTCCAGCATAAAACATATCCAAGGATGCCGTTTTAAATTGTAAAGAAATCTGTGTTTTTAAAACATGAGCAGAAGTCAATTATTTATTTAAATTATTTAGCCTAACATGTTTACTGCTCCAAAATATTATGTTTCTCAAAATAAAATATATTTTGTTTAAAGAGGGAACAAGTTTTAGTTTTTTACCCAGACATTTAAAAAGAACTTATGTTAGTGCAGTAATCACTATCGTCATACCGTGAAATTGTGATATTTTTATCCAAGGTCATCATAGGGTCAGAATCTTTTACACTAGTTAATAAATCGCAGATGTTTGGCTATATGGTGGATAAAAAATAAAAAAAAAGATAATAATACAAAAACAAATGCCACCAAATATACTTGGGCAGCCATTAATATACCTGGGCGGCTCACCCAAGTAAAGTCTACATGTGGGAAGCACTGAAACATCTGACAGCACTTTAAGATAAGCTCAATCAAAGCTTTTTTCTTCTTCAGTGAATTCTACATTTGTACACGCTCATACCAACCAAATCCTATTTTTTGTTTATACATTGTATGATGTCGGTAATTTACTGGCAGCATTACACTGCTCATTACGCTGCAATAAAAAATGGGTTCCACACAATTCCTTCAAGTTGTCCCAACACAAATAGATTAAGATACCTTTTGTTTTTAAAAATGTAAGTTGAATGAACCTAAATCAATTTTAAGTTAAAATAAAAAAAAAAACCTCCCAATTTACCAGTAAAGACTGTATGGATGTGTTATGGATGGTTCCAAAATCTCAAAACCTACCAGTCTTTCTTTAATTCAAACGTTGGTTTTGCCAGTAGTTTCTTGACTAAATCTGTCAAACTGACTCCAATCCTTCCAAACAATCTGTCTGTTAGTACATGTTAAATTAAAACCCCAAAATTATTCTGATTAAAGTTCTTCCCATTGGTACTTAGTAGCCTGGTCAGTGATTGGGCATGACCTCACCTGAAAGAGGTCATAGCCCTCCGACGCATGGTGGTCGTAGGGCCGTATGATGCCGTCCTCATGTATGAGACGTACTGGCCTTAATTTAGTCACCTCCTCAGTGGATTCTGCCACCCTGCCAATCAAAATCAACGACAGCACATTAGATAACTCTCACAAACATGCCGTCATCCTGTGGTCTTGTGTTTCATATCTATGTTTAAATAAGTAGGCAATGGATGAGTCATTCTTTAACAACAGGAATCTGCTCAATTACACTTCATCTGAGCATGCCTGAACAGCCTCGAGAGTCATTTAAAAAAAATCAAGGTTTCTTTGTGCTATTGCGTGCAGTGTCTGACTCCTTAAGCCCTCGCTCACCTTTGGTTACTTCTACAGTGTGAGCATGGAAAAGCAACGAGATTAGTTCATACAGACAGTGCTGAGCGACTCAGGTGTACAGTATAAGATGGAAAGCGTAAACCAATGGATGGATGATTGAGCGTATGTGCTGGAGAATCACTGAAGGGGTAAAGGGGGGCATCACTGTTCCAGCTTGTAGTGAAAGGTTTGGCATGGAAAAAAAGCCAAGGGTGGGAACACCGTAAAACACAACTGATTTGCCAACTCGTCTTTCCAGGGCAGAATTAATGGCATGGGTGCACAATGTGATTGGTTAGCCTGGTCATACTGTAGACTGCCTTCTTGTTTAGCTATGGGCCAAGAGCACCTGGTTCCACTAGACAGTGCTCTATCATAGAGTCAGCAGTGCAGTGAGCTCGTGCAGTGGACGTGGTCTGACAAGCAGAGCAGCTGGACAGGGGGACGACATCAAAAGTGAAACACGAAACATGTTTACTAATTTTTATTCATGTTGTTATAAAACCTTTATGACTTTCGATTGTGAAACATAAAATATATTTTGATTAAAGTTTGAGCAAAGAATGATATGAGGGTGAGAAAATGGTCATAATTTGTTTTGTTTTTTTCTGGGCTACCCCCTTACATTTTTGCTCGTTATTAGGATGTTATGTACTGTACATTTCAAATCTTTCAAACCTTTAAATTACATTTTTTTTTTAAAAACAGGTACCAATAAACATTTTGTTTTCCGGAATATAAATCACATTTTTTTCCATCTAAATGCTAGACAGGTCCATGATCATACTACAATCAATGTGTTTTCACTCACAGTCAAACTCAGTGAGTTTTAGACATAAAAACGATTACCCTGCAATTTATTTGAATACGTTTAAACACTGCCATCAGATTGTTGGTGTGAACCAAAGTCTTCGTCTGCTTGAAAAATGAGTAACATCCACTTTCTAGTTCCAAATTTAGTGTGGTTCAGTTGAAATTTGATGCAAAATGGTAAAAAGACAAATAAAGATTTGAACTTAAAAAGGACAAAATACTTAATCATACCCGTTTTCTCTTGTTATAGATAAGATTCTGCTCTCTGCTGTTCAATACAGGCATTAGAAAGGCATCTTCATGCAATATATTTTCATTTGTGTGTAAAAGGAGAATTCCTGACTCCTTAACACATTTCATAAGTTCTCAGCTGACAATGTACACGAATAAAATGAGCATGTCTAGTTCTGCACACTGATGTTTTAGATTTTTGATATGTTTTGTCACTAAAAACACGTCATAGAAGCACTTTTTTGAATCGCCATATGTACCAAGAAAAGTGAATTACAAGTATAAAGACAAGCTTAAAGTCATCTTGAAATCAAAATTTACAATGTTCATTTTGATAAATCCAACAACGTGTGCGAAGACGAACAATTAATCCATGGTAGTTGATCCATGCCAAAAATCCTGTTTGTTTTGGTAATCTTTCATCAAAATCTGACTATCTGCTTCTGCTCTGGATTGGCAGACCTTCTATAATGACATCACTTTAAAACTCTGGGTGAAAAATGTTAAGCCACACCCCTCCAACTGTTAGTTTGCTGCAAGTGAAAGAAGAGAGGAGGAGCACAAAAATAAAGCTCCACCTCCTGCTCAATATTCCATGTCAGTTTGAAATGCATAATCATATTGAAATAAAGATCTGCAGCAACTTCCAGTTCACACAGACTTTAAATTCCTCAAGAAATGTAAGAACTTTCCCAGGTAAGAATGATTTGATTTGTTTTTATGTCTTGTTTTTGTACCTCAATATTAAAGTACATTTAATTGATAATAGTTAATCTTGCGTTAGCAAATACTTTACTGTTTACTGTTTTATTTTATTTTGTTTAAATCACATGCTGAAGCTGCAGATATAGATATTATGTTTTGTATCAGTATTGCTTAGTTAGTTTGATTGTTTTTTACTTTTAATTGTTAAAGACCAGCTTTAACCAGTCAAATATGGCAGATTTATCTTTTATTATTATTCTGTCAATGCAATTTTAAAATTGTACGACTTATTTTCCGGAAAACATCTGGTAATTCCGCTCCTCTCTATACCATCTCTGCTCCTGTCTGTGCTGCTCTGCTCATCCGACTTTCCATTGGCCCCAAAATGCACCAGTGAAAGGGAGTGTGGAGATCAGAAGCAAATGTTACAATGAAGGGGAAAATAGGCACATGTTGATTAATTAATCCAGTTATAAGGGGTTTCTTGAACTGTAGATTACAGCAGAATGCTCTGCACTACAGCCCACATCCTTTGCTTCCCACGATGCAATACTTACCGTTCAACCATTCACACCCTGCAGATTAAAAAATAAATTCATCCATGCGGCCAAATTCACTCCTTTCTGAACCCATGAAACAAGCAAATTTGACTGAGTGAATGCAGAGGGATCATTCACTGTCTTTCTGGGTAACATGGACATAAATACATACACAACCACGCATCAGTCACTCAGACGTTTATAGCCCACACGCGCACACATACACACTCACTAGCATCCAAATACTCACTGAACTAAAAAGAACAAACACATCCAGGAATTAACTTATGAAAAACATGAAAGAAAGAGTCACAAAATTAGTTGACGCACAGGAAAACAAAAGCAACACTAATGTGAGAAATAAAATGACAACAAAGACAAAGAGACACAAATTAAGACACATTTATATACATCTCAAGTGATGACCTATGATAACTGCCAAAGAAAATGGTTCATTAAAAATCTTTGTCATGCTTTCCATCAAAAATATTCCCATTTCTGAAAGAGAAGTGCTTGGATAATATTTGTTTCCTAGTTTAGAGTGCAATGACATCAGAGTTTACATAATACGATACATGAAAACATTCTCTCTGGCCTAGCAGGAAGCAGACAAGATTTCCAAGCTATACTTAGGGTTGGGGGAAGTGGCCTCACAACTTCCACTTTGCAAAAAGGAGTGTGGGCCTCCTAAAAACCGCCTGTGGAATTACTATGCGTGTTTTTGGGTCGAATAATATTGCGTAACAATTTGAAAGTAGGAACTGGTGAATATACTTTAGTTAAATATTTGAGGTTGGTTAAAATTTTGGGAATTTTAAAACATTTTTAGGAAATGTTTCTCAACAACGCAGCATCAATTTGATTAAAAAATGTATTAAAACACAGACAAACTGAGAAATGTTATTACAAATAACAATAATAGTTTATATATAACATTCATTCCAGTCTGAACACCTGAGTTTTCTGCGTCAGTGATACTTTAAAAATCATTATAATATGATATATAAGCTAATATAATATAAACAGGGCTTGACATTAACACCGACCAACCTGCCAAATGCGGATAGACTTCATTTGTGGGAGGATAGACAGACACTCCCACTAGCCACTTTGGCTGGTTGAAAATAATTTTTAAATTGCTATTGCTGGCTCGACACAAAAAACATTAATTTTAGTTTATAATTTTATGACAATATGCGGTGCAAATGTGATTTTAGAATTGAGAAGCAGCATGACTGATTGTTCGCGTGAGCAAAAGAAAGCAGGCCAATATAGAATGAGAGGATAATCAGGCGTGCTGTGAGACAACAGGCAATCCTCACTCACTGACGAGGGCTTTAATGTCGCGCGCACAGCTGATGTGATGCGCGCAAGTGCTGGATAGCTCCTTTGACTGATGCAAATGGTGCAATCGGTTCCATTTGAAATAGATTTGGAAAAGTGGTGCTTGTGCACCCAAAGTCCTGCTACCTTCGAGAGCTCAAGATTCTTTGTATGCAGCCGCTGTTGCAACTTTCACTTTAACCATTCTTTGAATAGATTATTAATATGTCTATTAACTATGTATAACTTTAACCGTGTGCGCCTGATCATCCTTTCATTATCACACAGAATGTTTTTCACATGTTTTCTTTTGCTTACAGGTATTTTTATTAATATGGTTTAATAATCATCCTTTGCAATAACTTTGCTTTAATAGAAGATTAACTCTCCATTTATACATAGTTAACTGGTGATCTGGGACCTTCAGCCAGGACAAACTACTGGCTATAGTTTTAGACATAAGAATAGTTTTTTTAAGAACATTTTTGTTAAATAAAAATGTATGTATACTGCTATATTTTACACATTATTTAACCTTTGTGGCAAAGAAATAATTAGTTTGGTGTGGCTAATGAGAAAATTGGTGAATTCTTAGAGTTGAGCCCTAAAAAGTTACGTGAAATAAAAATAATTACAACGCGACACTATGAAACCCCAACATATTTACTCATGCTCATTGAGCAAGGTCACAAGAAATAAAAAGTAACACATAACGCATCATTTAAATTAATTAAATTAATTTTAGGCTGCAAAAGTCAAATTTATACATATATTTTCCCAACAACAAAATTGCGGCTAGTCAAAATGCAGAGTGGCTTGTAATGTTGGAAAACTACTAGCCACAGTGGCTGGTGATAAAAGAAAAATAAAGTCAAGCCCTGAATATAATCAATAAGCTAGTTTGGTTCGCAATAGAAATTTTTTCATTACTTTCTTCATTGCTGCCATCTTTGAAAATAGTTGTGCTATTTTAGCTGAAGTATTTAATTTTTTTTTAACATCAAACATTAAATGTCTGTCTTTTTTGATTAATATAATGCATATTTCATGAAAAAAATCTTTCCAACCCAAAAGATTTGAACAATAGTCCATGTGAATCTATCTCTGAATACAGTATATGTGTTTGTGTTTATATTTAGACATTCGTGTGCATGTGTGTCTCACCTCTGAATGCCCTGAAAAGTACTGCTGGCCATGTCTACGATGCCCCCTGTAGGTCTAGCCACCACTCCTACCAGGCCTTTCCCAATGCCCTTGAAGAAGCCTGCAGCCCCCTCCTTCTTCGCCCCTAAATCCACCAGAGATTTTTAAATATTAAAATCTTATACAGATTCTGCTGTGAACGGTTGGCATTATACAGTTGATGGCAAAATGATAAGCTCTCCTGTAAAAAGTCTTTTTCAAATATTATATAATGATAATCAGGAGGTGGGAGGAGGATGGGAAACCAGCAAGATGAGAAATAATGATAATAATAATAATAATAATAATAGTAATAAGTAGAAGAACACATCGAAAAACAAATAGAAGAATAAGAATAAAGAGAAGAAACAAGTAAAAAAGGAGAAGATGCAGAAGACAAAGCAATAAGAAGAATAACAAGAGGGGACAAAAACAATATTACAATAAAAATAATAACAAACAAAGAAAAGGAAAACAAAGTACAAATAATATTAATAAAAAAAACAAGAGGAAAAAACAAAGATTGAAAGTTCAAGAGGTGGACGGATAAATGTAAAAACTATTAAGAAAAAAACTCATGTTGATAATAATAATATTGAAAACAATGACAACATTAATAGTAACTTTTAGGAGGTGGAAGTTATAAGATCAGCCTTAAAGTGAACAGTGTTTGTCAGTTGCTGTGTGATGCATTAAAAAAGTATGATGTGCAGCATGGATCAGTGCAGTGCAATGCCCAGGCCGCCATGCCCACGTCACACTTACCCTGTTCTAGTAGATATAATAAGTATGTGTTTTGTGTGCATCCTTTACCTTTCATTAACATACTTGTCAATAAATAATAAATAATTGTAAATAATTCATTTCTAATAACTAATTTGTTTTGTCTTTTGAAATGACAGTGCATAATATTTTAGTAACTTTGCAAGATACTAGTATTCAGCTTAAATTGCAATTAAAATGTGCTGCTATGTTAATTTGGTTAATTAAGTAATTCACTGGAGAACAGTGATACAGTATGCTATATTTCTTAAGGGAGATAATAATATTGACCCTAAAATCTGATTTGAAAGACTGAAAAACTGCATTTATTACAGTCAAATTTAAAGAAACAAGGTTTTCATCAGAAGAAAAAAATATTATAATAAATAATAATGTCTAGAAAATTTCTGTTATCACTTGGGAAATAATTGAAAAAGAATTTAAGGTAAACAGGAGGCAGGGCTAATCATTTTACCATCAACTGTATTTATTTGTGCATTTTTAATTTCCAGTAAACTGTTATTGTTTGCATTTTATACAAATAGTTTTGCCATCACAAAAAGAGATCAAATTCATTCAAGCCAGTGTTGCATCAGCAGTAAACCGCCATACCTTCCACCGGTTTGGTCACAATTCCTGTTACTCCACCAACCACTCCCTGAAGGAGAACATGAGCATGACAAAAAGTCAATTCATGCTGTACACAATGGAGCTCTGCTGTAAATGTTCGTTTAATACAAAAGGAAGGTTGTTTTGTCAGTGTGTGTGTTCAGTACCTTGAGGAAGCCCTTTCCTCCTTTAGCCAGACTCTCTCCAAAGTCTTTGGTGGGCCTGTTCATCTCCTCCCTCCGTTTCTGCTGATACTCTTTGTCCATAGTGATGGCTGCCAGGCCTTTACCCACAGAGCCAGTTATACGAGACACCATGCCAGCTGCACCCCCTAGGGAGATTATACGGTTTAGAAACAGCCAATCATGAGCAGTGAGGATCCAGGGTGAATATATGTGGGTTTGAGTGAGAACAGCTGGAGGAATCTTACCCACTGTGTGACCCAGTAAACTTCGAACACCAATAACTAAACCTTCTGCAAATTCCTCAGGTCCCTGAACAGCTCCCTAAACACACACAAATATATTAAATGTCACTAGTCTTAAATAAGCTCACACAAATCATTATGTCATAACTTTGTTGACAAACTTATGAATTATTACTCAAAAAATAAACAAAAATTTGACAAAACTGACCAAAATCAACATAGTTCATATTACGCATACATCTACGTATATACAGGGGATTAAATATTTATAATAATGTAATAATGTGAGTTGCACATATGAAATGCTAACATGCTTAACTTTTCTTTTTTGTTGATGTTGATGTTTTAAAATGCCCTGAAATTTATAAGCATGAAATGTAAAATCATTTTAAGACAATTTTTATATATAATTATGAATATATATTTTTGAAACACATAATTTACCCAAGTCACATGAATAGTTAACTATATGCACAAACAATAAATAATTTAATTTTTGACAATAATTTCATTTATTAAACACTGTTTCTTTTCAATGGGGTAAACTAAAAAAAGACGACATCTCCTACTTTTATGCTATTAAGCAGCCATGTGCACCCACTGACAGGCCTGATTCTCGTTCTTTCAAGTTCAAAGCAAACTTGAATGCCAAAGCATTTTATATATGTGTATAAAATAGCCTACGTAATATATTAACATCATCAAATTAATGAAATAATCAGCAAATGAGAAATGACAGAAAAAGGAATAAAAACAGACAATATCTATAAAAATAGAAAGATTAAACCTGTAAATTATTTAAATAAGGCACTGATTAATCATTTTTAATGGTATACATATATTTTGCAGCCAATTAAGACTAGTCATTTCATCCTCTTGAGTATATAGTAAAGTTTTTCGGAGTCGTTTCGATTAAAAAAATTAATTATTTGATGTGTCTCTCTCTTTCTCACGTCTCTCTGAGTCCCAAAAAGACGCACATCTGTGACTGCAGAGCACGTGAGGCTCTCTGTGGCAGTGTTGAAAGGTCTCATGCACACAAAATAAAACGGATAAATGAGAGAAGATTTTCCACTTCTTAATCAATCGCTAATGTTTGGTTATTAGGCGGAAACAAAAAAAATTCACTTAATATACTTGTGTGGCCATAAAATAAAAATAAATAAATAAGTATATAAATAATCTATAAAAAAAAAAAAAAAAAAAAAAAAAAAATATATATATATATATATATATATATATATATATATATATATATATATATATATATATATATATATATATATACAGGTATTATAATACAAAATAAAACAAATAAGACTTTCTCCAGAAGAAATAATTTGATCATACATACTATTAAAATTTACTTGCTCTGTTAAACATCATATTTAAAAGAGAGAAAGGGTAGATAATAATTCTGACTTCAACTTATATATGTATAATATGGCACACAGCATTATTGATTTTATTACTGATAGTTTTTATAAAATGAAAATATTGCCCTGTGAAACTGTAAAAACTGTAATAAAGAGCTTTTTATGTTATGTAAATGTTACATAATCTACTTACAAATACAAATGTTTTACGAGTACAAACCCATTTGGAACAGTAACATGTAATAATGTGATTATGTGTGTGTAATTCTGAATTTTAGTTTACAAGCATATATGAAATTGATATACATACAATGGTGACTGAAGTTGACCTAATAATGTAATAATATTTGATATGCACATTTTATGTGAATGTGCTTGTCTGAATTAATTTTTTTTTTGTGAGTGATAACACTCTCACATCCATAGTGAATTAAACGATGGGGTCTGAATGGAGAGATAAATGAACCGAACGTTTCAGACCTGAATGGGCTCATAGAAGAAAGCTTCCACTCCTTCTGATAAGCCCCGGATCAGCCCGAATGGATTTCCAAGAACATCCAGACCCAAAACCAGCACATACATCTGTGTCAGAAACTATGAGGAGAGAAAAGAATCTGAATTTCCATCACATACAATGACATAATATGAAAATATGAGGATGTTGAAGAGCGTTTGCACATATAACCAATTCTGACTTTGTATTATTTTGTACTTGGATCACTCACTTGTTCAGTGTAGTGTCTGATTACTGCCCACATCAGTTTATCTCGCCGGTAGAACTGATATTTCACCTCAAAGTAAGCCAGTCTGAAAAAAGAGAAAGGAAAATGTCAATAGGTGACCGTGTGAAACTTGTTTTCATATAAGCATATGAACCAGTATTTGAGAATGTGCATGTCTGACTTACTTGAAAATCAAATCATCCACATCAGTAAGTGTGGCACCGATGCTTTTGAGCAGCAGGTTGACAGACTGGATGGCGACCATATCACCCTGCTCAGACTCATCTCCACTGGAGCCCAAAGACAGACTCAAATGCAGCTATTCAAAAACACACACAAACAGAGCAGACATTAAAGGGATAGTTCACAAAATTAAAAGTCTGTCATCATTCTTTTTTAAATATCTTCTTATATTCTTAATGAGCAAATATATATATATTTATTTTAAATAATAATAAAAAAAACTAAATGTTAGAGTTTAAATTTACTAAAATATGTCTACCCAAGTTATGTTCCAAATTTAAAATTGATATAAAAAATAAACAATGAAGTTTGTTTAGGTGCTTTAACTGAAATTCCCACCGGGTGATTGTATTGACATTTTTCATGGATTTTTGTCACGAATAATTATATTTTTGTCAAAATATTACTATCACAACAGACACACCAAATATTGAACCTAGTGTGTCAGGCTCCATCTAGACTAATCTGGATAAATGAAAAAAAATGTTTGTCTAAAAACGTTTTGTGTCCACACCATTTTTTTAAAAATTCCTTCCATCATGCACATTAAAACGACTGAAAACACTTTCGTTCAGTACTGCGCATGTGCACAAACGTAAGACACTTTCACCTGCGTCATATCTGCCTGACATTTATTTAATTTCCATCTCTTTTCGCAACTGTGGTCTGCTTCCGCCACTGAACAATAGCTTCTAGTAAATATTCTCTGTCCTTTGAAGAGAGGCAATATGGAACAGGTACAAACTGACATTAATCTTTAAGCATCCAAAACATCTGCTTTACAATTAGAGCTGTGCGATTTTGGGGAAAATATTTAATTGCGATTCCTTTGACAGATATTGTGATTTTGATTTGATTTGCGATTTAATTTTGTAGTCAAGCTTTAGCTCAAAAATCTGTATCATAGCTTCTTATTGCTTAAATTTAGTGAGTGTTAGTTAAAAAGAGAAACTGAAAAGATACTAACTTACTTAAACATTTTTTTAAATTTAGTTTTAAATATTCAGAAATGAAATTAATTTTTCTCTTGAGCAAACCAAAAACACAACCTTACCTTTCTGTAAACAAGTACAACTTAAATAAGGGAGATTGTGTAGCTTATTATAAAAACAAAAAAATGATTATTATATAAATACAGAACACTCAGCAAACTAACATGGTTGAAACAACTCTGAAATTGTACTTTGCTTTTGCTTGCTACAGATTGAGTGTCACTGGCAATACTTTGAGTTGAGTTTTAGCAAGACACTCTTCATATAGCCCCCTGTGGTGTTTTTTTTTTTAGGTGCTGGTTGATGTATTTCCTCATGCTTTGGCAACAATTCTATGCGGCTCTAACAAATTACCTGTTTTTGTTCAGTGTCGGTGACTTTAAAACCAAAATATTCCCATATTACTGATGTTCTGTTTTTCTTTTGATATTAGTCTGTTAATGCTTCTGAAGCGGCAAACACCATCATCCCACTCGTCCATGCTTTCCTGTTGGTTTGTTTGTTTTTTTGTGTTTTTATTGTGGGCATTCTGCATAGTCCATTTGCGCAATTCTGATAGGGCAGAGCGAAAGTGTGCTCACAATTGGCTAGTAAGACTATCACACACAGACGGCAGTTTTGTTTTTTGTTTTGGGCAGGGAAATTTAAGTAATACATACATATTTCATATTGCAGCCTCATGCGATAAGATAATAGCAATGTTTCAAATCGTGATGGTGATTAGATTTCAATTAATCGCACAGCCCTATTTACAATGTTGTCCACCATGTTAGCTGAATTGGTCAGATGACTGCGTCACATGACTATAATGCATCAGTTTTCAAAAGCCTCCATTTTCACAGTCTTGCAACTTGAAAACGTTGTTTGCAAATTTATTCGCTTTGTATAGCATTTTCAAAAAGGTTTAGTTTCGTAAAAACAGCGTCTCATATTGGAAAAAGATTTAATTTAAAACATTGTATCAAATTTTGTTATATAAAAAAGGCATGACTTGCCAAGTAAGGAGCCTGTTAAAGATTGTAAATTATAATTTCCCTGCACTTCAATTCCAATTTCCATGCTTCCATGTGGCAGACTGAAGGTGCGTTTTCATTTTAAAACAGCATTTACAATAAAAATGCTTGTCTATTCTGCCGTTTTTACTGCATTTGAGAAAAAATATCTCTGTCCAAACATGCTTACTGGGCATGCGCATATCTTGTCGACATCTGTACTTGCTGTTTACCGGTGGCAAAGTGATCAAATGACAGGTGCTTGAATAAAGGAACAATATGCAATAGTTCAGAAGACCAATTAAAGAGTGATTGTTTCTCCGTTTTCAAAAGTCTGCATCTAATCTGAAACACAACACTGACGTTTTCAAACTTCTGCTTTTTCAAAATGCTCTGTTTACATGGCTTGAAGATGTCAGAGTAGTGTGGACACCAGGCGTAACCACAACAAGATTTTAAAACAAAAATATACTAGTCTAAATAGCATCTGAAACTTGAGTAAAGGTGCTATTTTGGATGAGATCCTGAGGTGATTGTGTGCTGGGTTGTTAGAGAGGGTTGTGAAGCTGGTTCATTACTTTAATAGGTGAGATGTGGAAATGTTCAAAGAAGCTGAGCCCTGAGGTGTCTGTAAGAGAGCTTTCCATTAGCTGAGCCTGCAGGGCATCCAGATCCTTCTGTATCAGCTTATTCTGAAACACAGAAGAACAAGTCTAAAGAATTTCCCTTTCATTCGCATAACATAAAGCCACATGTGATCCGAGCAAATACAGAAGAATGCAATGACAGACAATGTGGAGATGTGGTGGATACAGTACCTTCTTTTTACTGTCCAGAGAGTCAGTTGCTGGAGTAAACAGGGCAAGGATTGCCCCTAGAAAACCCTGATCAATCTTCACTGCCATCTCCTGCACTAATGCCATAAAGTACCTACAGAGAAACAAACAAAGTCAAAAATCTTTAATATTACTGTTCATAACAATTATGTAGAGACAGAAAAACTAAAGAAAAAAAAATCCATTGTCGGGAGTTTAAAAAGTCTATTTTAAAGATATTTCCTAAGCTAATGGCTTAATACTTGGCAGAAACAGTAATAATACCTACATAAGTTTTTAGACAATACCAATGTTTTAACAAATGGAAACATTTTGTTATTTCTAAAGATATTTGCAAAGATTGCACAAATCTAGCAAACAGAGTATATCTGGATGTCCCTTTTTTCTTTCTATATACAAATATATTATTATTATTTTACTCAAATTCTTGATCAATTTAATTCATCCTTACTAAATAAAAATGTAAATCTGTCATAAAATGACTCCAAACTGTTTACAACCTGACAAAACTCTTGTCTCTAATCCAAGTTTTAGGAACAACAAATAATAACTTGACTTTTAGTTGATTATTTGGTGTCAGAAGGTGCTTGTATGAAAGGCAAAGGCCTCTAGAATACGCTCATTTTAACAAAATAAAATATGATTATGTCTTGATTTTTAATTATTTAAGTAGGACAGTAAAGCCTGAGTTTGCTTAGACAAAAGTCTTGTCACCTAACATAAATAATGTACAGTATTGAATATAAAGTCATGGTGCAGTGGAAAAAGCATTAATATTGTGCATGACTCCCATGAGGTTGAAGGACTGCATCCATCCATCTCTGCAATGACTCAAATAACTTACTAAAAAAGTCATCTGGAATGGCAAATACTTAAAATTTTTTGTTTATTAAACAACGTAGAAACGAATCTGCTTTGCACAGCTGAGACTGTGACACAATTTGTAAATGTAATATATTCAATGGCCATCACTTACTTAAACTGCATGACTTGGCTGTGCTCATTAAACCTCGTGATGATGCTCACATCGATGAATGGCTTTGGCTCTAAAGATGAAAAATAGTTCATTCACTTCGCATGTGCACTCAGAAGTCTATTAGCTGAGACACAGTCTTCACATGCTAGCTACTGTTTGTACCTGAGTCCTGAACAATGGATTTTGGAAGAGGAACAGGATGAAACACAGTAGGAAATATAGCTCCTGGCAGCTGATTATCCACCTGGAACAAATAAATGGTGCACATAATAACTGAACGGCGGCCAAAAGCAACGGAAGTGTGACATTCAACAAGTACTGTAAGAAGTGTGTATGCGTTACCTGTAGCCAATAGAGCTGTGCACGTAGACTCCTCTGATGAGGTGACTGCTTCAGCTCAACATGAATGCCAGGCAGGAAGTTTCTCCTTATCTGGCAGGAAAACGGCTGTCTCATTAACATGGGCACTCTTCCAAAGTTTACCTGTTTTAACGAAGACGAAAAAGAATACCATGAAATCCAAGCAACATAAAATGTCTAATGACATTTTTGTCATAACAATTATTCAAATATACACTCAGAAATTCATCCTATGTAAATCCTTTCAATATTGGTAACTGCATATTTAAAAAAAATGCAATCTTTTAAAGGGTTATTTTTCACCTATTAGGTCATGTTTTATATTACAAAATAATTTTAAAAGTTCATTTTGACAAAAAAAAAAAAAATTGAAAAGTCTTACATGGAAGATTTAGTATTTGCTAGGCCTGTCACGATATCTTTTTGTTTTGCACAATATATTACATCTAAATATAATGCAATAAATGATATTATTATCATTTTAAGACCATTTTATGGCACTCATTATTTAATGCCAGAATGACAACATTGTAGCATTACAATGCAAGTACACTCTTCCAAAGAACACAAAAAATGTTATTCTTAAGAATATTTAATTTTATTATAGTAATTTTACCAATTTAACAACTCTGCATTGGAATCAGAATGTAAAAACTCATATCCTAAATAAATAATAATGAATGTTTTCAAAAAAATTGCAAGGTAAAAAGTAACTGAGGCACAATCAACTAGAATTTGCTAGAATTGTTTTTTAGATATAGGCGATATATATTAAATCACCAAAAATGAATAAGGTCATGTTCATATGTTGTGCGATATATTGAATATTGTGACAGGCCTAGTATCGGGTGACTTTTGTGACGGTAGTAATATTAATTTTATTATTATTATTATTACAATTATTAATGAAATGTTAAAATCACCTGTTGGGATTCCAAATTCAGAAATAGATGTATTTTAGTAATTTTAAAGCCCAGTGTATTTAAAAAATATATATATAGATAAAATAAAAGATTAAATATTGGAATATGTAATATGTTACTACCTTTGGTTTACATTAAACATTGAATATTTTACACTAAAAGACCAACCTTGAATTATAACTATTTAAAAGAACAGTTCACTCAAAAGTAAACATTTGCTTTTAATTTACTTGCATTTTTAAACAGGAATCTTGCATGGCAGACTGTGAAGAACATGCTTAGGACTGTTTGCAGAGGCTATGGATTGCATGTAATGTAATGCGTTAAATACTTTCTTGCTTCTTGCACAAGATTGTTTGTTTTTATAAGACCTCAATTTAACTTAACCTTTATCTTCACATTTAGTCATTTGGCAGACACTTTTATTCAAAGCGAATTACAATGAGAATGACATCAAACGACTGATCATAAAAAGACAGTACTCACATCATGTGCTACTAGTGCAAAGCTTCTGATTTACTTAAAAAAATATAATAGTGATAAGGGTGATAGGGGCAGGTGAGGAAAAAGAGAAGTTTATATATAGTACAACATATATACAGTAGTTCTGTAAATGTTTAAATATTTTACTGACACTCAATTTGCAGGTAGCCTTTGATTCTATTTTATGAATGACCAGTCTCAGATTTATGTTCAATTTAAGAAAGAAACCTACATATCCCTTTCAATTTGCATTTTCATGTCAGTGTTAAATAATTGTGACATTTTACATGTTCAAACTTTTTTGGTGAAGTATTTAATTACCTCTATGCCAGTTTCTAGCATAGTCCAGCCTGGATCACTCTTGTTGATGTGGTTCTGGTAGGCTTTCTCCAGCAGTCCAATGTTCTTGTGATTAAAGGACTTCCAGCGGTTCTTCGGTCTCATTTCCCAAACCACACCAGAACTTTAAAAGGGGATTCAATCATCACGTCACCAACTATACAATCATGTGGCATTTATGCTCCCTCTTTAACGGTTTAGTAATTATTATAAATTAATAGTAACACCGGTTGTTGCTGGGTGTGGATTATTTACCTGGTAATGCCAACATATGCAATTTCCTGCCTGATGTCATTGTTGATGAGTGACAGGCCCAGGTTCTGTAATGAGACGTTGACTTCCTGCTGGAACTGCTCCAGCTCCTCTGCTTGCCGCGCTTTTGTGACTATGCCAACATCCTCAGTGAAGATCAGCACCCGCTGCCGGCCATCCAGGAAAGACACCCAGTGAATCTGAACCAAGCTGCTGTAAGCAAACTGCCCGCACTCATCCTAAAATAAAAGAGCATGAGAGGAAGCGATGAGCATGGCTGTAAGAAAGTCAGTAGATTGACTAACGCTCAATCTTTTTCTAACCTTGACAAGGTCCAGTTCTCCACTGTGGTCTTGACAGCTCCAACAAAGCTTCCTCACCCCTGCTGGATCATCCCATGCAAAGCGCTGAGCTTCGCCTGGCCTCAGAGCCCAACACTCCTCACAACCTCTGCACAAGCACACAGATACACATTCACACACTCAGAAACACTCAATAAGAGTATGATCATACATTCACTGACACCAGATACTTTGATCTGACAGTTTGACATACTCTATGTGAATGTTTCAAAATAAATGCTGTGCCATCGGGTAGTTAAAAGAACTCAGTTATAGGAACTAGCCGCTGTGGTTGTCCCAGGACCGTTTTCCTGGTTGTATTTGTAATACCAGAGTTTTTTTTTAAACTATAGAAAAAAATGATGTAAACTGCCTGAAAGTGACATTGATTAAGCGTGATATTCAACAACATGAAGGAGTCAGAGTTAGGTCTTTAATTGGAGTCATGATTTTGTTGTACGTCATGGACTTTGTGATAAGAGACAAGTAATGCAGACATCACAGCTATGTGATTGAAAAAAAGCCCAAGAGCCTAAATCTTCTACAACTTGAAGGGCTAAATATCATGGAGACTGAGAAAAAAATACAACCCTGCAGAGACGGGCAACAGTTTATGACATTAACGCTTAATTGATGTTAATGCAAGCCCTATTCTGGAATATATATCAATTTATATAGTGCTCACATATAAGTATGGCCTTTACAAATCTCTCTTTTAAATTAATATTTTTAATAGGAAGCTATGCAATATTATATTTGTGCATGTACATTAGATTAGTCAGTACTGAAGCCAAATCTAGAGCTTATCTAACAAAATTATTTAAGATAATGGTCAAAAAAAATAGTAAACCCACATTTATATGTTATTGAAAAATATTAAATACAATTTTTAAAAAGAAGAAAAATCAAGAGAAGCAGACAAATATGAAAAATTTTGTTGAAATTTTGTTGGTTGTAATTATTTTTCAATATTTTGCTTAAATTTAATTGTGTTATCTTTCAATTTCTAAATATGTTTGGTGACTAAAATATAATTTTATTAAATATATCTGTTTAATAAATCTGTTTATTTCAAATGCATCAAAATACATACAAAATACCTATATTCACTGAGAAATGGATAAACATTTATTTTTAATATGGGGGTGTGGGGGGGTTGTAAATAGTCCTACACGTTTTTTTTTTTTTTTTCAAAAAAATCAAAATTGGTAAAAGAATATTAACCTTATTTCATGGTCAATTTTTGTATTTTTATGTTCAGACAATTCATACAGTCTGATGATATAAAAGAGTAAAGCAGTGCTGACCTCTGTCTGAAGTTGACCGTGGCTGAGGGTGTGTGATTCACAACTAAAGCAGGTGCCGCTCCATCATAGTAATCAGTGAAGCTGATGACAGTGGAGTGGTCTGAGATATTCACATCCACTATCACGCCACCATACTGATGAAAACAATGATTAGATTTAATAGAGCTATTAACATGATTTAAAGAGATGACATTTCTGTCATCATTTACCCGCCCTTTACTTGTTGCAAACCTTTTTGAGCTTATTTGTTCTGTTGAGCAAAAAAGAAGATATTTTGAAGAATGTCGGAAACAAGTGACTTCCATAGTATTTGTTTTTTCTACTATGGAAGTTAATGGTTACAGGTTTATAGCATCCTTTTCTTTTCAGAACAAAAATGAACTCAAACTAGTTTGGAACAAGTGAAAGGTGAGTTAATGATGACAGAATTTTAAATTTCAGGTAAACTATTCCTTTAATACAGTACATTAGGCATCACATTCACAGCCAAAGCATGATCACCTGATCCATGCGCAACAGAGTCCCGCTGTCCTGCTTGTTAAAGAAGAATGATTTGGAGCTCGATTCACATCCCACGACCCGCACACACAGCTTCTCTGTGCTGGATTCAGGCCAGAAAGGCAAACACTGTAACACACACATTATCAAAGTCAACACACACACACACACACACACACAACATGAATACTGCTGCCTTCGATAAAAGATGAATTCAGCTCTGACCTCAGTGGAGGAAATGTAGTGCCACTTGTTGCTGGAGCCATTGTTGTTTTGCACCTCTCCAACCTCCAGCTCAAACAAGGACTTGTTGACGAGTGTGTAGAAGGGGCTCATGGTAACAATCCGCGTCAGATTAAAGCTGCTCATTTGGATACTGACCCCAACCTAAAACATCAAACAAGAAACATGTTGTTCTTTAATAGAAAGCTGTAAAATCAAATCCTAAAATTAATAACATTTTTGGACTCTATAGTAGAATGTTGAGATGTCAAACTTCACATGCAGAGTAACACCTAAGAGTTATTTTCCCTTTTTTATGGCATCTCTAACCATTTAAAGCATTTACCAGATAGTCTCCGCTTTTGTCTGGACAGCGCACACATCCATAGCTACCAACGGTGTCCAGCGAGAAGCCCTCAGACCAGGAGCTGGTGGACACACAGAGCTGCAACTGAAACAAAAAGCATAATGTAAAATAAAAAAGAACCACGAGAATAATTTCTACTAAAATGTGAAGTACTAAAAAAAGTATAAAGTTTCTGTTTTTCCATTTGCAGGAAGACCACAGGCTTGCATTATGCAGTATTTTAACAAACCTACATAGGTTTATTCATTAATTTTCCGTCACCTTAGTCCCTTATTTATCAGGAGTCACCACAGAGGAATGAACCACCAACTATTCCAGCATATGTTATATGGAGCAGACGCCCTTCCAGCCGCAACCCAGTACTGCGAAACACCATACACTCATACACTGTGGCAAATTTTGTTTACTCAATTCACTTATACCACGTCTTTGGATTGTAGGGGAAACCCGTGCAGCCGGAAGAAACCCACCTAAACAAAGGGAGAACATGCAAACTGACAACAGAAATGCCAACTGGCCCAGTCAGGACTTCTTGCTGTGAGGCAACAGTGCTAACCACTGAGCCACCGTGCCACTCTAGATTGGTTTTTGTGAAGCGGGAATTGATTCTATGTTTTGGAAGTATTGTGCACTATCCAAAATATCTAAAAATGCATAATGGGGCACTTTGTAAAGACAATTCACCCACACATCTTTTTTTTAACCTGTGTGGGTTTACTTCTTTTGTTGAACACGAAAAGAAGATATTTTGAAGAATGTAGTCATTGACTTCCATTGTGTTTTCTTCTACAATGAATATCAATGGCGATCAACAATATTAAAAAATATCTTCCCTTTTGATCAACAAAGGATCAACTCTCCCTATTAAATTGGCATGATCAATTTAACACTTTTTTATTTGCTAAAATAACTACTAAAAATCCCAATCCAACCTTATTCTTGCTGAAGATATTCTTCTTCTTAAAAGAGAACAGAATCACATCTCTGAAGTCGGACGGGTGTTTCACAAAGGTATCCTCGGCTCGATACTGCAGCACACGGGACGTCTTATTGATGATCCAGTATGGGCTATGAACAGAGAGGATGAATTTGCCGCTCACACGGGACACATGCACACACACATCCACGGTCAGTGCCTCTCCGGTGTCGCAGTTGAAGCAGATGGTGATGAACTCAGGCATGTCTCTGCTAATCCTCATACGGCCAGTCCAGTTACGACCTTGGTACTTGATCAAAATAAGCTCCATTATTTCACCGCTAACGTTCGAGTTCAGCACATCTGCTGCACTGCCCTCCTGAAGCTCATAGATGTCTGCAGAACCCTGTAGGAGACGTGATGGAGTTTTGATTAATGACTGGCTGTGAAATGTTAAACTGATATTCATTCAAAAAATACTATTTAAGAATAGGAGTGTTTCACACTGAAAAAATTGACCATAGTTTTTTTTGTTGTTGCTGTAACAAATGAATACTTTTATAAAACAAAGATGCTGCATTTTTGGAATTAGATACTGTAAAACATGACAGTAACAACTATAATATGGCTACAAAAGATAGTGTAGATATAAAAAAAAAAATCATCTTTTGATATTCCTATTTGTCAGATAATGCTGACAGTATTTATCATAATTTCCACAAAATATTAGGCAACTATTTTTAAAAAGTCTTAGTTCACTCAAACGTTTAACTTTTGTTATTAATTACTGACCCTTATATAGTTCCAAACCCCACAGACCTTCATTCGTCTTTTGACCACAAATTAAGATATTTTGGATTAAATCAGAGCTTCCTCATCCTCCACAGACAGCAATGGCCCCTAGACGTCCAAAGTCCAGAAAAAGAACCCAAAACATTGTACAAACATTCTATGTGACTTCAGTGGTTCAACTGTAATCGTATGAAGAACCCCTTTGACAAAAATTTGTTTGAGTAACTTTTTGTTTGCCAAAATCCTTCACATTAGATCAAGATGAACATTTACTACTGTATGGGAAATACAGTGTTTGTGTGTTGTGCTGCTGACTGATTTAGAAGAACAAAGTCATTTTGGCTCACAAACGTGTTCTTGGAGCTTTATCCTATTACAGTTGAACCTTTAATCTTTACTACACTTTGAACATCTTAAGACCATTACTACATACATTATGGAGGATGAGGGAGCTCTTGGAACTCATCTAAAACAATGAAGTTCTGTCTCAAAAATCAACGAAACACAGAACTTCCATTTTTGGGTGAACTATCCCTTTAATATAGATATTAAAATACAAAAGATTCTTAAGCACTAAATCAGAATGATTTCAGGCTTTCTTGTAGTTTATATAGTGAGATGCTGCTTGCTGCAATGCCACTTGGCCTCAAATTAGGGGGGGGGGGGGGGACTCCTCCTCCTAAAAGCTGTTTTAATGTGTACAGCCTAGCTGGAGCTCAAGTTTCCACTTGCTGGAGCTCAGCTCAGCTCTGCCCAAGTAGCTCTGCAGTGAGCACCACTTGCAAATAATAAACCATGATGCTATCAACACTAACTTGGCAGATTTAATTTTCAAGGAAAGCAAGGACCAATTAAAATAAGTGTATCTTCAATTCAGTGTATGCCAATTTTGGATTAAATCTTCTTCCAAATGCGTAAAAAAGTAAACGTAAATCTATGTGTAGTAAATGAGTGCAGAAAGATCACATGACACTGAAGTAGCTGCTGAAAATTTAGTTTTACCACCACAGTATTAAACTGCACTTCAAATATAGAAACTAATTAAATAAGTTAATAAATAAATAATTATTATAATAAAAATATTATTTTATTAAATTATGATACTTAAATTATTATTTTTTTAAATGTAATATTTTACAAACATAATAAAAAGCTTGCTGCCCCTTAACTTTTAAATATTAAATGTGTTCTAGAATACTGTAACTGTAATAATGCACACACCTCCAGCAGATATCGGATCGAGTAGGGTAGCAGGTTTTTGACTGTGACAGGTGGGTGCAGATGGATGAGGTAAGCAGGGTCCCATTCCACTTCCCCATGATTGGCGATGTGGCTCAGGTCATCAGGCATGGCCAGTGTGTTCACCACTAGCGGCAAGAAGTTGCTCTCTGTTGCAGGACACTGCAGCACTGCATGAACCTCTGAGCTCACGTGAACCTTCTCTTTCCATGCAATGCATGTGGTCGACGCACGATACAGTTTTTCCAAAGGACCAACAGGCAGCAAAAACAGTTGACTCCTGAAGAAACACATATTGCACAGAAGACTTTAACATGAAGCAAAGCAGCACTAGTAGATGATTTTACAGTGCAGTGGGGAGGTGTTAAAGATTCAAGGAAGTAAAATACTTCATTAGGAAAACAGAACAACAATAATATAAGTTTGGTTTGTGTATATATATATATATATATATATATATATATATATATATATATATATATATATATATATATATATATATATATTTATTTTTTTTTTTTTTTCTTTAAGCTATTAATGACAGTCAGTTTTCAACATTCTTCAAAATATTGTCTTTTGTGTAAGAAAGAAAGGTGGGTAAACTTTCCCTTTGATTTATTGTATTATACCTGTTGGCTCTATTTACACCTAGTGTTAAGATACATTATCCGCTGTGTCTACTTGTGATCTGATAACATCTTTTTATTTAAGTGTAAACTAGCCTTTTTAAAAAAGGGCATGTCAACAGAACAAAAAATATATATTAAATAAACAGAAATGATAGTAGCATACACTTTAAATGTCAAGCCTTAACATGTATTTAAAGCAAAACTATTGGAATGTGATAAATAAGCTATGAAACAATGAACATTCGGCTTGAATTCAAATACACCATATGCACACTTTACATAATCAATCATAATTGATAGTATGCATTAAATTTAATATATTATTCAGCATTAAATAGCATTAAATTAAATAGCATTAAATTATTCAAAGCACATTTCAAATCTGAAAAACTAGCCTCCTGGTTGGCTTCCATTTGGATCAGATTACAGGAAATTAAAGTTCTGAACTATTATTGCATATGCTATAGTATAGTTGTATAGTTATTAAATTGATAGTTGTATATTTATTAAATTGATATATGGTTACAGTCGTTACGGTTGCTACTTATTATATTTGACTCATTTGAATACCAAACAAAATGCAAAGATTCACTGAAACAAAGCGGGAAGCATCCACACCTGTATGCTTCCAGAGGGACATGGCACTCCTTCTCAGGCTCAGCGACCCCCACATTCACCATTCCGCCAAGCTCAGAGGAATACTTTAGAATGGCAAAAGGCACTGAGAAATGGTTCTTTATCTGTTAAAACACAATTAGCATGTAGTGAAAAAATGAATAGAAATAGATATGACTTAAGCAAGGTCATTTTAATGAATGATTATTTTTTCATCCAGACAGGTGCACAGATGTATATTCTCTACAGGTAATGTGAGCAGACGGACCTGTAGGGGGGAGCGTACGGTGATGACCTTGTTGCCCTCGCTGGCATCAATCTGAAGCAGCACAGACACCGATTCTTCTTGCATGGGTTGTCTGACATTATAGAGTCTGCGGCCCGGCTTGCCCAGAGGAATATTCGAAATCTCACTGTAACCTGACGGAACTGCACACGAGACATTTAGAATTTGGATTAGGGTATATATCTAAAATATAACATATAAAGCCAAGGAGTATATGCCAAAGAGTCTTGTTTACAGGTGTTTAAATTCATTTTTAGACAACATAACCAATGCATTTACTTCAGAATGGTTAAGAAATCAATATTTGGTGAAATAAACCTGATTTTCAATTGTAACACATAATAATATTTACTAGTAGAAACTATCATTCTGTAAATGACTACATATTAATTTGAAAGTAGACAAATATATTAAACAAATATTAACATTTCACCCCAACACATACAAGTAATTTTAGAGTAACTAAGAATTTTCAAGTAGTCTCTTAATGGTTTCCATAGCTGCAGATCTAACTTTCATTTAGGTGTGTGTGCAGATATTTTTTGTCTGTGTTACTCACCTATGCTGAGATTGAATAAGCAGCTTTCCTGCCTCTGCAGGGCAGACTGTCGTGATGAACGCTCAAACGAGGAATATTCTAAATCCAGACTTTTATCCACAGCCAATTCGTGCACTTTGCCCAGTGTGGATGAGCCAGGCACACGTAGGTTTGCACTGTGCTGAACAATGAGAGCAACGCCTAAAGCATTGCGGATGGTGAATGGAGATTTCTCCTTCAGGGAATGGTCAAATGTGGAGGCTGTGCTCTCTGAGAATGCCTGCCAAGAGACAAATGCATAAACAAATTTAATGTGTATAAAAAATGTTCTGATAATGTTACACGTATACACAACCATTTAAAGGTTTGGGCGTGAATGTAATTATTTTCCTATGATAGTGATGCTGAATTTGTAGCAGCCATTACTATCTTATGTGTTTCCTAATCCTTCATAAATTATTTGGTCCATTGAAATTAACTTTTTTTTTTAGATGTTAGTTTCAGACAGTTAGATTTCAGGATATCTATTAGCTAGTGTGCTCCAAAACAGTGACAAAAATCGCATTGAGAATATATATATCCAATATAAATATCCAATGTTTCCCAGAGATGGGTTGCATCTGGAAGGGTATCCGCTGTGTAAAAAAAACATTTGCTAGATAAGTTGGTGTTTCATTCTGCTGTGGTGACCCCAGATTAATAAAGGGACTAAGCCGAAAAGAAAACGAATGAATGATGAATAAATATCCAAAGCTTGCAGCTTGTCACTTCCAACTAAATGGATTAACAATTTTTTTTTCGCATCACCTCATACTTCAGTTTCTTATCAAATCTTGACCAATCAAATTCTCTCTAGTATCTGACATGCCCCGCGCATATGCTTTTCATTTGATGCGTTTAAACTCAACCACTCTCACAGGCAGAGCTGTGATAAAACTAAACGCTATTGGTTGTTTTTATAGAAGGGGAGGAGTTACTTTATGTCCCAACCTCTCTTCCTATTTTCAGTTAAAATTACATCAATCATTGAATAAGAAATGCACATTTCAAAGTACTTAACAGAACCTTTTATATGCTGATTTATTATCAATCTTTAAAAAAATGCTTTGACTGTTTTTTAAACCATAATATTTTCAGTCATAACAAATCAAAACATTTGTTATTTTAACCAATTGTCATTTTATGAAAAACTAAAAAAAAATTACATCCACAATTCTATTCTACTGCTGGAAAGGCAAATAAAAAGCATTTATCATGATGAGAAAATGCATGTAATTTACATGAATGCTGTTCTCGGGATAGAGCAGTTTACCTTAGCCAGGTTGTTGAAGACATTGAGGCAGCACTTGGACACTGTGATGTTCATGGTGTCTTTGGAGCATATGGTGATGGCTGTGCGAGGGTCTGGCAGCATAATAAAATCATCCCCAGGAACTGGACTTTTATCTCGTACAGGGTTATTCTTCATCTACACACAGAAACACATGCAAAAAATGACCAACAGAACACATTGCAAATCTCATTCCAAAAAAAAAAAGTCACAGAAAAGCAGACTAAAAAACACCCCAATTGTGCACATGACAAATAAATCTGCCATCCAAAGGGAAAGCACATTGACTATGCATTTGGCCAAAATTGATTTGGGGTTTGTGACATCTGTTCTGTGTTGTGATAAAGTTCAATTGTATCCTATGTTTAACATGCCGACGTAAAAACTTTTTAGTTTTTTCTAAAACTGAGAAAAAGATATTTTCTCAGTTTTAGTGTTTGCGTAGTTACTGCACTTCACCTATGTAGGGGAGAAATTACTTTTAAAACCTGAGTGTTTAGATTAATGTGGAGGGAATGCAAATTTATATTCAAAATGTGGTTCTCACATCCAATTTGAGGTTCCACCTGCGTTTCCCATTGTCCACCCTCTCCAGCAGTGGCTCCCATACTGCATGAGTCTCATTGAAGTAATTGACCTCTAGTGTCATATCTGCAGAAACACTGAGCAATGATGACCAGTTCTGAGCCGTAACGCTGAAGGACGACTCTGCAAGCAGCAGAGGAACAGTCCGATGGCCCAAACCGGACTCAAGCGTAACCTGCACCACCTTCACCGTTAATCCGAAGGTCTCTCCATCTTTACTGCTGTCCACATCTGTGAAGCTCTCGGTGACCTCAGAAGCTGTGTCCACTCCGAGGAACCAGTAGTTCGCATTAGCGACGCTCATCAAAGACCAGAGGCTGTTCTGGTCACCAGACTTCTGCTGTGACAGCTCTTCTTTGGGTTTGGGTGCCATGGCTGCTGTGATGGTTATGACGGTGTTGAGAATGATGGGAGAAATCTGATATAGCAAGATAGGGAAAAAGCATTTTTGCTTGATTATGAGTATGATGAAAACAAAAGATTTTAAATAATACAATGCTATATAGACCTATGAATAAAATAAAGAGACTGCTTCAAATTTTCCCTTTCTGGAGGTTTAACGAATGTTTTTAAAGTACTAACAGTACAAATAATACAATTTTTTATTATATAAACGTTTCAGATTTTTATTTTTTTCAGATTTAAAATGAGATAAAATAGTTTTACTCTAACACAGGGGTGTCCAAACTCAGTCCTGGAAGGCCAGTGTCCTGCAAAGTTTAGTTCCAACCCCAATCAGACACACCTGGGCTAGTTAATCAAGCTCTTACTAGGCTTTCTAGAAACATCCTTGCAGGTATGTTGAGGCAAGCTGGAGCTAAAATCTGCAGGACACCAGCCCTCCAGGACTGAGCTTGAACACCCCTGCTCTAACATATGACTATCGCAAATGTTCAAATTTGCAAAAAAATATTTCAATATCAGAAAAATGGTTTCCTAATTTTTCTATAGCTGTATATTTACAAAAATTAATAGTAAAAAAATGATCTTAACACAAAGTAACAGCAGCTTTGTACAGTAAAGCCATAATAAGTGCAGTTTAAGGATCAAATATTATACACTGTTGTTTAAAAGTTCAGGTTTTAATAAAATAAATTAATATTTTTATTCAGCAAGAATATTGTGATCAAATGTGGCTTTATGAGATTCTAAAAAAGATTTCAATTTCAAACGAATGTGAACTATTTCACATTAAATCATTATGGCTAACAGAAAACCACCTTCACTATGACCTCCTCCACAGTCATTGAACCAGCTAACGGGGCATTGGCTGGCATTTTGGTCTCAAGTTCAACAGAGCACGGCCTCAGCACCTGCAGCGAAAACAAATAATCTGCATTACAAATGACACATTTCAGAGATAAGTGTAGGTTTTACAAAGAAAGTTTCATGATGAATAATATATACCGCCTTACTAGAAAAATATTGTACAATATGATATTGAGCTGGACCAACTTTTTTTGGATTACAGTGGGTATTCATTGTGGCAATGGAAATCTTACGCAACACAATACCCCTTTTTAAATTAAAAATAACATACATTTTTTCCCAACATATTGACAATGGAGATTGGGGATTTTCAATGGACTTAAGGTATTTGTGGTGGCAAAATCATGTGTGACAGTGCTTTCTCTCTCAGGTTCTCTCAACTATTTTGCACAATTTGAGCCTTACAAATTTTATCATTGCCTTCCTATAACACTACAAAAAAAATATGGTTTTAAAATTTTAAGATTAATTAGTTTCATACTACTGTACATAAGTTAGAGATAAAATAATTGCTGTCAAAAATATAAAATGCTAAAAACACACTCATCATAAACTAATCAAACTCCTGACCATTTGCTAATTTAAAGACCTTTTTTGTCCAAGCAGTGTATTTTCACTAATTTCTTTAAAATAAGCCTTCGAGTAAACATACTTTTTTCATATATAATAAGAAGTAAACATACTGTGGTCACAGCTTTGTCACCCTCTGCTCTGATGAAGGGGCAGGCGAGCACTTTCAGGCTCCTGACATTGGCTTTCATGGTCTGACCGGCTTCTTCTGACAGCAGACTGAAATCACACTGGAACGAGGCGACCAGCGCAGGAGCATCTGCCTTCATTAGGTTAGCCACAAACACAACCTCTGGGTCCACCACAACTGCTCGCAGCTTGGTTCTCTGAGCTGGGACTGATGATAGATACACTGTTAAATAAAAATTCAAATCCTTTCTGATATAAAACATTCACATATTGTCTGACCAGTTAATTTAACATTCATTTTTAAGAGGAACATTTTTTTTCAGCTAATGAAAATTTTTAAAGAGACCACTTGATAATTCTGTTCTCTGGGTTGACTGAAGTTATCAGATATGCTTGAGTAAAATTTAATTATGCATTTTATTCCATAAAGTTTCTGATAACATATAAAAAAAAACATTCCCATTGTCGTTAACATTTTTTTCAAGGAAATAAAAATTGATCAGACTAACAAATGTTTTTACTTGTTGTTATTAAAAATCAGGGTTATTCCCTCAAGTATTGATCGAATGAAACGTTTTTGGATGCTACATTCAAATCAAATACCAGAAGAATGTGTTGTCTATTTACAAATATTGTGAAAAGTATGATAAAAAAATGTTCAAATTGCTCAAACCATACACAATAAAGAAATAGTGGATATTCTTATATGGTCATCAATGGAAATGTTATCTGGTGGTGATGTCTGGTACTGCGCCCAAACAAAATCTTAATGAAAAGTCATTTTTTGAGATATAAACTTCAAATTATCATATATTTAGCTTTAATTTTCTAACACTTTTAAGGTAATATATGTTTTGTAAAATACAAGTTCTATATAATATTTAAAAATATAAATGTATAGTTTTATTGTTTTTATAAACTTCACGGCACATAACTTATGTTATTAAGATTTTTCACTTCAGCTAAAATCTGAAAATTGTCATGTTTAAAATGAGACCAAGTTTAAATCTATGCACCAATTAAAGTTAAGCTTGAACATTTATACATCTATGCTCAAACAGTGGGGCGACAGCACAGGGTTAACTCGTTTGAATATAAGGCATTGCTATTGTGTTTTTTAAAAAAAGCCAAGTGGTCTCCTAATATTTTCCAGAGCTGTATATTGACAACAATTTATCAGGTCCTAAGCTTGCTTTACTCATTATCTTATTATCTTATATTTAACCTGTAACTTCTCAATCTTTAACAGTATCATCCACACCTGCTTTAGGTTCAGTGTGGATTTTAGGTTCAGAGACGTATTTGAGTGGCAGCTGGTTGGTTTTCTCTCTCTGTGTGGGTGGACTCGTGGGCAAGGCTTGTACAAAAAAGTCAGCGACAGCCAGCAAGAACTCAACGCTAGCACACAGATAGAGCTTCTGCAGCACAGCGACCACTGAACGTTCATCCACACTCTGAGAATACGTCACATCAATCATGGGCTCTGATGTCTCCTCATCACGCCTTCCCAGCATCCTACAGGGGAAAATATTACCAGTGATCAGAAAAGAGGGGTGAAGCCAAGAAACATGACTCTATGCAAGGTTAATAATTCATTGTTTACTTTTAGTTAAATATGTGCTAGCTTGGTGAGTGTAAGGTACTTCAAACAATAAAGAAAAAAAAAATACTTACAGCATTTCTTATATACAATAACATTAACATTACAATATTATCCTGTGATTTAGTGCTTTTTAGTGCAAAGTAACAAACATAAAAGTATACTATGATTATACTAGGGATGCTCCGATCAGGATATTTGCAGCTGATGTCGGGTTCCTTGTCTTGGTGATCGGCCGATACCAAGTATCGATTCTGATGCTTCAAGCTTTATATAACTTTGCTATTGCATAAAGTGCATTTTCCCTTCAAGTATGATAAAGTGGAGACATCTCCTTAATTAAAGATGCTGAATATATCCCTTAAACATGTCTCTCATAACTATTTAGTGTAATGGTTGAAGCACTTTTACTGAAAATTATACATTACACATTTTTTGGAAACATTACAAATGATGGAAGAATTCAACATGTATCAATGAAGAAAAAGTTTAGAGCGCATATTTGATGCATAAGTAAAATGCACATCTATAAATCCATAGTTTTTCTTTCCTAAAGAAAATAGGCCTGTAAACTAATGTTTATTACAACAAGTATATTACAACAAGTTATATTATGAATTATATATTAAAGTACAAAAAAAGTTGTACTTTTTTCCCCATAAAATTACAAAAATTACAAGTTTCAGAAAACAAAGCCATATTTTTTGGCTTCAATGCTTCGATTTAAAAAGCATTTAGATATTTGGACTAGAAACAAGGCAAACATATCTTAGTAAGAAAAAGATTTTTTGCAGTGTATCCATGCTATCATACTATATTATATGAAGTTGAGGTCAAACCTATTATAATTACTTTAATTATTTTAAAAATAATAATAAAACAAAATAAAAGTGCTGTTTAACATATAAAAACTTTTTTAAATAGAAAGTTAATTACTAATTAGAAATGCATTTTTAAACTGATTCTTTCCCATGATGACAGTACATAATATTTTACTAGTAGGTAGTTCATCATACATTGGGCATTGGACAACAGTGGTTTGTTCTGTAGCAAAAAATAAATAAATAACTTAAAGGGACCAATAATATTGACCTAAAAAATTGTTTTATACATTAAAAAAAACTGTCTGTTTTATTACAGTCAAACAAAAAGAAGAAAAAAAGGATATTGTGTGAAAATTTCCTTGCTCTGGTAAGCATCACTTGGGAAATATATATATATATATATATATATATATATATATATATATATATATATATATATATATATATATATATCTTTTTTCAAATATATAAAAATCTATTTAAAAGTATTAAAATGTGAGTGTGTATATTTCAGAAGTGCTTATTACATTTTATTTTAGAACAAATAATGTTTTTTTTCATTAAAAAAACTAATTATATTAGTTAGTATTATGTTCATCTATTCTATTTTATATGTAAATCACCTGGACGTGACTCGTTGAATTCCACTCCTTCTGTCATCCAGTGTACATGTTGTGAGGATTGTGGAAACCTCCATGTTGCCATTATTAAGCATTTTCCCAGACATCTTCATTTTACACAGCATAAATTCACCTAAACACGACTTCTCCTCATGCACACAGGGCTACAAAGAGAGAAAGACATATATAAAACACACTCTCATACACAAACTTTCTTTATCAATGGAGTGCAACTGTAAACAGTCAACGATGTCCTGTTGGCTTCATACACACCTGTGAAGGGTCATTATTATAGAGTGTGAGTCCAAGAGACTCTACATTAAAGCTGAATCTGACACTCTCCAGCAGTTCTGTCTCCTTCAGTTTACTTTCCGACAGCTTCTCCTCAAGAATCTCAGAGCCTACGCAAAACACACACATACACAAATCATCCACATTTATTGAGCTCTTTTTCAGGACAAAAAAACTAAAACATCTGTGTGTTTCTCTGCTCTCACCGGTCGCTGTACGAGCTCTGACAAGCACATTCTCTTGTCTGAGTGCTGTGTCAGACTGAATGTCGCTCGCCTCGCCGATGTTCTCCATCAGAATCCGCAGCAGGACGCTCAGGTCATCTTGACTCAGAGCCACCTGGAACACAGGCAGGAAACACAAGGATCTTGATTAATTTTCTTCACAATTACATTCCAAATTTATAATTACATATTAAATTTATTAGAACAAGATCTCACAAAATATGGAAGGATAAAAATATGAGACAGACAGACAGACAGTTAGATGGTCTGATTGATTGATTGATTGATTTTTTGATTGATTTATTGATTGATTGATTGATTCAATCATTCATTTATTAATTTTCCTTCGGCTTAGTCCCTTTATTCATGAGGAGCATATGTTTTACACAGCGGATGCCCTTTCAGCTGCAACCCAGTACTGGGAAACACCTATACACTCACTCATTCACACACATACACTACGGCCAACTTAGTTCATTCGATTCACCTATAGCAAATGTCTATGGACTGTAGGGGAAACCAGAGCACGCAAAGGAAATCCACGCCAACACGGGGAGAACAAACTTCACACAGAAATGCCAACTGACCCAGCCAGGACTAGAACCAGCAACCTTTTTGCTGTAAGGCGACAGTTCTAACCACTGAGCCACTATCTTCTTAAATTTTAAAGTTAGCTTTCAATTTTCATTTTAAAGACAATATCGCAAAACAGTGTTGACATGATAGTCGAATGTATAACTTCGAAGCAGTAATAACAAATAAACAATATTGATGTTAAATGTTATTGTTAGATTACACTGAAAAAATTGCCACTGCATTTGGGACATAAAATCTGTTCTTCTAAGTATTTTTTTCTCAACATTTTAAAATGCAAGTCAGTCTGGTGCACATTTTTGTGATAGAGCCTCAGTGGTAATTTTAACAGTGACAAGTGAACAGTCAATTTATAAGTCTACACTGTATGAATTAAATATAGATTCATGTTTGTTAACTATACAACATCTGTAAAAAGCAGTGAGAAAATCACTCTGTGTCTTTGTTTTCTTAATTAACATTGACATCAGTCTGTTTATTTACTGTAAGCCACTGTCACTTTAAAGCCAAAATTTACATTTTTTATTTTGCTGGCACACACTGTATTTCTTTAGGTGACAAATTAATCTGTGCAAGTTAATTCACTGAAAAAAAAAACAGTTGTTTTGGCAATTTTCAACCAAAATCTGTCCATTTGCTTCCCTGTTTGGAGCGGCAGTCCTTGGGCTCTATTTTGACCATCCATGCGCAGAGTGCAAAGCGCAGGGCACAAAAGCATTAAGGGCGTGTCAGAATCCAGTTTTGCTATTTTAAGGATGGAAAAAACCACTAACAGGGTTGAGCTTATTCTCTTAATGAGTTATAGGTGTGTTTTGAGAACAAACCAATCAGAGTCTCATTTCCCATTCCCTTTAAGTCAGTTGCGTCGTGCCATAGCGCATTTGCTATTTACATGACAAACTTTGTAAGTGGAAAAACTGAATGCTTCACTAAAGAGAAAACAGGTAAACAGAGCATCTGCAGTACGAGAATTGATTCTTTACTTTCACTTTCACTCTCGTGGATAGGGAAACATGTTGTACGCAAAGACATCCATTAGCCTATAAATAATTAATTTTGTTTGTTAAGCGCTAAGATTTGTTTCAAAACCATTTCTAAATTCTAAGTTCTAATTTCCAGCAAACGAATAAATAAACAATAATAATGAAGTGTGTTAGAACAACTGAGTTATATCCTACACATGCTATGCCTCATATGGTCTAAAACCTGACAGGTGGGCAAATCTAAGCTTGCTTTTAATAAAACTAATATAAATATGCATATAATAAATACTACTACTAATAATAATAACATTAAACAAAAGCATATTGTCATGAATAAACTAAAAAAGCCCCCAGAGATGAAGAAGGCATGAAAGTGTGGTTTTAATATTTATGTAGGCTAGAAAATAATCATTTTTGTAATATTTCAATCCTTTAATTCTTTTTTATTTGTAAAGATATTTGCATATTGCTGTACATCCTGTCTGTATTAAGCAATGTGTAAGCGAGGTGCACAAATAACGTGCTCTGCACTGAACTATAGACCTGCATTTATCTGATCTATTGAACCAACTATTTTAGTTCCTCAAAATACCAGTGCGCCAGCAATGCGCCTTAATACGCCTCCTTTTTTAGACCAGAACGCCTATGGGCGCACATACAGTATGAGCGCAAATGCATTTGCCATTTAAACAGCGTGGTGCAAAACGTCCAAATGACTCTTGCACCAAGCTAAAACTAGCAAACAATATTTGCAAAGCGTCTTGCGTCTCATTGTGCTGGTTCAGTATGGTTGTAGTGTGAGTGCAAAGTGCGCCTAAGCCCTAAACTGAAGACACGACATTAATTTTAAATAGAACTGTGAACCTACACTGGTCTCACATTTCGGTTTGGTTATGATTATTATGCCATCAATTCGGTTCAATTCAATAACTCGGTGCATCACAGTGCATTGACGATTCTTTCCATACACAATTACCTCACAGTTACCTCACGCCAGCTGGTCAAAGGTCAAGAGAGAGAGACAGAAATGAAGTTTTCTTCATAGCAGGGGCTTCAGCTGTGTTTTAGTGAAAGATTGTCCAGCAAATACACACGCAGTGAAATGTGCAGTTTCTGCATTTTTAATTTGTTGAACCCATTTCATTACTCACACTCGCCCGACTCGCCATAGTAAGCTACCGCAATACAGAGCATATGAGATAAATGATGTCAGTACATAATAACCGGTTATGATCTATTACTGAACCGATGCCGAATTGCCCGCGTCTGCATCATGGTTCACCAAAATTATTTTTGAAACCCCTACTTTTAAGGGACTGTTTCATATGGATTTATTAATCATTCTTACTTTTCATTGAACGTGAACTGTCATAGTTTGTTAAAGATGCAAACCCCTCGCTGCACATCAGCTGCATCTTCAGCAAACCTCCTAATACGTGCAGCGCAATGACTTTTATGATATCAAAAGTAGTGGATCTGTTTGGCAAAATATTTCACTGCATGTAACTGCATCCCAAACGACTAAAACAATTTAACTAAAGCAATCTCCACTGTGTCCAAGCGAGAGCACTGCTCTTCCTGTTAAACTGAACAGTCGCATCATCAATGACGTAAGCGTGCTCCAGCTAGGAAAGCAAAATGCAGGATGAGTGCAGGCCATCGTGGGAGTGGGAAGGGGGCACAATTGCACTTCGGCACGGTTCAAAGCACCTGTACCTGGTGTGAGTGTGCCCTTAGTTTGCTATGATGGAACAATGCGCAAAAAGAAAGTCCCGCCCCCTACTCAATATTTAATTCAGATAGAAGTACATAAACATAGTAAAATATAAGAGTCTTAGCAACTTCTGGTTCATGCAGACTTTAAGATTCATTAATAAAATTAAACAACAATTGTCAATTTAGTTTCATTTCTAAACGTTATAATCACACAAAATCTGCAGAAACCAAGCCCCTCCCCCAGAGTATCGTCAGTCTACAGCGGTGGATGATTGGCTCCTGTACTAGAAGGAGGGTTTTATATGTCATATAGTGAACAATGAATGGCTTTTTTACTAGTAGGCAGGGCCTTATTTACCATATTGACCATTAAACTTTTCCCTATATAAAAGATACAAGTGACATATCTTGTGTATTCTATGGTCTTTGCTTAAACACAAATGTAATTTTGACTTGTGGGATTTTCTTATTTTTTGGTAAATCCTTCAATTCGCTCAGAAGTATGTCACAGAGTGGAAAACCTTCTGCTCACAATACGGCTTGGTCTATAAATTAAAGAATGCATCCTGCTAAGATGTAAACAGACCTTCATTGGCTTCAGATCTCCATCCACTTCTATCGCAGCCATCTTCTGGTACCACGATGATGCCAAGTTACGTTTAACCGACAGAACCAAATTAACAGGCTCCAACAGTTTCGAGCTAGTCTGATCTGAGTCCAGCTCCATGGAAATTCTGAGGACACCAAAAAAAAGTGTGCATAAGAGGAAAAGCATACATATAAGAGAAATAATGGCTAGCTAGAATCTGGACTTTGAAAACCCATTAAATGAATTCTGTTCATTTAATTATCTGATCTTTTAATAGACACATATTGGATATAATTATACTTCGAAAAGCAAGTCTGAGAATCCTAGATAAGCCACGTGGCAATGTGCTACCTGGACAGTTTTAGCTGAGTGAGCTGTATGTCCATATTATCTATGACAGCAGGCAGTGGACGGCCTTCCACTGGGAGCAGTGAGAAGCGGTTTCCCACAGTAATGAGACCCAAGTCTGCCTCCACAGCATTGTGGGATGTGGAGGACTGAGGGATTATGATAAGGGGGGCCTTCAGTTTGATGTCCATGGCGAGTCTGAAGCTCTTCTGTGCAAAATCCCTCACGCTGGAAGCTGCTTTCTCTGCAGCCTGAGCCGTGGCAGCACTGAGAGCCTCTTTCGCTTCCTGGAAGTTATTACTGAAATTCTGTAAAGAGAGAAAGCCAATGTAGGTTTAGTGTGCTCGAATCGAATTGGCGCAGAGGTCATGTGTGCAGTTCAAACCCACCAGCAACGACATGAAGAATTTGTGAAGGTAGACCACTTGAATACAGCCCACGTTGAGTTTCACTTTGCCATCGACCTTTGAAGTGTCTGTGTAGCCGGCCCCCTCAGTGGCTTTGGGCGTCAGACTCATGCTGAAGCTGAACACCTCATCGCCTACGATGGAGATGGCCTACAGAACCACAAATAACAGATTATACACTTCAGCTCTACTTTATTTAAAAGCCAAAGTAAATCTTTAAAATTAAATAAAATGATAATAAAGTAATGAAAAACGAATAGCCATACAGACAGTGGTCAAAGGTGAAATGATTAACAAAGGATGCAGTAACTAGATTTCTGAAAAACTTTGATGTTGGCTAGAAAAAGACTAGCCTGAAATGTTTAAATAAAGTTATAAAAGATGTTTAACATTTGGATAGCACACTTAACACACTGTTAGCAGGTATTGACATTGCTAATAAGATTAGCACATTGCTACCATGTTTTAGAATTTTGCAAACCGATGTTGTGAAAACAGTAAAATATTACTAATATAATAGATTAAGACACCTTTTAATAAAAGTAACTAATTGTATTAAATAGCTACTTTTTTAAAGAATGTGAAAGTGCATGTTATTTTAGCAAGGTTTTTTTGTTATCCTTAAAATTAATATATTACTTTTTATCCAACACTGTTGCCAATATGCTTTAGCACATTTCTGTCATATTTTATTGTAACAACATGTTAATGCTTGGCCAAATCATTAGCTGATTGGGCTGGGATACCAACTGAAATTACCAGCTATAATGTGCTTGACTAGCCTAGACAGGCTGGGAGTCAAACAGAGATGCTGATATTATGCTTAAGTAAATTGTAAATTATAAAGCATAAACTAACATGTTGTTTATGTTTAACACATTAATAGCATAAATGAACATGTTAGCAAGGATGATGTTTTAAAAATGGTTAACATTATTAAATAAACAAGTCATTGGCATGTTTCCGAATGTTTGAAAAGTTGCTAACATGTATAAGCATGAATGTCATTAACATGTTTAGTACATAATGCGTTGTTAGCACATTTTAACACTATGCTAGCATCAAACTGCATGTTGCTAGCATGTTTGTAACAATGTCACTGTGTTGTTTACATGTTTTAAGACTATGCAAGCATGATTCAACACACTGATGATATATTTCTAACATGTTTTAAAACAGTTAGCATTTTTAACATGTTTCTAATATATTGCCTTACTACATTTCTATCATGGTTCAAAATTGGTTAACATTGTTAAATAAACAAGTCGCTAGCATGTTTCCAAATGTTTGAAAAGTTGCTAACATGTATTAGCATGAATGTCATTAACATGTTTAGAACATAATGTGTTGTTAGCATGTTTTAACACTATGCTAGCATCAAACTGCATGCTGCTAGCCTGTTTCTAACAATGTCACTGTGTTGTTTACATGTTTTAAGACTATGCAAGCATGAATCTGCATAATGATGACATGTTTCTAGCATGTTTTAAAACAGAATTAAAATAATTAACATGTTTTTAATATATTGCCTTAGCACTTTTTTATCGTGGTTCAAAAATGGTTAACATTGTTTAATAAACAAGCCGCTAGCATGTTTGAAAAGTTGCTAACATGTATTAGCATGTTGCTAGAATGTTTCCAACATGGTTAACACATTATTAGCAATAATCAATGTTGTTTTTTTTTACAAATTCTTTCAGGGGAAAAGGAGAAAATAGATAAGAAAATAAATAGTACATCATTGTATACTAGCTTTCCCAAGCCAAAATAAAAAATGTCTTGTGGTCAGAATAACTTACCTTCTTGTGAATTGTTTTTGAATCCACATTTATGACGATGAAGTCACGCAGACGTGTGAACATGTGCGTCTGAGTTCCTTTCATTTGAAGAGAACCGTCTAATCCTACAAAAGGAGAGAAAGAAAAAGAGGGTCTTGTGTAAATAAAAGGGTCTTTTGCCAAAAATCTGCATATTAGAATAATTTCTAAAGGATCACGTGACAAGGAATGGAGCTAATGCTGCTAAAACTCAACTTTTCCAGGAATAAATTGCATTTAAGAATATAAATGTTTTTTAAAAAGTGTTATTTTAAATTGGAATTATATTTCACAATTTTACAGTTTACTGACACGCTAAAAGCTTACAGTATATAGCATCTTGAGGTTTTACATTTTCAAAACTAAACTATATTCTTACCCTGAATCTTGATGTCAGCCATGTTGCTCTTCTGGTCACAAACTAACACATTAAATGCTCCGAGCTGCATATTCACCATCAAGTCAATGATGTCACCATCAGATGGAGAGCTCAGTGCAGCTGAGACACAAACAATCCTTCATTACTGCATCCTTAATACTTCAAAGACCAATGCTGAGTTTGTCAGCTTTAATCGTTAAGTTTGTCTGTGTGTGCTTACTGGATTTAGCTGAGGTAGTTTTCATATCTTCAGACTTTTTGCTCTCTCTCTCAGGTGAGGGAAGGCTGCTGGTGGACAGAGCGGCAGACAGGAAGTCCATGGTAGATAGCAGAGCCTCAGTGTGCAACATCAAGTCAAGCGAGGAGAACACCACCTGAAGACACACATCAGTATGAAGTTCTTCTGAAGTTAAGATGAGACACTAAATAAACAAAAACACTGCTTGGCTTTTTGATTCACAGTGGGGTTTTTTTTGGACAAAACAACATCCAAATACCTATTCAAGTGTTTCTTTGTGGCTGCAGAATTCTGTAATAAATTACAGTACATATTTCTAAAAGATAATAATTTCTTCTGCTTTTAGCTATAAATTTCAGCAGCATTTACATACACTAAACTTCACAGTTTTATTTATATCTTAGGGTTTTAAGATATTAGGGTTTTACATAGAAATATTCATGGTAATATTTTTGCCTGATTATAAAATATTGTATTTTTATTCTATAAAATCTTTTGGAAAAAAAACTAATATTCAGAAATATTTATAATTAAGTGAACATTGAACATTACTTTATTCAAACACATGCATAAGTGCTTCTTTAAATAAATAATGCCTGATTTGCTTGTTAAAACAAAATCTTTCAAAAAACTTGCAACAAAAAATTAAGCAATTTTCAATGTAAATCAATCCACCAGGGAATTATGGCAATAAAGTAAATTTTAGCTATTTTTTAACCCTATTCACTTGCAATTATTTTGCCCTAAAACCTCAATCTAAAAACTGCATAAGATTACATGATGCTCAGATGCTTACGTTCATCTTCTGCTCAGTATTTTGGTAAAGGCTTGCAAAGTTTGGCCCATTTCGATCAGCCTACAAAGATAAGAAAGAAACAAGATTAAGATCTCCATTCATGAAGTGGAACACCTGCTTCATCTGTGTCAAGACGTCTATCCCAAAATCAATAATAGACAACCTAAAATCAAAGTTTGTTAATCACAACAGCTATGCATTTAATCCGGCCACAATTAGTATGCATTCATATATCTAGTCCTTTAGCTGTATACTTGTTTGACAGTCTCAATGAGGAAATGGCCCTCAGAAGGACCCAAAATAAGAACCACTTAACAAACATTAAAGAGCACAAGGGCTGGCTACAATTGCCCTGATGCCTTGATCGTGCTATGAATTCATGTACTGACCTAAATTAATAGTTAAAAGAGCTAAAAGCCTGCCTAGACATGAAATGATCTGCCACTAGTTAACTCTAGCATGCATTAAAATGGAAACATTCAACACAATAAGAACTTTTGAGTGATGCCCGCATAAAGCATTTTATAATTAAAGATACATGCATGTACTGTATAAATCATGTTGAGAGTTACCTTGAAATATTTGACTTCAAGAAGATCTGCTCCTGATTCTGCTGAAGAACTGATTATGCAAAGCGGTTCTCCATTTGAATCTGCAAAAACATATGCATATGTTTATTGGTGGACAAATATGATTATTTTAACATATAAATTATATGATAAAATATAAAATTGTGTTAATTTATAATGCAAGGGGTTTTGTACATTTTATGAAGATAAACATATTGACTAAATCATTTAGAGAGAACACATCAAATCAATATTGAATTAGTTGTATAAGCAATTCAAAGATTTAAAATGTATATTTGTATAGATCTTGTGTGGAAATAAGATTTAAATCAAAATGAATTTATTTTAGATGCAATATAAAAGAAGAATTTTTAAATATTTGCATAGGAAAACAAAAAAACAGCTGTTTTGCAGTGTATGCAACATTTATTTCATTTAAATTTAGAAATTTAAAAGGTTTTACTCTAATTTAAAATCTTTAAAGTCTAAAATGATCAAAGGCCGAACTTTTTAAACCCTACATAAAAATCTTTTTGTCTGCTTTACAACCAAACTCTACAAACCAGGAAATTCTAGGCACTTCATGGAGATGGTTTTGATGTATGTTGTTGCCTCCATATCGTATTTTCGAACTTTGGTGTCAATTCCAAGCTGAGATACATCGAGAACCAAAAAAGGACTCTCGTCCCCATTTTTGGACTTTTTCAACATCAACATAACCTACAAGAAGACAAACACAGGGTTTTCAGCCCACACAAGAAGCCTAGTCAACAAAGCTGTTGTCTGTTGGACATTACATGAAAGTAAGAACCACCTTCTTGATTTCAAAATTGAGCAGCACGTTGACAACATTCTCAGTGAAAGCACCGTTGGTCAACGCAGGTAGACTCCCTATACCCACTGGAAGTGTCTGCATCAGTCCTTCATCTATAACCGCTTCATCTGTAGAAGACGACAGGGTCAAATTAAGCCCTAGAAACTTATCAGTCAGTCCAGGGTTTTGTAGGACATTTTTCTGAATTTTGCAGCCTAAAATGACAAAATCTATTAAAATATGGGACAACATTTTGCATTTCTTGTGTTGTTGTGCTGCAAAAATACAAGCAATAAATTGTACTTTTTTAACCTCTTAAACCATTGTACTCTGTAACAATAACTGTACAGTAACTCTGAAAAAAAAACAGAGAGACATAAGTTTTTATCTTTTAATCCTATAAAGCATACGGTATCATATTTAATACTGAAAGGACACTAAATGATCAAAATAAACTTAGTTTAAAAAGAATGATCATTTTGATTAGCAAATCCATTAGCATTAGAAAAATCATGCGAAAATGTATTTAGCAAATATAATGTAATTGATCAGTAAATCAACCTTTATTGCAGGTTTTCTGTATTGCATTGTGAGCTTTCATCATAAATTTAAACACATTAATCCTACTAAACAGTTAAAACCTACTCTACACTTAAATCCAAGTAAAGACTCTTGATTATTTCGATTATTTACAAGAAGTCCACAATACTAGTGTAAAAATAGAATTTACTTACATTTGTAATTAATAACAATTGTATTACAGTTGCTACTTCACCTTGTTTGAGAATTTAAGTGTATTAAACTAATTTAAAAAAATAACAATTACATACTTTAACAATGGACTAATTTAAAATCATTTAAGCTCCTCTAAATTAAGCAGGATTTTGTTTTGCATTAAATTCTGAGTTCGCAGAATCACAAAATCCTGCTTGTACCTTTAGCAGAAGCTTTTGTTCCCTCCACTGCAGCAGCCTTGCTTCCTTCGCCAATGTTCTCTGCTAGGATTCTCATGAGGACGCCGAGATCCTCCTGTCCAAGAGACATCTACACACACCAGATAAATATAGACCTTTAGTTTTCTCTCCAGGCAATAAGTGTGGGGTCTTATTTTAAATCAAACATTTCATGAAAGACTTACGTTCATTGACATGAGCACTCCATTGACCTCCACACCAGGAATTTTGTTGTACCAGGCGGCAGCCAAATTACGCTTGACTAAAAGTTCTAGATTTATGGGCTCCAAAATCTCAATATCTAGATGATCAGCATCATGCTTCAGGACAGTCCTGAGGAAACCATGTTAAATTAATAAGAGTTAGAAACACATTACTGAATTATTTAGTCAATTTAAGAGAGGTTGAGAAGACTAGAGACAATTTTCATTGGTGAAAAAAATTGTAAAATTGAAGGAGAATACTAGAACTTTATTTTAATTTGGTAAAGTAAATATAATTTTTTTTCATACTGTGTATATATATATATATATATATATATATATATATATATATATATATATATATATATATATATATATATATAAATATATATATATATATATATATATATATATATATATATATATATATATTTTATTTTTTTATTTTTATTTTTTAGAATATATAAAACTAAAATAGTTTTGGTAACTTTTAAAACTCGGATTTAAAATATTAATAAGCATTATAATAGTTAATGATTATTACTAAAATAATATTTCTACTCAATTCAATGACTTTTAACTAAAACGATACTATAAAACAAAAATAAAAAAAAATTATAAGATTTCCAGCTTTCATTATTACCTGGATAGTTTGAGTTGAGTGAGTTTTATGTCCATGGTCTCCAAAACAGCCGGCAGTGGGAAGCCCTCAGCTGCCAGCAGCGAGAAGCGGTTTCCCACTGTAATGAGACCCAGGTCAACCACAAATGCATTGTGGGATGTGGAGGACTGGGGGATTATGATAAGGGGGGCCTTCAGTCTGATGTCCATAGCGAGTCTGAAGCTCTTCTGTGCAAAATCCCTCACGCTGGAAGCTGCTTTCTCTGCAGCTTGAGCCGTAGCGGCACTGAGAGCCTCTTTTGCTGTCTGGAAATTATCCACAAACATCTATGGAAAGACAAGCAATGGTTAATGAAAACTTGATGTGGCATGACATGGCAGTTCAGTAGATGTGAGGGAAGCTTTCAATATAAAGTCTTGGGATCCAAATTAGGGATGTTTCATGCAGGGATGTTTTCGAATTGAACACCTGAAAGCCAAATTTACAACAAAAAGTTGCAAATTGTAAAGGGGTGGAAAAGGCAGTGCTGGAGTGAAACAGTGTTGTTTTGTGGGAGAAAATAGGAAAGTCGATGATCGCATTTTCTAGGTATGGCAGGTGAGCTGTTTATTAAGCATGTCGAGAATAAATATTAAAACCAGTCAAATCAAGGCATCCATATCGTGCGCAGATTCCATCTCAAATTCTGGACTTCTACTTTAATAAGCAGTATGAGACACAAGCACACATGCAAATCTGCATATACACAATCAAATTAATTAAAAACACTAGGTCTTACTGGTTTTTTAATCCAGCCTGGTTTTTTTACTGGTTATTTATTGGTAAATATCAGAGTCAATTTGTAAAAATTTAATTAAATAATCATAACCTAACTTTTATTTCCTTAATAATATATCACAGTTAAAACAGCAATATCTTTTAACGTTAAAATACTCTTTAACAAAAGTCCTTAGTATGTCATTTCTGCAACAACAGTGGTAGCAATTGGAACTGTGGTCTGTTGAGCAACACTGACCCAAGAAATGTTACAGTATATCTGGTCTGTTTATTGACCATGGAAGAAACCAAGACCGATAACACAATTCTGTTTGGTGCCACTATTATTGCAGTTTTAATGTTTAAACAAATGTCTTTATGAAATGTACATTTAATATTTCTCAAGTATAGAAGAGAGATCTTTGGAGATGTGTTTAATCCATTTTTTAAGCGGAAACAACAAACAATTTATACAATTTTTAACAAAGAAAGGTACACTAACTGGCCACTTTATTAGGTACACCCGTTCAATTGAGCAATAATGCTAATATTAAATTAACCAATCACATGGATGTATCTCAGAAAATTAGACATGTAGAAAAGGCTGCATTACACTCAAATTTTTATGTTCTTCACTCGCAAACTTTCCTTGAATATACGCCATTCAATACATTATACAAGTATCTGAATGGGTTTACATGTGACATCGCAATCACATTGCATTCTGGGACATATAAGTGCTGGAGCAGACATATGAAGCCGACTCGCTACCTCTGACCAAATCAAGGGAATAAGTTTATGTCTATGTAAGCTTCCCTCGTTCACTTGATGAACTGGAACACACTTCAAAAAGGCATTGGGGATTCCTCCAAGGGAACAAGGGAAAGGAAGTTCCCAAGTGCATGTCTAAAAATGGATTGAAAGTGACTCTGTTGTTGAAGATGACCACAGTAAACAGTGAACACCTTTTCCAGCAGGATGACACAGCATGATACAAAGCTCAAATCATCCAAAAACTAGAATTCTTGAACATGACAATAAGTTCACTCCAGTCGAATGACCTCCACAGTCATTAGATATCAATCTAAAAGAGCATCTTTGGGATGTGCTGGGAGAGGAGATTCACATCATGAATGTGTAGCCTTGATGAATAGCATCTGACCCTAATGACATGTCAAAAGGGTAGGACTTCTAATATTCATTAAGCTGGGTCAATCTCTTCTGGTGAACTGTATGCAGTTCCAAATCGGAGCGTTAAGAATCTGTTTTCTTTAATAATTAACTATCAGTCATTTCCTGATTGATATACGATATAAAGTTGGTCTTTGAATTTGCAAGAAACACTGCATGAAATTCCATTTACTGTCCCATGTCTTTAAAATATCAACATTTATTTTACTCCAGTATTTTCAATAGAGTTTCTGCGCTCGCCTGCTGATCCTGACAGCTAGTGCATGTAAACCGTTTTTCATCTCGTTTTATGCTTGAACAACTAAATGAATGCTCAAGTCTATTTAACTGATAAACTAATGTGGGTTTCTAAGCCCAATAATACGAACTATGAGCACACAATAAAGTGGCCAGAGAGTGTATAGATATATACTGAATGTATTAACATATTAGTCACTGGAAACCCTAAGATTACTTTTCTTAGTTGAAATTTAATAAAATGTTCATGAGTATGCAGCAATGGGTAGTAATAGGGTCTTCCAGCTTTTAGAATAAAGAATATATATTATTCTTCACATTTATTTTTTTAATCAGCATTGATTTTTAGTACAGTAGTAACCTGACACTAGAGCAGAGGTTCTCAACAAGGGCCAACACAAAACTTCCAATGATATTTTCTGCATTCGTGTAATTAAGAAAAAGCGGTTTATTTTCACTTAGAGAAACTAAAAAGGTTTAAACTTTAAACTAGTTAGCCACAATTTAATTTCTGATTCTAGTGATTTCTATAAATGCAGGCTTATAGTAAAAAAGTAAATATCATGTGACATGATGTCACATGATATTCACTGTAAAATGATTTGTGGAGCATTTGTAAAACCTGAAAACTGAAACACACATGAACGTGGAAAATGTGAAACAATTTTATATAAAACAATTATGTAATCACATGATCACATTGTTCTCTTTAGCCTAAAACTATGTGATTAGCATCTTTATATAAAATACATTTATAAAAATAACTTTAAATCATCATAGAAGTTTGCTAAAGCCCATAGAGTCCCACTGACTCCTTCATTAAGAACCACTGCACTAGAAATAAAACAATGGCAGACATAAACATTGCCATGAACCTTGTTAACTTGGATTAAAACTTCAGTCTTGCTTGAAAATGAAAGGTTTAAATGCATGTATGATAAATCCAGCAGTATTACATTTTAGAAAGGAAAAAATAAATTTCAGTGTGTGCAAAGGTGCATTTAAAGTTAAGCTGCAAAGCGAAGGACTTTAATGCATCATGCCCAAGCCTGTACCTCATCAGCAGAGGGGTACTGATAGCTAAAAGAGTCCTGAAAAGAGGAAGACACAGTTAACGGAAACTATGAGGGGGGAAAAGGAGTCAGAGCCAAAAACAAAACCAAAGGAAGAGACAAGAAGAAAATGTCCATACAACATATAAAAAGGCACAGAGAAATACTGATTTCAAAACTTTGCAATAAGAGATAAGACGGCTGGGTTATATAGACGACAACATATATTTGAAAAGTGCATTCACTTAAATTCTCACCAATAAAGACATGAGGAATTTGTGCAGGTAGACGATCTGGATACAGCCAAGTCTCATGATAACTTTGCCATCCACTTTGGAGGTGTCAGTGTAGCCATCCCCCTCAGTGGCCCCAGGGTATAGGGTCATCTTAAAGCTGAACACTTCCTCTCCAACGATGGACACCGCCTGGGAGTATTAACACAAGCATGACTGGAAAACAGAACCTAATGTACCATTTTCAAATGTGCTGAAATCAAAATGGCTGAAAGTTCACCTTCTTGTGGATGGTCTTAGGGTCCACATCCAGAACCACAATGTCACGCAGACGGGCAAAAACATCTGTTTCCTTTGCCTGAACCATCACAGACGCATCAATGCCTGACATAAATGAAAGCAAGATGTTTGGTTAACTTGCATAATATGGTCTCATGGAAAACAGATGACTCTGTATAATGCTGGATATGTTGATATTGAAGAACAGATGTGTAATAGTTAAGTAAAGCCAGCCCTCAAAAATGTTACTTTAAATATAACAAATACATGTTATTTAAAATAGATAAATACATAAATATAAAAATATAATTATTGACATTATTTCAGTGAGAAATGTTTGTCTTTTAAGAAAAATAATTAATACAATTAACTTTATAACATTAGTAATATTAAGCTTAAGTTTAACTTAATAAGTGAATACCAATGTTTATAGCTCTAAAGTCAAACTAATTAAAAGTGAAAACTATGTAGACATAAAAAAACAAGTGACAGAAAGCACACAAACAGTAAAAAGTAAAAAAATTAATACATTAAAGATGAGTAAAGTTTGCTGACAAATGTTTATGTTGGCTTGACAAAGATGTATGTTGCTAGCATGATTTAACATAAAACATTATATAATATACAATTATATAATATACAACATAGCAATATGCTAATCTGCTTTTACCAAGAACTAGCATGTTGTTAGCATTTTTCTAGCATTAATTCACAAGATTCTTACATAATTATCATTAAATAACATGTTTCTATTATTTTTACATAAATTAGCATGTAGCAATGCATTTAGCATGTTTTAATGTTAAGCATGTCATTAATGTGTAGCTAGCAAGAGTTAGCATGTTTTTAACATGAATTGCAATGTTGACTGCATAATATTAGCATGTTGCTAGCATGTTTTTAAGATTAATTAACATGTTGCTTACAATAATTATTGGGTTGCTACTGTAGTATTAATGCTAGCATGTTTTCTGAATGAATTTATGTGTTAGCATGTTTTATTATAAATTAACACACTGCTAGCATGTTCATTACATGGATATCACAAAATTAGCATTAAAAGCTTCTTTATATGTTTAGCCAACACAAAAATATAAACATTAAACTATGATGCTATGAAAGCATGATGCCATTTGATGCTAAAATAACACTAGTACATTTTTTTTTTACCTTGGACCCGTATATCAGCGATGTTGCTTCTGTCATCACAGACAGCCACTCTGAAGGATCCCAGCACTGCAGACAGCTTAAAGTTCACAACACCAGCATCTTTCGAACCCTTGGACACTACAAGAACAGAGATACTCCAGTTAAAAACACTCAAACAACACACAATTTGAAACCAGCTCTGTCTGAAACATGCTTTAGCACAAGCAAAACAAATTCTGCTTCAGAACCCAGTTAGCGTTTCAAGACATGATCAGTGCAAAGGTCAATGAAAAAAACATGTGTTACCCATGAAAAAACCTACAAGACAGAGACAAAGACAACACAAAGACGGATGAGCATTCAGGTTTTACCTCTTGCTTTGACATCAGTCAACACACATTAGTTTTCACTCATTTTAAGAAGTGTGTATATTATAGCATGTGTTGTCCATACCTGTCTTCCCAGCTGCTGCTCGGTCCGCTCGTCGCCTGGTTTCTCTCTCTTTATTGGCTGTGAGCTCTTGTGGTATTGCGGAGTTCATGTAGTTGATGGTAGACAGCAAAGCTTTGGTGTGTAGCAGGAAGTCCAATGAGGAAAACTCCACCTGTGCAATAAAATACATCAACAATGATAAATTTACTATAATAAATTCTAAATAAATATTATTTCTTTTTTTCTGAAACTAAGGATAAATACTAATATTTTGTACGTGATTCCAACCGTTAAAAGGCTTTTTAGAAGATGAATAAATCACATTTACATAATAAAAATGTATAATGCATGGACATGTATTATTTCAAAAGAGTATAGATATATTAAAAACATTTCTAATACAAATAACAAATTTTAGTTTACTTTATTTTTAAGTATTTAATAAATAAATAATTAAATATACAACTAACATGCTTTTTTCACATTAATTTCCTTTTTTAAACACATTGAATAAACAATGAATAATTTTATATTATGACAAAATAATTTGGCAGACTAAATAAATATATCAATATTTTATAATTTTTACTTTATTTAATACAACATGATTTATTAAAATACAGAAATGAAAACAATTAATTTAAATTATACATATATATATATATATATATATATATATATATATATTATATATATATGACTAAATATGTGCTTATCTCGTTATTTTATTATTTTATTTAACTTTGCTTTAATAAAAAAATCAGTAGATTACATATATTAAAAAACGTTTAATTTTTCATTTATTGTATTGTACAAAAACGTAAACATACCTTCAGTGTCTGTTCTGTATTATTAAATAAGGTGCAGAAGCTGGGCCCATTCACATCCGCCTAAAGGACATAAAAAGGCCACACAGACCAGCCCAAATTAAAGCACTCATCTAAAACAAACAACCCATTAAAGACAATCTTTAGAAGAGAGTTTAATGCTCAGACTTACTTTGATGTACTCCACTTTCAACAGATCAGAGCCATGCTTGTCTGAAGAGGTAATTAGGTGAAGTGGCTGGTTTTGCACATCTATTAAAGCATACAAGAATGAGAGACACAAAATCAAGTACGTGAAACATCAAATCACTGATTGCACTTTTCCGCGGATGTGTACCTTTTTCCTCACAGTAATCCAAGCTGATCTTTTTGAGGTAAGATGTAACACTGAGATCGAATGTTCGAATCCTGCCTTCTGCACCCAGCTGAGACACACTGAACGCCAATACAACATCCTCCTGAGCGGCCTGCCTTGTGAGCTCAAACAACACCTACACATATATGAAGGAATCATACACCAAAATAACTGCAATGTACTTTGAAATTAAATTAATTTATTTCACGTTGACATCCACAACAATACATTGATAGGACAAAGGTCCAGAAAAACTTTTTAAAACAAATTTTAAATAAAGATGCACACACATAAATCAACCATTAAAAATTATGTGGCATTCAAAAATACATATAACCAAGTACAAAAAAACTACTAGTTATAGGTCAAAAGTAAGATGGGGCAAAAAAACAGACTATTCTAATATAAGAAATAGTTTGACATTTCCAATCCAAATTACATGGTCTCATTACAAATTAAACAGAGAACAGTATTGTGCTGGACTGGAGCAAAATGAATGCATATTCTGTACAAATCATCTTTGAAAACTCGATTTACTTAGTCAACTTTTATTTTCTGGAAGTGTTGTGGCAAACGTCATATTTTAAAATAACATCACACAGAAAAACTATCGCCTACATTTAATTTTAGACCATCCCAAACAAACAAGATTACAAATGTAACATATGTTTATGAAAGGAGTAATTTCCACATTTTTAATCCCTTACACAAAATTAGTGCTCTTTAACCTAAAAATGGAGGTGGGTCTGGATCCGGAGTGGAGTCCAGACTTTGAGAAACCCTGGTTTAAACAAAGTGATAAGGATGAGCGTACCGCTTTGACTTCAAACTGAAACTGCACTTCAGTCAGTTCCTCCAAGGTTGATCTGAGAGATTCTTCATCCACAGACTTCTCACTAGTGTCTTCATCAGACTCTGAATGCATAAATACAGTCAAATACTGTATGCATTACCGGTGAATAAAGTCAATTCAACAACAAATTTATAGTATGTGGTTATTATTGTAAGATTTTTCTACTCTTTCTCTCTGACCTGACTCAACAGCATAGGACAGAACTGTGGGGTCTAAAGCCAAGACCTTTGGCCTGGTATTAGACAGCGGCATCCCCAACACCTTCTGAAAAACATCAGCATCAACATTTTTCAACCGCTAAAATATACTGTATTAGCAAAAAGCAAAATCATTTTCCAGCTAATTTTTACGGCTGAAATATTTCAGTATAAAATACAACATTTTCTACAGAATGTTTTTTTCATATATTCTCAATCTGGTAGGTGTGCAGAAAGCTTGTTGTTTGTGGCGATTTTACAGTAAAACCTGCCCATTTAATGTAAAAATTATAAATAGAGTTGGCTATTCTACACTCTCATTGGATACAACTATTTATTACTGGCTGCATTTTAAACAGCACACATGAAAAAAAAAACATTTTGCCATTTTTTGAAAGGATTCATTATATAAAAAAAAATACCATTTATGCTGATATTTAAAAGTCTAGTGTCTATGTTTGCATGTTTAAAGTTTTATTTCATGATTTCATGTCTAAAGATTGATGACTCAAAAAACATTGTAATACACTGATCTGATTCCTTATGAAACATTTAGAAACCATATTAAAGGTGAAAACAAAATTGTGCTGCTTTAAGTTTTTTTAAGAATTTCTTTCAAATAATAGCATTTGAAACAGATATCCTTTTTTAACATTTATACTTTTTATCAATTTTTATCAAATGTCTTTGTGCATTTAAATCAATTAATAATAATTATTTTAGAAAACTGACTCCAAATGAGATATAATAACATATTGTAGTGTATATATATATATATATATATATATATATATATATATATATATATATATATATATATATATATATATATATATGATAGTTGAAGTCGATAGTTAGCCCCCCTGAATTTTTAGACCGCTTATTTATTATTTCCTCAATTTCTGTTTAATGGAGAGACATTTTTTTTAACACATTTCTAAACATAATAGTTTTAATAACTCATTTCTAATAACTGATTTTTTTATCTTTACCATGATGACAGTAAATAATATTTTACTAGATATTTTTCAAGACACTTCCATACAGCTTAAAGTGACATTTAAAGGCTTAACTGGGTTAATTAGGGTAACTAGGCAGGTTAGGGTAATTAGGCAAGTTATTTTATAACAGTGGTTTCTTTAGTAGATTATCGAGAAAAAATATAGCTTAAAGGGGCTAATAATTTTGTCCCTAAAATGGTGTTAAACAATTAATAATTACTTTTATTCTAGCCGAAATAAAACAAATAAGACTTTCACCAGAAGAAAAATTATTATCCGACATACTGTGAAAATTTCCTTGCTCTGTTAAACATCATTTGGAAAATATTTAAAAAAGAAGAAAATATATATAATATATATATATATAATATATATAATAACCAATCAACAACAGTGTGTATTAATCATTTGCATAAGTATGTCAAAGTAAACCAGTTAGAGCTTTTATTTACTGAGACAGAGACTCCACTGATAAGATCCATCACAGGCTCATTAAGTGAGTGAGAGTGAGAGAGAGAGAGAGAGAGAGAGAGAGAGAGAGAGAGAGAGAGAGAGAGAGAGAGAGAGAGAGAATGATATGGATTGTGGATAATGTCTGTGTTGAGTTGTGTAATCAGTGGAGACTGAAGCTGCGTAGAAAAGCAAGCAGCTCTTTGTTTTGAATTCAGAGATAGCATGTGACTTTGATTTAAAGGCTTTAAATATTAGTGGCATTCAGAAAAGCAACAACAATGACAATGGTATGAAATACCTGTGTCGTTCTACCAGAAAAAATACCATTCATAAGTCATGACTCATTAAGTGTGGTATAAAGCAACACGCCATCCAGTATAAAGAGAGTGTCTTTTTTTTCTTTTGTGTTTTCTGACCTTTCCAGTGGGGCTGCTGGGAGGAGAGGAGCTAGTCTGAGGAAGAGGAATACTATCCACCAGCTCCAAAACACCCTGAATCTTCTGATCAGAGATCTTCAAATGAAGCAATGGCAGCTCACCTGATACTTTGAACCTGAAAACACACAGACTTGTGAATTGAAAGAGTTGTTGTTGAATATTTAAATCCATTACACCTAAATATTCTGAATTTTAAATTTCATGTAATTATCTTAGAAGCTGACACGATTGAGTACAATATTAATACAGCTTTAGAAAAAAATCTAATAAATGTACTTTATACTCTGAAATGTATACATTGCAAATGTTTTGTGAATTGAGAAATACACAATAGTAATTAATAATAATTATTCATGAATAAATTAATGATAATTCTGTTTTTGTAAACTTATGCTTATCAAGGATGCGTTTATTTGACCAAAAATACACAGGTGACATATTGTAAAATATTATTGTAATAAAAATACTCTCCATTTGAATAAAATGCTAAATGCAATTCTTGTGACAACAAATCTGACTTTTCAGCATCATTACTCATACTCAGTTTCATATGATCCTTCAGTAATCATTCTAATATATAATCATATATGTCATCACTCATAATTTTAAGCAAACTATAATACACTACCATTCAAAAGTGTTGTTCATGTAGGAATCAAACAAAAGAGATTGATTATTCTGAAAGGGCAGATTGATTTAATTGTTTAAATAATGTAAGAAAATAAATCTAAATGTATTTAAAAGTGCATTTTAAATAGTAAATAGTTATTTTAATCAAGGTGAGTTATTTTAAATATTATTTAACATTTAAAAGCAGGTCAGATATCTTATATAGTACTTAGATGAATTAAAATCTCTCATTTAATTAACTATTTTCTAAACATAATAATAACATTTCTATACATTAGATTAGTCAATACTGAAGCCAAATCAAATAACTTACGATAAAGATCCAAAAATTAGTAGCCCAAATTTATATGTAAGGAAAAATAATTTAATAAAAAAACAAAAAATATGTGAACTTTTAGAAAATATAAAACTATTTCAAACTTAAATATGAATTTAAATCTTTTTATTTCTAAAGATGTTTGCTGACTAAAATATTATTTTAATAAACATAGCTGCACCAAAAATATATGACCCACATAAAAATATGCACTTTCGAAATGGGATGTTAATTTTTTTTATTATTATTATTTTTTTATTCTAACTCTAACAATTTAACTCTCTTTATTGTAAAATAGAGATGGAGCACTAACCTGGGCATTCGTGCATCCTTGTCCACCATACATTTGGCCAGTTGGAGTGTGAAGTCCATTGGCTGCAGGATGTGTTGATGGGAAAGGCCTTCATGACAAGCACTTTTCCATTTCTCTCCTTCAAAAAGAGAAAGCAATTAAAGCAGCAGTTAATGTAGGCAGTTCCTTTTCACGCTGTGAGGACTTGTTTTTACCTGATCTGCTGTAGAGTATCTGGACACTGCGCAGCTCCAGTGAATATCTTTCATACGCTCTGTCCATGATTTCCTCTAAAGATGAGAAACTGGCAGAAACCTGCTGATGGCCACCCTGATCTACACTGTTTAACTACACACACATTTACAAAACAAAACACACATTTTTATTAGTCAGACATTACTAAAAAAAAAGCAGAGTTCCATCTTAAGATGTGGCAGGTGATTAGAGTAAAACATTCACTAAAAGCTACAGTTACAGTCCGAGTTATTCGCTCCCCTATTTATTTTTTTCCCCAATTTCTGTTTCACGGAGAGAAGTTTTTTTTAAAACATTACTAAATATATTCGTTTTAATAACTTATTTCTAATAACTGATTTATTTTATCTTTGTCCTGATGACAGTAAATAATATTTTACTAGACATTTTTTAAGACACTTCTATAGAGCTTAAAGTGACATTTAAAGGCTTAACTAGGTTAATTAGGTTAACTAGGCAGGTTAGGGTAATTAGGCAAGTTATTGTATAACGATGGTTTGTTTGGTAGGCTATCGATAAAATATAGCTTAAAGGGGCTAATAATTTTTACCTTAAAATGGTTTTTAAAAAAATAAAAGCTGATTTTATTCTAGACGAAATAGAACAAATAAAACTTTCTCTAGAAGAAAAATATTATCAAACATACTGTGAAAATTTCCTTGCTCTGTTAAACATCATTTGGCAACTATGATGTTTAAAAGGGGACTAATAATTCTGATTTCAACTGTATAATCATCTATATGAATGTACGGGTTTTCTAAAATGTTGTTTGAATGTGCAAATGAGGCATTATATTATTAAATATGCACTCATTTGCATAAGCGTGTTCTAAAAGAATCTGAGCAGTGGATGAAGTCAGGTTTAAAAAAAAAAATTAGCGTTTAACTGATACTATTAATCGGTTAAAAATGCACCCTTTTGGTTAATGGTGAATCGGTTATTATGAGCATCCCTAATAATAATAAAATACTATAATGCGAGATTAAACTCATTAAGTTTCATGAAAAAACTTTCAATAAAATGTTGAGGAAAAGAAAAATTGTGCCTGCAGTGTCTTGTCTTATGTGTATATGTTTTTGTTTCCTCGCTTACCTGCAGGTAACCGAAATCAACAATCATGAGCTCTGATTTGCCATCATAGAATCCAGACTTGGGCAGCAGCAGGTATGAGGGTTTGAGATCAATCCTCAAATCCAGCACCTTGCGCGTCTCGATGATGTGAGACAAGCCTGGATTTAAAAGAAGAGGAGAAAGCGTTAGATCACACACTCTTTCTCAGAATGAGTATATGTCTGTGGGGATGATGGGAGAGGAGGACTGTCTCACCAGTAGCGGTTTTCTCTTTGATCTCCTCAAGTTTGCTGAGCGTGGCTGAAGTGATGACCTCTAGATCAACTCCTTTACCCGTCTTAAAGAATTCTGTGATGCTGATGACAGTCAGCTACAATACAGAGAAAATATCAAATATTTAATCATGCTACTTTAAGTAAAACATGATTACATTGTTACACATTACGAATAGATTATTAGTTTTCTTATTGTATTTTTAATTTATAACATGATAAAGTCCTCACATGGTGTACAGAATTTACGGGATCCTAATTTTGGTTGACTTTACGCACATAGAAAGAATATCAATTGCAAGCACACTTTAATCAGCTTAGTACTTGATATATATAAAAATAGTGCTTAGTACTTAATATAAGTAACATATATAAGTTACCCTCAACCTTATAATTACAGCGATTGTGTTTGTCTTACAGCATCATAGATGATCTCTACAGGCTGTGAGTGCACTCTGAGGAGCTGGTCAGCAGGGCTGTCCTCTGGATTGATCTCGAAACGCACACTGAGCAGAGAAGAGTTTGAATCCCCGAGTGATGCGATGAGGGACGGCACTTCACCCTGCTGCTGCAGACCAGTCACATACCAGTGCTCCAGCTTAGCCTCCACCCTGTGCAACACACATTATTGTAAATATGATTTATGAGCACTCTTCATGGGTGTAATGTATTTTATACAGTAAAGAAACTTAGAGAATAACAGTAGAGAAGTCTAATTTAAGCAATTTTCAACCATTTTTTTAGATCCATTTGGACATTTTTCCAGCACTTTACAAGTGTGGCAAATAACATATTTACATAGACATACTGTACATTATAGACATATTCATTACATTATATGTGTTATAGCATTGTCTATATAACAGTTTTCATTTTATCCAAAAGATAAATTATTCCTTTAAAAAGTTATTTATAATTTTCGATTTAGCAACAAACTATTATGAAAGCAACGCAAATGCATTTTCAAGTAGTTTCAAGCACTTTATCCAAAATCTAAGCACTACTCAAACCTGGAAAATACTAGATAAAAATTCAAGCATTTTAAAGGAATCCAGCACCAGCAAGAACCCTGTACTTATCATATGGCCTAACCCAACCACTAACCCTAAACCCAACCTCGAAGCAATGTCAAAGGACCCGTCAAGTATGACTTTTAAGTGTTTTGAATTATGAGGACACAAGACATGTCCTCGTAAAACACCTTAATAGACTACAACTAGGCCATACCCATGTCAATAAACAATTTTGTGTCCTCGTGAACCATATAAACACACACATACAACATAAACACAAACACACACACACACACACACACACACACACACACACACACACACACACACGTCACAGGTGTGAAGCACACAGCATTTACTACATCAGATCAAACTGAATCCCACTGTATACTTTATATTTTGCCCTATATATGTATATACACTATCAAGTGTATGACAGGTGTGTTTGTTGGCTGCTGTTAAGGTATACATGATGCGTACCTTATGGCCTGTGCTCCTGGTCTCTGTGAGATGGACGTACTGAGGTCAATCATTTGCACTTTGAGGATCTCTGGAACTCCAGGCTCCTCTCTGAACGTTACCGAAGTGCTCAGCAGTTTAAAGTTGACAATCACAGCTACATACTGCACATAAATGTACATTCATATATTTGAGTGTTCAGTCCAGGCTAAAAAAAATATGTAAGAAATTTGATATTTTACACATCTTTAGTTTTGTTAAGGTGCAATGTGTTTGATAAAACATACTTTAAACAATTTGCAAATTTTTTTTTTTTTTTTTTTATAGTTTAGCACTTTTAAATTAGTTTTTATGTGGATACTTTAAAAAAAGTTAATTCCAGTTTTGTTTTAGTTAATTTTATTAATGGTTTTGTTAGTTTTAGTTTAGTTTTTGTTTTGTGAACAATTTTCTATTTAGCTATCATATATTTAGTTTCAGTTTTTGGTTTAGTCATTTTAATTTAACAGAGGTAAACAATTTATTTTTTATTTTATTGCAGTTAAGAAATAGTTGAGCAATAGTTTTAGTCTTAGTTTTAGTTTACTTAAATAACTGTGCTGCACATTCAATTGCAAACACACATCTTCAAAATGTGCTTTGAAACATTTTTTGCACCACTTAGTTTGTGAAGATGAATGTGAATGAACAATGTACGTCAGAATCTGAAATAGAGCAGCCCCATTCATTTCAAGCAGATTCATTTATTAGACAATTATTTTTTTACATATTAACAACAAAAACTAAACATACTTCCCTTTTTTTTTAATAGATCTAGTCTTTGTGGAAACTGACTTTTCTTTACTGTTCTTTATAAGACATAACTGGTGCAAAATACAGCCACATATCAAATCAGGCCATCTGTAACTCATCTGCTTGTTTTACCCTCTTTGGCCGTCTGGTGGCACTGTGTGCAAATAAAGCCATCTTTTCAACAGGACGGTTTACAATCATATATTTGTGTATATACATTGATTAGTCAGTACCAAAGCCAAAACTGGAACTAATCTAACAAAAAATAATATTAATTAATCAGATAATAAATTAAGATCACAGTCAAAACAATAGTACATCCAAATGAATATGTTAGGGAAAATTTTAAAATAACATTTTAATAAAGAGGAAAAAAAAAATCAAGACACAAAAATATATCAAATGTATTTGAAATTTTGTAGTTTGTATTTTTTTCAATTAATTATTTTATTTAAATGTATTATATTTCTACTCCTAAAGACTGAGCAACTAATGGACCAACTTTTGATTTTCACCAAACATTATGGGCTATATTCACTGAGAATGGAATAAAATATTAATTTTCAAATAGGGGTGTCCTCATGTTGAGCAATGTACTGTATTTTGATCAGGTTTTATTATTCATTTATTATAATTTTATTTTGCTTCAATCTAACCTTTGTGTATTTATTTTAATCACATTTTGCATCGTGTTTATGTAATCAACATTAATCATAATTACTATATTACTTCATTTTTACTATTCTGCATTTATTTATCTAATTAAAATTGTATTATGTATGTCACTCATATTTTTTTTCTATTAATTTAATTATTTATTATCTACTTTTATTTATTTACTAACTTAATTTATATATGTATGCATTTATTTACTAAACATTAAGCAGAGAATTAGCAGAGCAATGGCAAATGAAACAGTTCCTTTCCAGTGTAGCAGATGTATATTTTCCACTCACATGTTTCGGTAAGGCAAGGTTATGCGAGCTCCCGCTGTAGCCAATGGCTGTATAGAGTTTAGACTTCTCTTCAACAGTCATGATGGAATCAATACCTGTGAACACATTCATGTACATAAACATACATGTAAAATATGTAGAAGAGTCATTTAGGCTACATTTACACTGCAGATCTTGATGGTTAATTCCGATTTTGTGACTATATCCAATTTTTTGCTGACCTGCTTACATTATTTTTTAAAAGTGACTCATATCTTATCGTCTGCATTTACACTGCACACGGCGAATACACAATGACCAGAAAAAAGGAGCGGGCTCCTGACAGCTGATAATTAAAGAGCGCCATTTTCTCCATTCCTGTATTTAATTTGTTCACTGGCATTAATTTATGGACAAGTTGTTGTTTTACTATAGCTTATGACAGAAAAGTTCTCATTTGGCCATCTTCTTTTAATCTTAGACATTTTAAACCAGGAGGCATCTTAATGTAATGACTATGGCGTGATTTATGCACGTGATGTATGCAACAGTTTTTTATTAGTTTATGGTTACATGGCGGATCTTGCGCTCTCTCTCTCTCTCCCTCATTTACATGCTTAAATACGTGTGCTATGTGAAAATATAAAAGCATATTTAGTCCTCGTGTATGAGATTTAAGGTTTGGGACTGCTGAAGTCTGTACTGAAATGAAAGCGTCAGACTTGATGTCATTCACTATGGTTTTTAATGACGCGCGACTCGCATTGACAGGTGAAAATCCGATCTACCTGCTTACACTGCAGACCCGAGAACACAGATCCAATTCCTATCGGATAAATTTCCACATATAAACAAGGCCTGAATCTGATTTGAGTAAATCGGAATCCATGTGATTTTTTCCTGCTTACACGTACATGGGCCATATTCGATCTGTGCCACATGGGAGAAAAAAAAAAATCGGAATTGAGACACTTGAACGGTGCAGTGTAAATGCAGCCTTATTCAGAGGCAAATAGAAAAGATAAAATAGAAGAGGTGTCCAAACCAATTTCTGGGGGACCACTTTTTTGGAGAGTTCAGAAAACACATGAACCAGCTTGGTCTGAAGACTGACTAGAAATGTCCAAACACCTCGGAACTGAATTCCACCAAAAATTGGTCCTCCAGGAGCAGGTTTGGGTTCCCCTCATATAAAAGTTCAAATCCTCACTCTCAGGTTCTTTATCCTCCTCTTCCTTTTTTCCTTCTTTTTTGCCAAAAAAGCTACTAAAGAAGCCTCCTCCACTCTGTTTCTGAGTGGCAGCCTTTTTGGCAACCAGCTTCTGTCCAGATCGAACCACCTGTGGAGAGAGTGAAAGAGAAGTTATAATACTACAGTATATTATATAATGAAATCAGATTATTAGTACTTTCTGTTGTGCCACATGTCATCTCACCTCCATCTGAACCTGCTGTCTGGCCAATACAATGTTGAACACATCCAGGCCTTTCTCCAGCTCCTGGCAGAAACATGATAAATACATTTAGAAATAATGGTGAACAAACATTTTATTCATTTAAAATATCATAATCACTCTATTTATGCACATTTTTTTTTTAAATTTATGGGAAAAAAAGAGAGGTTTGCAAATATAATTCAAGGTTTTGACCCTATATGCGATCACTGCAAGCAAGCCCCTGCAGATTGAGTACATATGTTTTGGATTTGCCCATCTATAACCTCTTTTTGGTTATCAATTGTCTAATGTTTTACTTCTGTCACAAAGATGCACATCAAGCCATGTCCTCTGGTTGCACTTTTTAGACTTCCTTTGAATATGACATGTTTAGCTATACTGCAAATGCATTTTTGAGACTGTCAGCAAGACGATGCATTCTTTTACTATAAAAATGAAGATTTCCTCCAACATTTAACAACTGGATGCTTCATTCATTTAAACAAAATTTGGTTTACAATGAATGGTAATTCTACTACTTTCTCTGAGGCACGGAACCCATTTAGTTTAGAGTATGTGAGTGCTTCTACATACTGTCAATCTAAGCCTTAGGGTTTTTTAATTAAAGGATATATTTAACCACTGTAAGTATATTGTATCTATGGATCATATGCTTATAATTTCTGTTTGTTAATGTGCATGTGTACATTGTACATGGGCTATTTCTAAATATGAACAATCCAGCACTTATTTTACACATAATTGACACTGTGATTTTAAAATGTGCAATTATTTATTTATTTATTAGTTCATTCATTTTCAATTGATGTATATTTTTGTGTGAAACTGTTATTTAATTTAGTTCATGAGGGAAGGGTTGGCAATAATATTAGTCATTTATTTCCCTATAAAACTATCCTGCTATTTTTGTAAAAGGCTAATAAACAGATTTTAGGAAATCATAGTTAATTTTAAAATCAATATATTCAATACATTAACAAAAGATATATATATATATATATATATATATATATATATATATATATATATATATATATATATATATATATATATATATATATATATATATATATACACACACAAGTTATTTTTTAGAATAATAACATTAAAAATTACTCAGAATTGTGATCCAGATCTACAGTTAATACCTGAATCTGCTTCTCTGTGTCTTCTCGTACTTTCGCACTTTGTGTGAGTTTGACTTTGTATGCTGCTTTGTAAGATTTAAGCGTCTGTCGGTGCTTCTTGATGTTCGTCCAGTTCCACATCTGGTTGAAGCGCCTGACATGCACTTCCAGTATACTGCTGATGCCGTATTTCCACCTAACCAATCAGAGAAGGCATGTTAGAAACACCAAGCTCGAATAAATTCAATAACAAATCAAATGTACAGTACTTACCATTGCCTTGCATTTCTGTGGACTGGAACATCAGGCCTAAACTTTCTGTAAGGGCCGTTTTTCACCATACAGTCAATAGACTCCAGTAGATCCACCATAGAGAGGTACTAGAATCAACCAATAAAAGAGCATTATTATATCCTTGCATTCTTCCAAGACCTGTTCTGTCTCCTCAGTCCTGATATTTATAGTATATAACAGATTAATGTATGTTTTGAGCTACAATCTACAATCTTTATTTACTGTATGTTATGTATGCAACACAGAAGAGAGGTCCTGTATATTTTCCTTAAATACTGCACTTAGATCCTGGTACTTATTTTAATAGTGACTAGTAACTATTTTATTGTTGCTGATAACAAATGTAACATTTTCGCTATTCATTTTTCTTCTTTTTTATGTTTATTGTGAAAACTTGATTGAGTACAATCATACAATATTTCAAGGTACATTTGAATCTCGGGGCGAGGCAGTGGCGCAGTAGGTAGTGCTGTTGCCTCACAGAAAGAAGGTTGCTGGTTCGAACCTGAGCTCAGTTGGCTTTTTTGTGTGGAGTTTGCATGTTCTCCCATGCGTTTGCGTGGGTTTCCTCCGGGTGCTCCGGTTTCCCCCACAGTCTAAAGACATGCGGTACAGGTGAATTGGGTAGGCTAAATTGTCCGTAGTGTATGAGTTGGCGGTTCATTCTGCTGTGGCGACCACGGATTAATAAAGGGACTAAGCCAACAAGAAAATGAATGAATGAATGAATGAATGAATGAATGAACATTTGAATCTCAGTATGTGACCTTAAGTGACATACAATTTACATACATTATTGTCAGGTGTACTAACATATACACTATACATACTCTACATAGTAATCAAATTTTGTTAAATTATAAAAAGAAAAATAGCACAAATAAACTAAAGAAAATAATAAAAATTAAAAGTCTATTTAAATCAAGGGTGAGAAGGCATGACATAATATAACTCCTTCCAGAATAATCTCAAATGACCTATTCATTATACACAAGGGGATAACACACAATACAATATAAATATATATAACTATATATGTATAAACACATTAGTATATATTTATCTATTAGTTAAACATCTTTTATTTGTTTATATAGCAACAAAATCAGGTCTTCTAATTTAACCCGTTTCTTCCATTATCCAAGGAATATATCCTTCTTTAAATTAACTACAGAAGTGATTTTTTCCATTGTATAGATCTCAATAGTTGCATCTATCCAATTGTTTAAGGTTGGTCGCTCTTGTAGCCATGCCATTGATTTTTTTAATGAAATATTAGCCATTCAATTTTCATTGTAACTACTATATTTTTATAAAAAGTATTTTTGGATGGATGGATGGATTGATTTATTGATTGATTGACTGACTGACTGGCTGAAAGACAGACAGACAGACAAGGACTGATTGATTGATTGATTGATTGATTGATTGATTGATTGATTGATTGATTGATTGATTGATTACATAGCAGCCATACATGTACTGAGATATACCTGCGATTTAGTCATCTCAATTGCAATGTTCTGAACTTCCAGGTGCAGGTTAGCTTTGGGTGACTTGAGCTCAACTTCGGCATTCGGGTTGATGCACATCCTTGCAGAGGCAAATATTGGTTTGAAAACTATATGAAGAAACATATGAGTTCATTATGAATTATGGTATACTTTATAATGCTAACACTATGCTGGACATAAATCCTTAAAAGTGATAGTTCACACAAAAATGAAAATCCAATCACAAACATGTTTGAGTTTTTTTTTTTCTTCTGTTGAACACAAAAGAAGATATTCTGAAGAAAGCTGAAAACCTGTAACCACTAAAGTCCATAGTAGGAAAAACAAATGCTGTCACAGGTTTCCAAAATTCTTCAGTATACTGTACCTTCATTTGTGTTCAACAGAAGTCAAACTGGTTTGGTACAAGTCAAGGTTGAGTAAATAACTTTTAAGAATTTAAATTTTAACCTTCAAAATAACTTAATTATACTGACAAGTCCAGTCCAGTCATTTGTATGTTAATTAGAACAATGTATTCTGATTTATTTTTAGTATGTGTATGTTATAATAATTTAAAGTTTGTGTGCTATAAAGAGGTGTGTCATGTGTGCAGTTTGAGATCACATAGCCTATATAAACAGCTCATGAAGCCGTGGCAGGTAACACACACACACACACACACCCAGAAGTGTAGTGATCACATGAAAAAACAGAGTTTACATAAGTGGAATGTGATACATTATTAGTCATTTTATTGCCATTTAATATTTAATTGACTATATAAAATGTATAGTTTAAAGGCTTACAATATCCATGTTGTTCTTTTCTGTCTTTCAGTGATGTTTATTATTTATAATCTTCTATTTCCTCTTCAGCAAAGAACAATATAAACACATACTAACAAAGCTATACTAAACAGCTCAAGGCCAGATACTGATAAAACACACAGCCATGAATTTCATGTGAATAGTACATACTGTATTGATAGCCTTGCAGTTCCTCATTTTTTGTGCTTATTCCTGCTTTTAACTTCTCCTGCAAACACACACACAAAACAATATCAAGATTCTGAGCAGTATTTTTTCATGTGTTCAAATATGAATACAAAAGTGGTAAGTTAAAGTCGACTAGTTATTTAGACATTTCTAATTTCCAAAAAAAATTTTATTTAAAATTCGAACAAATACCATTTTTTGTTAGATACCTTCAGAAACACTAGATTTTTGATTTTCTACTTTAATATACACAGACCTTTTACATAGTTCATAACAGACAGACTGAAGTATTAGCAAATTAATTTGTTTATATTTTGCCTGTAATCAAAACCAAAAAACAATACTTTCTTTCTGAAAAATCTAAATCTACAATATTTTTTTAAAATACAGACCAGGAGCAGAACACTGTAAATACATTCACTTTATTAGGTACACCTGTCCAACTCCACGTTAACGCAAATTTCTAATCAGCCAATCACATGACAGCAACTCAATGCATTTAGGCATGTAGACATGGTCAAGACGATCTGCTGCAGTTTAAACTGAGCATTAGAATGGGGAAGAAAGGTGATTTAAGTGACTTTGAATGTAGCATGGTTGTTGGTCCCACACAGGCTGGTCAGAGTATTTCAGAAACTGATGATCTACTGGGATATTTACGTACAACCATCTCTAGGGTTTACAGAGAATGGTCTGAAAAAGAGAAAATATCCAATGAGTGAAAGTTCTGCGAGCGCAAATGCTTTATTACTGCCAGAGGTCACAGAAGAATGGCCAGACTGGTTTGAGCTGATAGAAAGGCAACAGTACCTCAAATAACCACTTGTTACAACCGAGGTATGCAGAACAGCATCTCTGAATGCACAACACATCAAACTTTGAGGCGAATGGTCTACTTCAGCAGTAGACTACACTGAGTGTCACTCCTGTCAGCTAAGAACAAGAAAGTGAGGCTACAATTCACACAGGCTCACCAAAATTGGACAACAGATAAAAAAAAAGTTGCCTCCTCTGATGGGTCTCGATTTCTGCTGCAACATTCAGGTGGTAGGGTCAGAATATGGTGTTAATAACATGAAAGCATGGATCCATCCTGCCTTGTATCAACAGTTCAGACTAGTGGTGGTGGTGGTGTATGACCACAGTGTACCCATCTTTTGATGGCTACTTCTAGCAGGATAAATATGCCATGAAGCGCGAATCATCTTGGTTTCTTGAACATGACAATGAGTTCACTGTACTCAAATGGCCTCCACAGTCACGATACCTCAATCCAAAAGAGCACTTTTGGGATGTGGTGAAAAGGGAGATTTGCATCATGGATGTGCAGCAGATAAATCTGCAGAAAATATGTGATGCTATCATCACAATATGGACCAAAGACTCTGAGGAATATTTCTAGTACCTTGTTGAATCTATGCCACAAAGGATTAAGATAGTTCTAAAGGCAAAAGCGGGGCCTAAACAATCAAATTCAGTATAGTACATGTTTTAATAGCAGTTACATTGCACATTCAGGCCTATACTGTGCAGTCTAGCAGAGGAAGTGAAATCTACTGAGAGCAAATGAAACCTTTTTTTTTTTTTCTTTTGCCCCTCTGAGAAGGCAAGAAAGATTAAGAGATATAAAGAAAGAGATTAAAAGTGAGAGGAAGTGATTAAAAGATTGTTCTAGGAGCCAGTCGCTGTTAACCATCACTGCAATGACTCGATGTCACAGGTTTTGATAAGAGATGAGTCAAGCATTTAGCCAGAGCCTCCAGCTAAAGACTTCATGTCAGCACGATCAAATATTTTCAATGCAAGTGTTCAAGATAAACTTTACCATGTTTTATTTCTGATCCAATCATAAATTAATAATGATTGAGTTAGAAGTATCACATACATCTGAACTTTAATGGATTTTAACAACCCTTCTTATCGACCTGCCATGTCTTTCTTATTGCTACTAAATTCTTTGCATTATTAATTTTACAATATAATTGTCAACCAAACAAATATGTAAGGTTTTCAAACACACTTTTATTGAGCAAAGAACATTACTGCTGGCTGTCTGTGAGCAGATGCAGATGTTCCACTTTGTCTGCACACACAAGCTAAAGCAGATAGGTTGTTTTGCTTATATTACTGGGTAAGACAGGATGAACATGATCCAGGTGCTTCTTCTAAACACCTCAATTCTTATGGCAGCTTCTGGTTGCATGTAAGGAATGATTTAAAAGTGGACAACAACAGCTCTTTTTTCATCTCTAAAGCTATGTTTAGACAGCAAGCCAAAGAAATTATTATTATTTATTTTTTATCTGATTTAAACTACATTATGAGGTGATTTGAATGAATATTTGTAAAGATGCATCTTAGTTTTGATGCTCTGGTTGTCCAGTCATTAACAAAATGCAATGTGCAATGGCAATGTCAAAACCAGTGGGAAATGCCTGATGTACATACACACACTAACACTCAAACATACTTACACACACACATAGACACGCATATATGCATGCATGGATGCACACAAATAAAAGTACACACGCACACACAGCTATCCTTACGGGGACTTCCCATAGATGTAATGATGTTTGTACAGTACAGACTGAATATTCTATTCCACGACCCCTTAACCCAACCCTCAAAGTAAGCAATCTGTTTTTTTTTTTAAATATTGAATAAACTTAACTGTTTTATTTATTAGCTATTTTCCTCATGGGAACCAAAAATGCCCTCACAAAGTAAAAAATTACTGGTATTGCTATACTTGTGGGGACATTTGGTCCCAACAACAAAAGGAATACAAGGTATTCACACACATACACTTTGAAGTTTGTCATAACTACAAAACAACACAGCATACTGTATACTGATTACAGTACAAAATTAGAGGAGTTGCAGTGTGACTCAACCTTGCACTTATTTAGAAAGTGAGATAATTCACCTTCATTTATGTGTCTATTTTGAAAGCCTTATCACATATGTCAAAACACCCTAGCTGTTACCAATTTAATCCTTGCAAAAAGGCTAATTATGTTCAGACAAACAAATTTGACGGTCACTTGCAATTAATTATGCTTATTCTGTAGTGTGCCTGAAACATCTTATCTGAGAAAAAACTGATTTGCCTTCAGTCTGAACAAGCCTACTATAAACAAAAACATTACAGGTTTAGAATTACTCTATGACTGATGACAGAATTATTTTTTTATAAACTATAATATTTCCATTGGCAAAATATACAATTATTTTCTATAAAACTATTTCCTGAGTTTTACTTCCTAAAAAGCTGAGTTTATGTGAACAATAAAACAGGCATTGTTGCGCTTTGCATAATATTAGAATAGTTTTAGCTTGAATATAATTTTGTAGGACTTTAATAGCCACTATTAAAAGAACAGTTGGCTAATTTACTTCAGATCTTGAAAACTGTTTGTGTTGCTGCAAAGTGCTTCCTCTAACCATATGTTTTCTTTCATCTACTCTAAAGTGGTCATTTTGAAGTCAAAGTCTTCTGGTAGGTTAATCATAGTTAACAGGTACAATCCGGTCACTGCATTTGACTAACTGTTAGTTGCTGACTGTGAAAGGACTCAAGCAGCTGAAAATTGCTCAATCACAACAAAAGTTATAAAACAGCGCAATACCATTCTATATATGGCATAGAAAAATTACATACAATGTCTGGATTAGACATTCTGAAATTCCATGATATTTCAAAAATTCCTTGAACTGTGGAAACCTTGAATACAGCCATCTTCAATCTTAAAATGACCACAACAGGATGGCTAACTTATGAGAGAAAAATAAGAAAGACACATTACCACTATCCCCTCCCAGGAGTCTTTGTAGAAGATTGGGCCGTTTACATTCCAATAGGCACAAAAACACTCCAGACGCCCCAGCTTAGGTAGAGAATACACACAGAAACAATATTTTAATGTGACATAATCATTATAAAAATAAATATGGCGTGCATGTTGGTGTTTTACCTTGTAGATGATCTTGGCTGCTTCATTAAGAATACAAGTCTTCCAGTTTTCATCTGCTGTCTTCACAAGATAGGACAAAGTGCATACTTTTAGACAAATTCCGCAACTAATCTTAACTTAGAGACATTTCTGTGAATGTATTTAAAGAGAGCACCTGTAGGCTGAGTTCTGAAAGGGTCAAACCCATAGCAAGAGGTTTTTGAGGATCGGACACCTGAGGCACAATATACCATTAATAAATATACCATCAAATAAAAGCTGCATCCTTATCATTATTTCATGCAAACATTCAAGAAATGCACATAACTGAAGAGCTGACATCATGTTTGACAAGTCAACACTTACATCATCTTCATATCTGATGTGAATGCTTGTGATTTTGACCTGGAGGTTTTTGATAACTTGTGTTGCCAGTTTCTCAGCAAACGTGTCCTTCTTTTCTTCCTGAGGCTTCTCTAAAATTTTAAATACAAAGGGTTTATAAGCAAGTCCATTACATTTGCCATTCTAATGACTTAATCTAGCACCATGGAAATAAATGCTTTTATTCTAACAAATAAAATGTAACTATTGTGAATATTTGCCGTGACGAGTCGATCACAGTCGCTTCTGACCACCCACCTGCTTTATGTTCATACTTTTTTGATCTCCTAAAGGGTTTTTTATGCTTTTTAACCTTACGTCCTTTGTCTTACAGAGCGCAGCGTTGGGGAAAAGAGAAAAGTCAGTTGAGAAAGAATAGAAAAGTATTAAACACGCACACTTGCAATAAAAACACACTCGCAGAAATGTACACAAAAGCACACCAAGCAGTGCTGAGGAAAACAAATCAACACTCTCAACACACACTTAAAATGAAACTATCAAAAACAAACAAATGTATGATGGGCGCAAGTGGCCTTCTATAGCAATGGGTCTGTACATACCCCGCGGTGGATTCTTATACACATAACTCTCCAGATTAAACACAAACTCTCCAGCTTGAGAGTCTGCCGTCCATCAGGTGCAGCACAAAGCAAACACACAAAGCTGTTAGGAAGAGAGATCTGAATGTGCGGATGGACAGATGGAAGATAGATGAAATGATGGAAGGATAGACAAATGGTCAAAATAGAAGAATGGATGGACAAACAGATAGATGGATTGATGGTTTGGGATAAAGTCCGGCCAATATTGATAGCCTATGGTAATATTTTAATTGTAAATGTAAAGATTAAAAGGTTATGGCTGAATAATGAAACTGTAATAAAAAATTGAGTTTCAAAGCCCATTTAATTTAGGCTATTCAATATGTCTGTTAGGCTTTTGCTGTTTTGTTATTAACATAGTACAGTAATACCACACAAGCATGGGTGTTTGGTGTACTAAACTACTGTATTACTGATTAAATGGTCCATTCAATTATACAGGAATGCACCAATATGGAAATTCTATTGATTTTCTGAACTTTAAATAGTTTTTAACCTGGCATTGCTGACAGATATCTAAAATCTAATTATAATAATAATAAAAAATACAATGAAATACCATGGTAAATTCTCTTCTAAATTCTCCAAAGCTCCATTTTGGCAAAAAAAAGTACAGTATACTATTTAAAACTACAATGTTTTTTTTTTACATATTATAACATTTTAAAACTCTTTATTAAATTGCCCACCCTAGTATTAGAATGTTCAGTAGGTAGAATTGATAAATATTTATTTTGGTATGTGCTTTTACTCTTTCAATTTGTGGTTGCTGCCTTATGTAAACTGAAGGTGAAAGGCTGATTGCCCAGTCACACAATGTAAGGCACATCACACAGCATTTTGGTTCGGTTTATTATCTAGTTATTACCCCGTTATTGTAATTATAAAATTAGGAAATATGGACTGTATAATATAGTAAAATATAGAGCAAACAACACGGCAACTAACATTTCATTGCACATTTCAGATGACAAATCCACTAGAGGGTGCTATGTTTTGTAGTATGTTTCAGATACACAGCATTCTTGTACATGTCCACGTGAAGGCAGGTCTTGTCAGATCATCTAGACCAGTGAATATTTTCAAATGCAATTGTAACATGCATGTGCATTTACACCAAAAGTGGCGAGAGTGTCAAAGGTGCAAGCAGGGAGGAGAAGCGGGATGCGTCTTTGTGAGTGTGGGTGTCGAGGAGAGTTGAAATCAAGTCAACTTTATGGTAATGAGCTATAAAAGGTTCAGCGCCAAGCAATCAAAATGTTCAGAAAGTCCACCACTAAAGAGATTCCAGAGAACACAGTCACTGTGAACTTTGGTTCCGACCACAGTTGTTCCCAAGTGTTTTATTATTGCGTAATAATTTGATAAAAAGCATCCAACACTTTCATGCTAGACAGCATGTTTTTATGTGGGAGCGTAACAGATTTGCTGAAATGCTACAACGACCCCTTTAAATATGAGATCAATGTAGCAAATTTTGATTCTCTCGACAGCAGAGCAGTAAAGGCAGACAGTATTGTCACGAAGGTGGCCAGAGCGAACATTGACGCTTTTCACTGCCTTCAGTGTAAACGTACAGTAAGAGAAAAGTGAACTGCAATCAAGTAGTTTTAACTTGATTTTACATTGCTTTTACCATAAAATTAACCCTTTAACCTAAACCACGTTGGCAAGTTTTGGAACTAGTCCCAAAAATATTGTGCTTGAAGAAATTTTAGAGTAATTACTTTTACTGTGCTATTGGCAAAGCGTTTAATTTTTCTCTATACATTGTCTCCCTTTCTTACATACGTCGACAATTGACAAATCTTAGAGCAGGAGGATATTTAATCTCATACAATTACAAAAGATCCCGCTGCTGCACTCTATACGTACACTTGCTGTGTGTTTGTGTGACTTTTGAGGACTAATGTTTGCAGACTATTAGCTATGTGGCTTTTTTTCGCACAAATAAGGTTGGGGATGTTTGTTTGTGTATTTGTTTGTTTTGTTGTTGTTGTTGTTGTTGACTGCTTGTTTTTCTGTTTTATGCAAATTTATAAATAAATATAATAAATAAAATATAAAAAATAAAATATTTTTTTTTATTCTTTGATAATATATTCCAAAAATTATTAGTGCCAAAAGGAAGAAAAGTTGTTGGTGTCAAACTTCCCCTCAGTGTGTATTTTATTTAGAAACTGCAGTCAAATTTCGCAAAAGCCAATGTTGCATTTTTGATAAAGCTACCCACATACAGCAACTCACCCCACATGTATTCTTAAAGAAGAGTCCCTTTAGGTTAATGCTAGACAATAATCTACATAAAAAACAGTATTATGAATTAATTAAGAGTTATTAGAGTTAATATTCATAAATAGAGTTAATAAATAAGTTAAAATAAACTTATGTTTTACTTAACAAAGTTTTATTGAGAGTGATTGTTGGCGATTGTAGCTCTGATTGGGTTTCTTTACATCAACAAAGGGAAATTATGACCCGTTTAAAATTATCTAAGACCCACAACACAATAATTAAGTAAATTTAGGGCTTTTTAAAGCCTTTTAAGACCCCGTGGACACACAGGGCCCTATCATACACCTTGCGCAATATGGCGCAAGGCGCAACGCAATAGTGGTTTGCTAGTTTCAGCTTGGCGCAAGAGTCATTTTGAGGCGTTGCACCACGCTGTTTAAATAGCAAATGCATTAGCGCTCATATGTGCGCCCATAGGCGTTCTGATCTAAAAAGGAAGGCGTTCGGAGGCGAACCGCTGGCGTGTTGCTATTTTGAGAAACTATAATAGATTTTTCAATAGACCAAAACAAACCCGGTCTAAAGTCCAGCACAGTTGCGCCTCGCTTACGCACTGCTTAATAAACACAAGATGTAGAGCAATACGCAAATATCTTTACATATGAAAAAAATTTAAATATTAAGGATATATATATAGGATATAATAAGAACATATATATAGGATATAAATATAAAGGATTAATATATTACAAAACATATTATTTTCTAGCCTACATAAATATGAAAGACCACTGCTTTTATCCCTTCTTCATCTCGGGAGACTTTTTCAGTTTATTTATAACAATTTGCTTTTGTTTAATGTTATTATTATTATTAGCAGTTTTATTCATTATATCCATATTTATGGTGGCTTGAAAAGCCAACATACTGTTATCTCACTTAAACTTATTATTATTCTGCTTCTTTCTTCTGAGACTAATTTTAAAGTCTATCTCCTCCTAACCCTTTCAAGCTTCATACCTCAAACTTTCGTCAAACCTTCAAACTGGTCTGACTCGGGTTGCTATATCTTTTCCGACTGATCCGACTTTCGGTTTTCCGAAAAACGACCCGGAAAATTCCCAAAATTCCCATTGACTTAACATTGGGTCAAACTTTGTGACCTCATAACTCTGCATCAGACTGTCCTACAGACTTCTAACTGGGCTCATTTAACTCAGTCTAGCCAGCAGCCAATAACTTATGACCTTTAAACTTACTAGCCACTCCCTAGCAACCACTTTTGGCACCCTAGCAACTGTCCCATAGACTTCCATTTTAAAAGACTGCCATTGACTTAACATTGAGTCAACCTTTGTGAGCTCATAACTCTGCATCAGACTGTCCTACAGACTAGAGTCAGGCCTCATTCAACTCAGTCTAGTCAGCAGCCAATCACTGATGACCTTTAGACTTACTAGCCACTCCCTAGCAACCACTTATGGCACGCTAGCAACTGTCCCGTAGACTTCCATTACAAAAGACTCTCATTAACTTAACATGGGATCAAACTTTGTGAGCTCATAACTCTGCATCAGACTGTCATAGAGACTAATGGCTGAGCTCATTTAACTCAGTCTAGCCAGCAGCCAATCAGTGATGGCCTTTTAACTTTCTAGCCACACCCCTAACTACCACATACTGCACCCTAGCAACTGTCCTATAGAATGTAATTAGCTGTGCTATCAAATGCTTATAATTCTAACATGCTGATGACATGCCAATCATGCTAGCAACATGCTACTCATATGCTAATCATGCTAATGATATGCTAACTCATACTGGAAACATGCTAATGACATGCTAATTTGTACTAGAATCATGCTAGTAACATGCTAATTCATACTAGACTCATGTTAATAACTGGCCTACATGCATATCTTTGCATAGCAGTGTCCTATTGACTTGGGGGATGGCTCATCTGACTCAGACAACCAATGAGCATCTCAATATGATAATAAAGCTCACAAGCCACGCCCCCAAATTGATTCCATAGACTTCCATTAAAATAGGCCAAGATGCATATCTTTGCATAGCAGTGTCATAGAGACATGGGGGTTGGTTCATTCGACTAAGACAACCAACCACATTCAAGTTCACTCTGTAACCTCGCCCATAGCAACAAAACAGAGTAAACTAGCAACCATTCATCAACAGCTATATCTCAGCATCAGAACATCGTAGAGACTTGGAGATTGGCTCGTTTGACTCATGCTAGCAAACGGAACTTCATATATGCTACACATGCTAGCAGTGACTAGCTACATGCTAATATTGACTAGCCAAGTACTGTAACTTGCTAGAAATGCTTACTAAGTATAAATGTTTTATCAAGCATGTATGTGAGGCTTGCCTAGTAACCAACCAGGGTACCCTAGCAACTGCCTAGCAACCACCCAAATTACCCTAGCAACCACCTAGCAACGGCCTAGTAATGCCTTAGTAAGGGCCTAGCGACCACTCAGAACACCCTAGCAACTGCCTAGCAACGCCTTAGCAACCACCTAGCAACCACTCAGGACACCCTAGCAACCACCTGGCAACACCTTAGCAACCACCTAGCAACCACTCAGGACACCCTAGCAACCACCTAGCAACGCCTTAGCAACCACTCAGAATACCCTAGCAACCATCTAGCAACCACTTAGGACACCTTAGCAACCACCTAGCAACACCTTAGCAACCACCTAGCAACCACTCAGAACACCCTAGCAACCGCCTAGCAACACCTTAGCAACCGCCTAGCAACCACTTAGGACACCCTAGCAACCGCCTAGCAACACCTTAGCAACCACCTAGCAACCACTCAGAACACCCTAGCAACCGCCTAGCAATACCTTAGCAACCACCTAGCAACCACTCAGGACACCCTAGCAACCACCTAGCAACACCTTAGCAACCACCTAGCAACCACTCAGGACACCCTAGCAACCACCTAACAACTCCTTAGCAACCACTCAGAATACCCTAGCAACCACCTAGCAACCACTTAGGACACCTTAGCAACCACCTAGCAACACCTTAGCAACCACTCAGAACACCCTAGCAACCGCCTAGCAACACCTTAGCAACCACCTAGCAACCACTCAGAATACCCTAGCGACCACCTTGCAACACCTTAGTAACCACTTAGCAACTAGTCAGAACACCTTAGCAACTGCCTAGCACCACCTTAGCAACCACCTAGCAACCACTCAAAACACCCTAGCAACCGTCTAGCAACACCTTAGCAACCACCTAGCAACTAGTCAGACCACCTTAGCAACTGCCCTGCACCACCTTAGCAACCACCTAGCAACCACTTAAAACACCCTAGCAACCGCCTAGTAAAATGCTAATTCATGCTAGAATCATGCTAACATGTTAATTCATGCTAGAATCATGCTAGTAACATGCTATTTTATGCTAGAATTATGCTAACAACATGCTAATTCATGCTAGAATCATGCTAGCAACATGCTAATTCATGCTAGAATCATGCTAGTAACATGCTAATGTATGCTAGAATTATGCTAACAACATGCTAATTCATGCTAGAATCATGCTAGTAACATGCTAATTCATGCTAGAATCATGCTAACAACATGCTAATTCATGTAAGAATCATGCTACTAACATACTAATTCATGCTAGAATTATCCTAGTAGCATGCTAATTCATGCTAGAATCATGCTAGTAACATGCTAATTCATGCTAGAATCATGCTAACAACATGCTAATTCATGCTAGAATCATGCTAGTAACATGCTAATTCATGCTAGAATCATGCTAACAACATGCTAATTCATGTAAGAATCATGCTAGTAACATGCTAATTCATGCTAGTAATATGTTAACTCAAGCTAAAATCATACTAACATTCTATTTACACTTTAAAACCACTTCAAACTTTCAGATTCGGCTTTTCAAGCCACCATAAAGTTTGTCCTCAAACTTTAATATCTAGTTATATTTGTTTTATTAAAAGCAAGCTTAGATTTGCCCACCTGCAGGTTTTATACCATATGGGGCACAGCCTGTGTTTTAGGATATAACTCAGTTTTTTGAACACACTTCATTATTATTGTTCATTTATTCGTTTGCTGGAAAATAAAACTGAATTTAGAAATAGTTTTGAAACAAATATTTGCGCTTAACAAACGAAATAAATTACTTATAGGCTAATTGATGTCTGTGCATAAAGGTTTCCCTATCCAAGACCAGTAGATCGATTATCTCTCATTCTTGCGCTGTAGATGCTCTGTTTAACTGTTATCTTGCTAGTGAAATGCTCAGTTTTTTCACTTATACTTACTTTACTTCATGTAAATAGCAAATGCACTATGGCACGGCCCAACTGACTCTTAAAGGTTCAGGACACCCCGGAGAACTTTTTTTTTTTGTATTAACAGATGTGTGTGTGTTGAGCATCAGTTAAGACAATGTTAGCACCTGTCAGCTTTAATTGTGGGGAAAACTGGATAATTTTGAGCTTTTGTCAGCTAGTTTCAGCTTCCGGGTTTAAAATGATTTTTGGGGCGGGATCAAAATCGGCGACGTAGCGCAGAACTGCAAGTGCAATGATGACACGCCGGTTTCTCATTATTATTCATAGCGGAGTTTTCTTATCCTATGAGAAGAGCCGGCTGCTTAATTATTCATGAGACCTGCCAGACCTGCCAGTGTCAAGCCCGAGCTGAGAGACACGGAAACCACGGCACAGTATTTAGCCGTTCATGAAGGCTCATATGCGTTTGTTTCCATCATCCACGGGGTTTGTTGCATGTTTTTCCCCGCGATCTTGTCAGGGCCGATCATACAGCAAAGCTGTGTGCGTGCTGCTAGCATTTTTGTCGGGAGAGCAGCACGAGAATTAGAGAATGGCGGACACTGTCTTTCATCAGGAGTTCGTTCACATTCAGACACATCACTGTGCTGCTGTGTTTGCCTAAATCCTCCAGATTACTAGCAGGGCTAATGGTTAAAATAGACGGGTCAGATGACCTGCTGCACTGAGTCTGCTGTATACGGGGATTGAGGGAGAATCCTCATTTATAGTGTTTACATGAACACACATCTTTATAATGATATAAATTGTGGTTGTCTGTATATGAAATTACAAATAACAAATGTAGCAGGGCATTAAATCACTGTTCATTTCTTTGCATTTTAACTTTGTAAACTATAAACTCATGCGTCTCCTCTTTGTGTCTCATTTTGTGAGCTAACTGACAACAGCAGTTATTCGCTCCCCTTCTCCCCTGCTGGCCACGCCTACTCCTGCCCGATGCTCGCGGAGCTCCACGCCCATTAATTATGCATCTTTTGAAAAAATTCTGAAGTAGACTCTAACCGAAAGAGGGGGGTGTCATGGCCCTTTAAAGAGAATGGGAGATGAGACTCTGATTGGTTTATTCTCAAAACACACCTATAACTCATTAAGAAAATAAACTCAACCCTTTTAGACCATGCGCCATTGCGCGAAGCAGATTTTTCCATCCTTATATTAGCAAAAATGCATTCTGACACGCCCTGAAAGTGTTTGCGCACGGAGTTTTGCGCTTTGCACATGGACCGTCAAAATAGAGGCCACAGTGATATGCTGTTTTAAGATCCCACGGATACCCAGTGATATGCATATTTAATACACCGCGATCACCCAGTCATATTTAGATTTGACGTACAACCATAAATTAAAATAAATAAAAAAAAACACACAATGAATAAGGTTAAAAAAACACATTATGGTATGAATGGATCGGGATGAATGACCTACTGAACATCTGTTGGTGTAATAATTGTACATGATTGACTATAAGTATAGAACTATCATATGATATCATACTATCGTATCCTTAAAATGACGTGTAGGTTATGAAAGTAGTGTCTACAATCAGATCTGCGGTTTCTCACCTCTGCGTGCCACCAGCTGCAGGGTTTCCTCAATGCGCTGAAGCTCCTTCTGTTTGGCTTCCTGCAGATACCGCTCTTCTTTGACCGCATCATACTTTATTGCTTAATGAACACAAAACACATGTAATTAGATACAAACAAACAACATTTACATGATTTAAATGCACAAGTTTTTAATATACTGTCAGGAACTGGTGATATCTATCCAAATCTGCATGTGAATAAACCAAATATAGATCATTATGAGCTCAGCTAAGCATGTAATAACAGAGAAGTCACATACAATGATCCTCTCTCTCTCTCTCTCTCTCTTTGAACTGTGGCTTTTAAGTAGCTACAGTGTAATGCTGTTCATTCAAGCAGATATGAGATTTCATTTAGTGTTCATATTTGGCAACACGAGTGAAACTCTATCAGGAAGGACCGGTTTAGATAAATCCAAGCCAGTAGCAGAAACGCTCATGAGTGCTATTTTAGATGCTGCCATTGTTTATTTTTTCTTCAATGAGACTATTGAGGTTGATTAAAAAAGGTTGATAAGAAATGGCAATTTGCTATTTTTGGTCTCTAGAGATCAAAAGTGGTCTGGGGAGATAGTAAGGCATATATATATATATATATATATATATATATATATATATATATATATATATATATATATATATATATATATATATTACTATTAACTAATTTTGAAATATTAAACTTTTAACTTTATAGTATAACTTTTAGTAGCTTTGTTTAGACCTGTTTTTCACTGGGGTACAGGAAATGTGTGGAGGATTATTTTAATAAAAAATAAAATAAAATAAAATTAAATTAAATAAAATTAAATAAAGAAAATTAAATTAAATTAAATTAAATTAAATTAAATAAAATTAAAGAAATTAAATTAAAAATAAAAGGGACTAGGCTGAAATAAAAATGAATGAACAAATAAAATAAAACAATGGGACTTATTTTTTGTATTTTTCTTTTACAACATGCAAGTGTCAGAAGTTTATAAAATGTGTTTTTGAAATTTCTGCTCAAAACACCAAACAGGTTATTTATTTATTCTATGCTTTGACTTAAAATAAACAAAAACATACAATTGCAATAAAACAATTTTATATAATTTAAAAATAACTTTTATACACAAAAATGAATATAATATTTATACAACTAAATAACAATAATAAAAAAAGTTCAGTTTTGAAATCAATATTTGATAGAAATACAGTATGTACTTGTTGAGCATAAAACATTAACAAGCTAAAAAAATATATATTTTTCAAATAATATTTTAGTTATATAAAAATATTATTAATAATAATATAATAATATTTAGTTTCTAAAAATTATAACATACATTTTTAGCAGAATGAATTGGACCTTGAGAATAATTATTTTGGGCAACTGTGGAATCCAGAACATTGATGTCACTGACATACATGTAACTACAACCCACAATATTTGATTTAAATAAGAGAAGGACAAAAAAACAAACAAACAAAAATGCAGATGCTCATGCTTTAAGATCACTTTACTACTACATTTCCTTACATGCACTACACAGAATTGATCAGACAACAATATATGGAAAATCATAAAGAAATATTGAAAAACCAAAATCAATAGAGAAATTTGAACAAACACTTGATTGAGAAACGTCAACATGCTTTTGAATGCTTTCTATAAACACCAGTATTTGTATGATAAGATATGAGAAGGTAAAAAAAATCATTTAATTTCATAATGTTCAAAAAAAAGTCTTAGAGACTTTCAAAAGAGCTTATCAGTTGCAGTCCCAAGCCACCACCCTGCTACCCACCTTCTAGACCTGGCTTACCATTGTAAGATGAGGAAAATAACTTAGACTCAACTGCAACACGTAAAAGACAGTGTCAGTCTAAGCAGCCCAAGTATAGAAGATATACAATATACTGTTTCAAAAAAAGCTCAGCGACTCAAAATATTTGCAACTGCTACAATAACAGGCAAAATATAATACCCTCATAAAATGTTCAGATAACTTAAAATAATTATGCTGTGAAACATTTTATTTTTTCATAAACTTTCAGTGCATTTGCAAGACTCGTTTAGAATCTATACATTTAATAAGTAATTTTAGAAGTTATTTTAATTACAAAACTAAAAGACACTCTACAATCCTTTAAGACTATGAAAAAAAGAGATCACTTGAAAAAACAAATTGTTTAAGATTTTGTAGTTGTGTAAAAAACATGTTCTATTATTGATGACATTTCTTATGAAATTAAAAATAACAATAAAACATTTATTAAAACAAACCAAAATAAAGTTAAGTTTTAAATTTTGATAGAAATTCAGTATTTATTTAGTAGTGTTTTAGTACAAAAATTTAAGAAGGTAGCCAAATTCTGTTAAAAATAATATTACAATGTTTTAATTACAAAATAAAACATTGCAAACAAAAATGTGTAACAAATGATTAAAATAACCCAAAAAATTACATGTTTTCAGACATGTTTATATCTTAGACAACACAATACCACTATTTTAACTTTAAAAGAGCTAAACAATCAACATTTGTTGAAATAACCCTGATTTTCAATCACAACAAGTGAAAGTTGTGTTTTTCTTTTTTCGACCTTGTTATTTTCAAGAAAATACACATTTAACAATATTTTCATTTAGAACTTGGAAGAAATGTTCACAGAAAAACAATACTATTTTTTTCCCTCAAACCCAAATCTAATAAATCCAGCCAATTAAGAATTTCAAACATTTTACCTTAGCATCATACTGGTATATGGTATTTTGTGTGTAATGCATACTGTAAGATCTCTACTGACAATTTAACTCTGTCCCTGTGCATTATACTTCCTTCTTTTAAGAGGACAGAAATCCATTTAGGCTATAAATAAATCATGTGGTTATTCTTAAGATGTTCTAACAAGAAATGAAAGCATTCTGGAGAAAACCCACAGGGCCATGAAATGTATAGCATGTGGCATCATGGTAGAAAGTAACTTCCACATACATAAAAAATATGCTGCAAAAAGGGAACGTTAAGCTAAATTGAGCACTCACTTGCACCAGGAACCACTAGAAGGTATAATCCATCCAATGTTGCCACCACTGCTTCATTGTAAAGGTTTTTCCAAGGGATCTTCAGAGTCAGTTTACCTGAAGAGCAAACATTTTAACTCAGTGTGACTATACTGATGAATAAGATAAAATTATTAGCCCTCCAGTGACTTTTTTCTTTTTCAAATATTTCCCAAATCATATTTAACAGAGCAAGGCATTTTTCACAGTATTTTCTATAATATTTTTTTTTCTTTTGGAGAAAGTCTTATTTGTTTTATTTTAGCTAGAATATTTTTTAAAAGCATTTAAAGATCAAAATTACTAGCCCCCATAAGCAATTTTTTTTAACTGTCTACAGAACAAACCACTGTTATACAATGACTTGCCTAATTACCCTAGTTAACCTAATCAGTCTATTTAAGTCTTTAAGTTGCACTTTAAGATGAATACTAGCATTTTGAAAAATATCTAGTCAAATATTATGTACAGTCATCATGGAGAAGATAAAAGAAATCAGTTATTAGAACGTAGTTAGTAAATTTATGCTTATAAATGTGTTAAAAAATCCCTCAGTTAAACAGAAATTAGGGGTAAAAATTGTACAGGGGTGGCTAGTAACTCAGGAGGGCTAATAATTTTGACTTCAACTGTAGGAGAAACAAAAGAAATGTCATTACATTACTTTATTAAATAGTAAAATGGGCCGGGAGGGGGGGGGGTAATGAAAATGGTGGTAAACTGGGTAATATTTTTAGATCAAGCACATATAATAGGTAAAACAAGCACTAAAATGTAGAATATGTGGAGGGAATTTCACAGAACTATTCAGAAAATGCATGTAGCTCTTGTTAACCAATTACTTTTTACTGCTTGACATCCTGGCCACTGTTCAGCAGATGTTTACAGTCATCTGACTGGGTCATGTGAGGATAGACAAATGACCGTTTTAACAGGCTTCTTGTTATTGCCAAGAGTGTCCTGTGGTTTGTGTTGAACAGCAGAAAAATGAACTGAAAGGGATTTCATTTTTCTAAAAAGCCACTTCAACTTAAAATGTTTCAGTATAGTTTAATATTGCTTTAAGACAACATCTAGTCTTATTTGATATTTCATCATAGATGAATAGAAGTATCTGTGCAAACTGACACTTCAGTTGTAAAAAAATTGTCATCCTTAAATAGAAATTAGTTCACTTTTATTGACACTGACTGCAAAGTACAATCAGTCTTTAGCAGAATAATATAGGAAGTGAAAATCAGCAATCTGAAGAATAAAAATGTTCTACTTCAGTCTTCTTGGTTACAAGCTATCAGCAGAATGTCAGGAAACATTTGACTCAAAAAATACATCTTCCTGCCTTAAATACAAGTATTTTCGTAGAATCAAATTAACTTTAGTCATCTCAACTTAAATCACACTCATAATATTGTTAAACTTTGAGTAGCTACATTTTTTGTTTAAATCTGATTGACTTATTAAATTAAATTAAGTTAAAGTACCATAAGAGCATGTTTGGTCACATCTCACAATGCTGTCCTTCTCTGAGATCAGGGGTCTGTTCTTCATATTGCTCAATTAGCTGGATTTAGTTATTGACGAGTTGACATGATTCAGAATCATTTAAGTTTAAAAAGTATAGAAGTTTTAAAACTAAACGCATTCTGCACTCCGACAAAAAAAAAAAAAAAAGTACAAAGGGGTCACCGGGGCTTCTCTCCACAAGGGGTTCAAAGAGAGCGTTTATTTTTAGAGAATTTTTAGGTTCAAATACAGATACTATTTTATGGAACCAGGTTTAGTACAGTTTTTGTATAATAATAGACATGCACAAAATTGGACTGTTTTTCTTTTTACTTGTTTGTTTGGTTTATTGTTTTTTAAGAACAATCATTTATGCAGTCATGCACATGTTTGACCAGCTAATATGAAGGTGATTTGATGTTTTGCAAAAGATATCAAACTGCTTTTTTATTGTTAAAATAAATTTTAACAGCCAGTTATTCCTTACGCCGATTAAGAAACGTGAATAGGCCTACTATAATAAAGAAAATCTGCTCTAAATGTAAAACCAAGTAAAATGACTAAATACTGAAAGTGTAAAGCCTGCAGCCTACAACAAATGTGTAAAGTTACTGCGTATCATATTTATCCAACCATTCTACAAATTTTATGTAATTTTGCTCACATGGATATTTGAAAATTAATCAGATGATGTCATTACGCTGCTGTGCCATCAGTCAATACATTGCTGATCATGTTTAAGGATAGATAGATCTGTCCTTCACATTAAATGCACCGATCTCAGATCAGTTCTTACAGACATTTTAATCTGATTCATAAACTTGTTTGAAAAAAAAAATTAGCCAGAGATCACTTTAAAAGATCCCGGATCTGCCAAATTATCTTAGATCATTTAAGTGAGGGACGAAGAATGGACCTTTGAACTGTAAAAAATCACAACACAACCAACAAACTTACTGTGATGTGTGTAGTCAAAATTCTGAACTTTATTTTAGAATTGTGAGACAAACTCAGAATTGCAATAAAAAATTACTGTGAGATTAAAAATAAATAGCAATTAACTTTTTTATGTTAGCTTCCATTATAGGCCTCTTTGCAGTATATTCAAGCATTGAAAACTGAAAATTCACAATTACACCAGTTTCAAAGATAAGGAATTTTTTTTATTAATATTGTCCTTGCAGATTATCACACATTGTTTGAAATTGGTAGTGCAAGATCATTAAATATTTTGTACATTAAACACACATCAGCAAAAATAGGGAACAGTCGAATGTTAGTAATTTATATTGTTCAATACAGTTACAGTAGTGATGGCTCCTTGGCTTTATAGCTCAAATTTTTATGGCTTGTTTATAGATAATATACAATGATTTTATTGTTGTAATGCTTGCGTGGGACCAGCTTTTAGCAGAGTAAGATAAATGAGGGCAAATCATTGTTTCATAAAAAGTTTTGCAGCAGCCTGATGTTTCTATAAATCCTCAGGCTCAAACACTCTTTATTTGTTTTTTAAAATTTAGTTTAATTTAGTAATAATTTAGTCAATAATTATACCTAAATATTAAAAAATGATCAACAATATATTTTACTAAAATATCTGAGCAATGCTCCTCATTTGTCTTAATTGAAAAAAACCTTTACACAGTTTAACTTACATTTAGAGTAAGACATGAACAACATGACCATTCTGAAACTTTCTTGAGTGCAACAGTAACTTTGTTCTTTGCGCGAGTACTAATGTGTCATCTGCATACATTTAAAGCTGAACTTCTGGACACACAATGCTGGTGACTTATTAAATTAAGTTAAAATAACATAAAAGCATTTTCTGTCATGATTTTACTGATAAGTTTTTATTTTTCTGATAAGTTTTTACAGTGCATATTCCATGTTGCACAACTGCCTGATAACCACGAGGCTGGATACTCACCAATCTGTCCAGCTTTCACTTTAAAAGGGACATCAAGTTCACTCTAAAAAACGCAAAGATAAATTGGAGAAATTATTTTTAAATGCATGTTTAAAGCAACTGTTTAAAAAAAAACTAGTGATTTAGTTGGGTTAGCATCAGCAAATCACATTCTGCCACACACTCTTTATTCAGCAAAAGCTACGGATGGTTAAAAATCAACCACTAACCACATGTGTTGTACACAGACATGCACACTCTCTCTTTTCAAAATGGATGCAGTTCTCTTATGTGTTTTAACTACATTCTGAATGAATATACATTAAATTGATGTCAAAAATGAATTAAACTTATTCCATTTAAATATGATTAATGTCCAGTACATACTTACCAAAGCATTTTCTTTCACCTTCAGATTTTCCAACACCACATTTCCTGAAAATAGAAATGAATTCTACGTTCAATGTTAAAACACTTCAATTTTGATTTTAGGGTTAACATTATAAATGGCTGTTTCTAAAATGTGATAAAATTGTAGCAAAAGGTATTAAAAAAAATGTGGTCAGAATTGCAAATCTTTTGACATTTTCTTACCCTGTGCTTTTTTGTTATATTTTACAATTATTACATATTAATTATAATTAGGAGAAGATTAATCATCATTAATCTAATCCAAAGTAACTGTTTTTTTTTTCACAAAATATACATGTGTGCGCTGTGTATTTATACAGAATATATAAATACACACACACCCATGAATATATTTGAGAAAAAACTATATTTAGATGTAAAATATATATTGTATATGTAACAAATTATATAAAAATTTGTATATCTATGTGACAAAAAAAAAAAAAAAGAGTATAGGTTTGTTTTTATGTACGTGTTATAGGGCATCACAGTGGCTCAGTGATTAGCACTATCGCCTCACAGCAAGAAGGTCGCTGGTTCAAGTCACGGCTGGGTCAGTAGGCATTTCTAAATGGAATTTTCTTCCTGCGTGGATTTCCTCTGGGTGCTCCGGTTTCCCGCACAGTCCAAAGACATGCGCTATAGGTGAATAGAATAAACTAAATTGGCGTAGTGTATGAATATGTGTGTGAATGTGAGAGTGTATGGGTTTTCCCAGTATTGGGTTGCGGCTGGAAGGGCATCTGCTGTGAAAAACATATGCTGGAATAGTTAAAATAAGGGACCCTTAAATAAGGGACTAAGCCGAAGGAAAATGAATGAATAAATGTATGTATTATTACATATACATAAATAGATAAAACACACACACACACACGCATACTGTATATTATGTCAAAACAATCTTTTATTTTGGATTTTCTTTTATTATTGCAATTCATTTTTGCCCAGCACTTATTGTTTTTATCTAACACTATTCATCAATGAGATCAACACTACATTTGGCTTTTAGGGTCATCATTTTAAAAGTCTTCTCCCAGCATGTGATAATGGTGTAGAAAAAAGGCAAATACGGTTAGTGCAAATTCAATATCGGAGGTACTGAGTGTGAAATTATTTAGATTTTTGTTCTTGCATGTTTTTCTCATAATTCTGAACTTTTTTCTGACTTATCTCAGTCAACACTTTATCACAACTGAGTTCATATCCCACAGTGCTGTATTTATCTGTGATCAGAACTGCAGGAAACCACAACACAGCCCACAAACTCACTACTGTGATGTGTGTATTTTAAATTCAGGACTTCATTTCATAATTGTGAGACAACTCAGAATTGCAAGAAAGAAATCAGTACTGTGAGATTAACAATTAAAAGCTAATCACTTTTGTATGTTTAGTTCCAATATAGGTCTACATGCACTATATCCAAGCATTTAAATATCTAACTCCAAATTTGTAATTTCACCAGTGTCAAAGATAAGAAATGTTACCATTAATAACATAAAGACATTCATTAAAATATGATTTGCCATTTTTGACATTGAGGATAATTGCACTGGCATTACAGAAAGGAAATAAATGTCAGCCAGAGCAGCCTATCTGATGCTGAGATAAAAGTGTCACCATATCAAACGGCATGCTGACAAAATAACAGCGTGCTCGTGCTGATCTGGCCGAGGACTGGCTAAACCCCTGTGGAGTTTCACACCTATGAAAGCGGAATGTTCATTATGCTGGATTAAAACAACTCCCTCGACTCATTCACTCATTTTAACACCTGCTGCTGACCATTTTATGTTTTCAAATTAAATGAACAATGAACATTTTCCTCCGTAGTGCGTGACCTACATTTAATGGTAATAGGTAATTGATAAAGATACAATACTAGGGCAGGTCTTCTTGTTTCTAATCCATTGGTTATAGATTTGATTAGAGATGCACCAATCCCTATACTTGGATCAGATATTGGTTTGATATTACATATTTTTGCTGGATTGGGTATCGACCATCTGGTACCGACCCAAATCTGATGTTGCGCATGCATTATATTCAGTGTAATTTAGAAGCCAATGAAAGCCATTAGGGTAGCCTATTGTAAGGCACTAGAAAGTTGTCATGTATGCATACTACTTCAAATGTTTTGAAGCCATTCTATAGTTTAATGTTAGGCACAGATGAATATTCAAGTTGATGTTCAGTTGAGCGCTTCCATCTGCTACGCCTGTCAGTCATTCTTCATTCATTTACAATTCAAACTGTGTGTCGTGTTCGTTTATGACAACACGAAAAACTTTCTCTAGGACTATTTGTTCCAATTAGTTTAAATAATCAGTAGAGAAATGCATTAAGTTTTGCATTAAATGGGTAAATTTCGACCTGCAACAAGGAGTTCATTGCTGTTTCTAAATCATGTTGCTCTGTGCCTGTTGGATCAGCAGATCGCATTCACAACACTGGAGTAGAGAGGGTTATTACCTGCTCCTCATACAAAGTAGGCCTAACTGAAATTTTAAATTATAAACGGCTCAATAGCCTAATACATTGGACAGATCCTCAACGCACTAATTTCCTCCCTTTGTGATGCTATTTGGAAGTGTCACAATGAGTTTCTGTTCTCTCATCCTTCGAACTGAGTTTATTTTTTCGAGGGGAATACTTTCAATGTTGTAAATAGTTTGTAAAACCTGACCCATTGTGGTTAAGTTTATTAAATCAATAAAATTAAAACAGACAGGCGCAATATGAATTGTCATTAACAAAAAATTATTTAGCCTAATATAGACTTTTCTGAAACTGTTTTGGCGCTGAAGCATATAAGCAGACCTTGTTTCTTGTTTATTTTGTACAAATGAAGATATTTTATTAGAGTTTATTAGCAGAACTATAGAAACAGTATTACGTATAAAAAAGACCAACAGTATCGGGATTGGATCTGTATCGGTCAATACTCAGAATTTTGGTATCGGGATCAGATTGATTAAAAAAAATTATATCGGTGCAGCCCTAGATTTGATATTGAGACATGAGCATTATAAAAGAAAATTATGTTGCAGGGGTGAAGTTTTAGCAGACACAGTGAATGAAGAAATTCTGCATAATACACCAGCAAGAAGTCCGTCATTTTCATTGGAGGATCTAATTAGATTTTTTGTTTATTACGATGTCAGGATAAATTGGAAGCACAGAGCTGTATCAATCATAATTTGAAATACAACATGCATTTACCAAAGAGAAAAGGTGAACCCATTTTTAATCCAAAGGATTTTGGTTATTTAAATGAGCATGGCTTCGAACACTCCTTTTAATTTTACAGTAAATGAAAGAATCTAGGTGGAGTTGTTTCAGCCATGAAACATCCAGCTAAGTGACTACAATGACACATCAGAAAGACAGTAGTTTGATATGTGACTCCAATTAAAGTATACTAACTAGAAGATAAACAGAGCAAACAGCCATATTTGCATATAAACATACAAACGCTGACAGTAAATGGTGCACAAAAAATAAACATTAACCATAAGTACAGAATTAATGGGACATTCAGAGGGTCTTATCCCAGAGTAGGGCTGAACAATATATCGTTTAAGAATCCATATCGGAGTTTGTGTATCTGCAATAGTCGCAGGATTAGATTAAGATGAAAAGACATTATAATATTTTTTTAAGATATTTAAAAAAAAAAAGAAAAAACTATTTTAATCATTTATAAAATGATGACCGTATTATTTTACATTTAATTGCTCAATTTGTGTATCCTGTATACAGTTTGACACAATAAAACCATAAAGCACTGTTTATTTTGCTTTTATTTTTGCTCTGTTGTATTTATAAATGCTTGTTATGTGTAAAATTTTATGCTGATGCACTGCACAGAAAGACTTGATCATTCCAGTCGATCTATTTTAAAAAAATCTTTCCAAATAAAGCTATTAAATCATCTGCTGAAATTAAATTCATATAGTAACATATGTATTTCGCATAGAGCAATAATAAACAGTTATTACCAATATTGTTTGTTTATTTATTATAGCTAACTCATTTGATTCATGGGCGACACTGTGACTTAACAGTCACCTCACAAAGACACATTCCCAGGTGGAAAAGTTGGCATTTCTGTGTGGAGTTTGCATGTTCTCCCTGTGTTGACGTAAGTTTCCTCCGAGTGCTCCGGTTTCCCCCACAGTCCAAAGACATGCGCTATAGGTGAACTTAATAAACTATATTGGCCATAGTCCATGTGTATGTTTGAGCGTGTACTGTATGAATGTTTCTCAGTACTGGGTTACAGCTGGAAGGGCATCTGCTGTGTAAAACATATGCTGGATAAGTTGGCGGTTCATTTCGCTGTGGCGACCTTTGATTAATAAAGGGACTAAGTTGAAGGAAAATGAATGAAAGAATGAATTTGATTCATTTATTACAAATATTACAGTTGCATAAGTTAAGAAGTGCATAAAATTCCTTTTATTCCCCAAAATAATCTATAACAAATAATTCTAATGTAAAATGTTTGACACTGTGTATCTCTAAAATAAGAACCTTAATAGTGTGGGTCAGAGGAGCAATGGGATAAATCTGCAATAATATCCTGCATCAGGCTTTTTCAAGCAGTTATTTAGAAGCTTTTCAGTGATATTTAGCAGCTGTTTCTAATGGCTCCAGAACTTAATTCCCAGATTAAATGGGTAAGTGTGCAGCACAGAAATTCATAGAGAATTGTATGGCATTTATTTTGTTGTTCCTCAAGGTGTGGTCCACTTCACCTTGAGCTTTACTTGCACACATTCATCACAACAAAACAAACAAAACAAGCCTACAATACAGACTGCTTGCATTCAGCAGCTCAGCTAATCGTCTTGAACCATTTTCTGTTTGTCTTATCAAGAAGACAATCGTTTCATTTATCTAATGCAAGCAGGAACTTGAGTAATGACCATGACAGCTCTTTTTTTACACAGTTAGGGCGGGAAACACTACACATATTAAAAGAAAACAATATAAATAACGTTAACAGTTATATTCCTCGCCTCAGAAAGCAAGCAACTTAACAGCCTGCCAATCTTACAGAACAGAAACAATCATGAACGATAGTCATTTGTGGACACTGTAAAAAATGTACGTATTAACGTGCACTGAACATCGACACATGACATTTTGTAATAAACAATAATTCGCAGAGAGGGAAACGCGTTTGTTTGCACTGATGTTTACAGGCAGTTTGACGAATATACGCTTACCTCCCCATATGCCAATCTTGAGCTGCGACTTGTCCAGGTTTTCCACATAATCTCCAATAAACCTGTTTAAAAGATCACTGACTAAAGACTCGAAGACCATGATGAGTCGAGAACGACAGCGACCCTGTCGCAGAAAACACGCTAAAATGACACAATCCGCATTTGCTAAGGTTACTTCCCTCGCAGTGTGACAGGCGTTCACGAGATCGGTTCATCCGGCGATCCACTCACACTGTCTGCGCCAGGGGTCTCCGAACACTTATCATTAACAGGCTGAGTAGTTGATACAAGAACGTGGATCACAAAGCGAAAGTGTGGTGAGGTGACTCATAGTCATTTGTTTACCAAATGAGAAACTCTTTAGAATATTTGATTAATTGATTTATGTGCAAGATATATCATTACTGTTTGCTTTAGTTGTTTTCCCTTAAGGATAATACATTTAAGTTATAGTTTACCAAGATGTAAATGTATGTACTGAAGATACACGTTTGATGATATACGTTATATATGTCCCAAAACATAAAAGAAAACATTAAAATATGGTTTTAATATTTAGCATTATGGTTTGTTATTTGTATGTCATTTGTGGTGGAAATTATTAAAAGTTATTTAAGTTTCTCTTTCTGTTGTTGTTGTATTAAAAATACAAGAAACCCACGCGAACATTAGGAGAACATGCAAATTCCACACAGAAATGCCAACTGACCCAGTCGAGGCTCAAACTAGCGACCTTCTTGCTGTGAGGCGACAGCACTACCTACTGCGCCACCACGTTGCCCATAATTCATTCATTTTTGAAAATATTAAAAGGATATTTTACCCCCAAATGAAAATGTATTTATCATTTACTCACCCTCACATTGTTCCAAACCTTTATGGGTTTCCTTTTTCAGCTGAACACAAAAGAAAATATTTAGAAAATTGTTATAAACTTGAAACCGTTGATTTCCACCGTTTATGTTATTCCTACTAACTTCTTTTGTGTTCAACAGAAAAAAGGAACTCAAACAAGTACAGGATGAGAAAATTATGACTTAATTTTCAATGCTGGGTGAACTATCCATTAAATAAATGCTCCAAAATGAATACATATCTTATTTCTCACATGCATTATATAATAAATCATAATAATCACTACCAACTTTATATGGCTTTAAATAATTTAATAAAAAATGCCTTGATTATACAAAATTGATTGCATAAATTCAGATTTAAGGACCTGACTGTGACTGTGATAGCGTTTATTTCCTGTCACACTCTCCTATTTGTCTTCTGGCTGTGGTTTTCTTTTAGGGACAAGTTTCCAAGCTCTTTCTGGTGCACGTGGTCTGCTTGAAATCTGTTTACAAGTTGATCTTATGATGTTTGACCACATAGAGGCTTTTTTGTGTTTGTGCTGAAGGTTTTACGTCCAAACATTTTGTCTTAAACCTCAAACCTTTAATTATTAGATATTGAAATACACAAGCTCTTCTTTCCTACCATACTATAGAGCTAATAATATGCCAAAACAATCTGAATTTGAATTGTGTTCATTTGAATTATTGACAATTGTTAAAGAGACTAAGCCTAAAAGAAAACAAATTAATAATAAAAAAATATATTTAGCAGAAAGTAGGTGGTGAACAACAGGGAAGAGTAGACGATCACAGAAAAGTCAAACTAAGCACTTTGGCCAATCACAGAGCTGTGGAGTATAGCTATTTCTGCACTGAATTTTGAAGAAAATCTGCAGATTTATGCTGTATGATTTTAGGAGTATTATAACTAAAACCTTAATATATGAAATAAAAAGTAATACTTTTATAACTTATATTTAATGTTTACCAGTTAGATCCACATTATTTGGTAAACAAAGCAAGTCTCTTATATAATATATCTGCTGAAAGACAGATAATATGAATTTATAAACTATATTGTAGACAAATATTGAATATACTGAAATTATTTTAAAAACCGAATAAATATAAATTTACACACATTTACACAAGTAAATAAACCGAATCAATGATGGGCTAAAAATCTGCATAATTTTGTGGAATTCTGCAGTTGCAGATTCCATGTGGGCCTACCTTTATAATGTAACCTCTGATGGGTTATTTCAGCAGACACAGGGCTCTTACACTTTACCAAAGTCACATTTAAAGACTTTTCAAGCTCTTTCTAGGTGCACTTTCAAACTGTCCCAGCATTTTACAACTGTGGTAAATGACATATTTGCATGCACACACTTTTTCAGCAAATTAGATAAGATGTTATTTGTTACAATTTGAAACTGTATTTTTACAAACTGGATATTTGCCGTCTAGGAATTCAGAACACAAAAAAGTTTGAAAATACGTCTACAAAAGAATTCAGCCTTGAAAAATTAAGTTTTCTTAAATTTCAGATGTTCAATAATATTCAAGTTATGAAATTCAAATAAAAAAAATTCTAACTAAACTATTTTAGCGGCATATAAAACTTCTTTTTTTTTCAAATACAATTAATGATAGTTGAAATGAACACAATTCAAATTCAGATTGTTTTGGCATATTATTAGCTCCATAGTTAATGATGAGGTCTCTATATTGCCCTCTATTCTTACAGACCACAAAGCTATTTTTCTGGTCATACGTCAAGGTTGTCCTATTTCAGCCTTTATTTTCTTACTGGTAACACAAACTATGGCCCTGCATATTAAAAGAGATACATTTTGTGGTATTAGATTTTTAGAGACAGAACTAAAAGTTTCTCAGTTTCTCAGTTAGCTGACAACACTGCCATTTTTCTACAAAATGAAATTAAAATTAAAACTGCTATTGATTGCCTCAATCTTTTTTCGTCTGCATCTGGTTTATGTTTAAATATTAAAAAATGTGTGGTGTTCTCTCTGAAAATATGCAATGATACTAATATATATGGTATTCCAGTAAAGAAGATGGTAAAATATTTGGGTCTAAAATTTGTAAAGATCAAAAAGAGAGAAGTAATCTGAATTTTACACCAATTATTAAGAAAACAAAACAAACATTAAACTTATGGTTAATGAGAGATTTGTCAATTAAAAGAAAAACATTATTAACAAAAACAGAAGTTTTGTCACGTTTAGTATAAACTGTTAAAGTCAGAATTATTAGCCCCGCTGTTTATTTTTATTGTATAACTATGGTTTATTCTGTAAACTATTGAAAAAATATAGCATAAAGGGGCTAATAATTTTGACCTTAAAATGATTTTTTTTTAATTAAAAAACAATAAGAATATTATTGTTGGTGAGGCAGTTATTCAAAAGGAATAGACAACTTTTAATTATTGTGAATTTATTTCAATTACAAGATCCCCATAACTGCTAAAGAATTTGCAATAGTATTTGATGCAATTTCTAGTGGACTTGTTTAGCTCTTATTCTGTAATTTATTCACTGAATCAAATCTTTTGCTTAGTAATCAGTTAAGTATCAATGGTGTGAAAATTATAGACAATAAATTGAATAACTGTTACATTAAAAGGTTTTGCAGAACTACATTGTTGCCTAAATGCAAATCTTTTTGAAATTCCTTATTTGAGCGAATTGAGTGGAAAAAAGTTTAAAACTTACCTAGTAAATACAGTCTCACCAATAAAGTTAAAGAAGTGGCATATAAACTAATACATCTAATTTATCCAGTGAAACAAGTTGTTACAATTTTTTTTGAGACTTAGAATCTACGTGCACATTTTGTGAATTAGAGGAGGAATTGATAAAACCTGTTTTTTTAAATGCACATATACCCAAATGTTTTGGTTTGATGTTGAATATCTTATATCTAAACTTACAAAATTAAAAATTCAGTTTTCTTGTAAATTTATTTTTTGATATGCAATAATAATAGCAAAAATGTGGAGCAAAATTTGTTTATAATAACAATATTAATTTATTCAATATTAAATATTAATTTTAATGGTGATATATAGGAAGTACCGTGTACACAAACAAAAATGGTCCGATGATAGGCCTAATACTTTTTTGTTTAAAAAATGATTTTCAGCATTATATTGAAACCCTAAAAGTCATAAAAACATAAAAAAGCTTCAAGGATGTGTGCAATTATGGATTCATTTTCTTATGCAAATATTTTTGTGGTTTATATATACCTGTAATTTATTTTGTTTGTTTTTTTATTCTCTACTGCAGTGGTCACCAAACTTGTTACTGGAGGGCCGGTGTCCTGCAGATGTTAGCTCCAACCCTAATCAAACACACCTGAACAAGCTAATCAAGGTCTTAGGTACACTTGAAACATCCAGGCAGGTGTTTTGAGGCAAGTTGGAGCTAAACCCTGCAGGGACACCGGCCCTCCAGGACCGAGATTGGTGACCCCTGCTCTACTGATTTGTTCCTTTGATGTGAAAATTATATAAGTATTGTATTCCTCATTTTTGTATGCTATTGTTCTTGTTATGCAAAAAAAAAAAGGCTGAAAAACACTAGCTGTCTACACTAGCTGAAACACTTTTTCATTGGCTGAAAAACACTAGCTGTTCATAGCCTATTGGCCACATAATGGATGCAATTTTCTGGTGTTCAGCTCAAGCAATGTGAGCATCCAAACCATTAATTTATTTACATAAAAATATAATGTTCAAACATCTGTCTGTGTAATAAGATGTAATTCTTCTAATACGTTATTTTTCAGCGGCACAATGTTTTTATTTTTTGTTCTGATCCTCTAGATAGAATAACCTTCAAAGGGATAGTTCACACATAAATTATAATTTACACTCTATTTACTCACCCTCAAGTGGTTTCAAACCTTGACAAGTTTCTTTTTTCTATTGAACACTACAGACTATTTTGAAGAAAGCTGAAAACCTATAGGGTGGCACGGTGGCTCAGTGGTTAGCACTGTTGCCTCACAGCAAGAAGGTTGTTGGTTCGAGTCCCGGCTGAGCCAGTTGGCATTTCTGTGTGGTGTTTGCATGCTCTCCCCGTGTTCGCGTGGGTTCACGTGGGTTTCCTCTGGGTACCAAGGACGTGTGCTATAGGTGAATTGGATGAACTAAATAGACCTTGGTGTATGTAAGTTTGTGAGAATGAGTGTGTATGGGTGTTTCCCAGTACTAGGTTGCGCCTGGAAGGGCATTCGCAGTGTAAAACATATACTGTAATAGTTGGCTCATTCTGCTATGGTGACCCCTGATAAATAAAAAAAACTAAGCCAAAGGAATGAATAAATGAAAACCTGTGCACATGGACTTCCATAGCAAAAAAAAAAACATGGAATTAAGGGTTACAAGTTTCCTGCTTTCTTCAAAATATCCTCCTTTCTGCTCAACAGAAGAAGTCAAACAGGTCTGCAGCTAGTAAAGGGTGAATACATTATGACAGGATTTTTGGTTTTGGGTATAAACGCTGCTTAAATACAGCAGAATTTTTAACTTAAACTGCTGTAGAGTGTAGTTTCAAGCCTAGTTAATCACATGAAACATGAAATTCAAGGTCACTTGATAACTAAAAAAAAAATGACACACTCAAATCCATAGTGTTTTGAGATGAAATCAAATATTCAAGTAAGTATATATGAGAGAGAGTGTGCTCTGTGGACTTGGTGTGTGTTTTCGGTAGAGTTTGAAAAAATGGGCTATATGCAATCATGGTCTTATAAAAGAAAACATTCAGAAATTGATTTAAAAATTGATGCCCAAAAAGTGCTTAGTGCTGGACAAAGCCAGAAAGTGTGAAAAAGAGTGGCTGGAGATTGTTGACACCCGTTACAAGTTAGATCAAAACCAGGCCGAGCTTCATAATTTAAACAAACATTTTGAAATATATTTTATTTAATTAAAATTGATTCCTGAAAAACACATGTCCTCTAACTTATAAGGAAAACGAAAGGAAAATACTAGATTCAGTAGATTCACATTATTATGTTTTTAAATCCCATCCACACATCTTTAATCTAATTCATTTCTGACTTCATATCCTTATACATTAAATATACATATAAAAAGAAATAAAACTCTTCAAGTAGACTACTCCCACTGAGATCATGAAGTAATGTGGACTATCAGTTCTGTTCAGATACCATGATATTTGCCGCCCTCAAGTGGTTGAGAAAGAGAATACAACCAATAAGAAAGTATTAGCGACGCAGCATTATACTGCAGAAGTACGGAATTAAATATTATAAAAGTGTTTGAACAAGTATTAAAACAAGTAGATTTACATTTATAATATGATTTAATATTTATTTTAGCTTTATTTTAGGCATTACTATAAGAATTGTCAGGTATTATGTATGCAATATGTAGTTCAGCAAATTTTAAAACAAAACAAATTGATCTCAAGGACATTTTATTTGATGTCATAATTAGAACGTCAAAGTGGAATGTTAAGGCTTGACGGTGTAATTTAGTTTTAGTGGGTAGTTTGGAGTGAGACAGTGCGTTTGTTTTATCATGGGTCAGCGAATTTCTTGTCTGAATATAGCGACAGAGTCGGAGTGTGTGTACAGTTTACATCCTAGTACACCACTTCAGTTAAATAATGACACGCCTCGTCAAGAAAACCATCAGCTTGATGAGAGCCGTGTTGTTCCTTGTGAGGAAGATGGAGAAGGGAGTTTGGTAAAGGAGAAAAAGAAAGAGAAGAAAAAATCGAGTTTTTGGAGAAAGCTGTTCCGCTTTTCACGCCCAAGAACTGGAAGGGGTAAAAAGGTGGAGCAGGTGGACAGTGAGAAGGTGAAGCCAGTCACCGAAGCAGAACCTTCTACTGATGGTAAATCCCTTTATTTTTTGTGTGACTGCAATTTTTTTTTATATAAAAATGATCACCTTAGCTTTAAAATATTGTCTCTGCAAATGTATTTGTAAAAGGATTGAAACGTTTCTGTGTGTTTTAATTAAAGTAAATGTTGAATGTATGTTCCCCTCTTTAGATCAAACCTCAGTAGGAAACATCCCAAACCCTGTTGAGCATCATGAATCCCAGCAAGCTCCTAACAGCCTTGAGGTTCCTTCCTCCATCATTGACCTGCAAATACAGGAACAGTGTGAGAATGTGGAGCTGGAGGAAGAAACGTCTACTGATGGTAAATCTCTTCATCTTTTGTGTTTACTGAACTTAATCATTAAAGAAGATCATCATAGCTTTAAACATTTGCAGAGTTCAAATGTTCAGATGTGCAGATGTTTGTGTATCTGAACTCTTCAGTTTTGTCTTTGTAAATACTATAAATGTATTATTTGTAGCAGTATTGAAATGTTTGTTAGTTCATATATAATTGTTATATTTTCCTCTTTAGATCCAACTTCAGTGGAGACCATATCTTCTGTAGAGAGTTATGGTCCTCAGAACACTCCCAACAGTAGTTTTGAGATTCCTCTCTTCACTGTTGACGAGCAAATCCAGGAGTTTCCAGATGATCTGTCAGAGGAAGAAACTGTGTGTCCTCTGGCAGAAAACCCAAGCCAAGACATGGTCTTGATTATTGGGAGTAAGTTCATATTAATTATGGCTGCTTGATGCTTTCTCTTTTTGAAAGGATTAGATGTTTCTGCATTATGTATTAGTGAAGTAATGGTGTATAAAGTGGTAATAAAGTTTTACTTTTGCATTGTAGAATATGAATCTGTCTCTAAAACTAATTATATTTGAACAGGCATGTGCTGGACCTACAACATGGGTGAGCTACTGGGAGAAGGAGGATTTGGTGCCGTATATGCTGGTGTCCGTGCCCATGATGATCTTCCGGTAAATTTACATATATTTTTGCATGATCAACCTAACAAACTATGTTTATGTGTTATGCTTTGTCTTTTGTAACACAATTAGAGCGCTTGATAAATGGTCAACCTGACCAAACATGCTACAAATTCATGACTAGAATTTCAACAAGGATTAAAGAATGGTCTGATGTAATCCAGTGCTAACTGTAAAATTCTGTTTTGTTGATCAGGTGGCAATCAAGTTTGCCAAAAAAATGGAGGGCATGGAATATCTCTACGTTGTAAGTAGACTCATCTCCTCTAACTCTGTTTTTTATTTTCAACAGTGTTAATCATAGACAGCAAACTATCTCTCAATAAACAAATTATAAACATGTTGTGTAAACCACCTTAATTTAACCATCCTAAAAACTCTTTCCACTAGCCTGGCCTTCCAGAACTTGTACCACTTGAAATCGGCCTTACACTTATGGCAAACAAGGGTCCCAGCTCACCCAACATAATCGATCTGCTGGATTGGCAGGACTTTCCAGACTATTATATAATGGTCCTGCAGCGCCCTTCACCATGCCTGAGTGTGTTCAAGCTGTTGGAGAGCTGTGGCAACATCTTTGAAGAAAGGTTTGCTCGGTATGTGATGCGCCAGGTTATCGAGGCAGCTGAGACCTGCTGCCGGCGCGGAGTATTCCACAGAGATATAAAGTTGGAGAACTTGATCATCAACACACACACCATGGATGTCACACTGATTGACTTCGGCTGTGGGAACCTGTTCCATGAAACAGAGTACCACACTTTTAGTGGTATGTACAGTATTAAAACTTTAGTGTCATGACACACAAGCTGCTGAATACAGTAAAAACAAACTGTTGTAACTCAGACATGCAAATCTCTTTCCTCCAGGCACAGAGATGTACTGCCCTCCGGAATTTTTCGAAACGGGCAAATACTTTGCACGGCCAGCAACCGTGTATTCGCTTGGAGTGCTGCTATACACTATGGTGTGCGGTTACATGCCAGACCACACGGATCGGGAAAAGATGCAGCACTGGCTCTGGTATCTGCCGTCCTTGTCCTGTGGTAAGAACTTGAAAAAATTGTAACAATCATACAAAAAAGTGTCTGACAAAGCCACTTGGCTCAGCTGTCCAAAATGCCATCAGGAGATGTAAAGGATGTTTAAAGTAATAGTCAAACATTAATCCTGTCTTTCAGAATGCAGTCATCTCATAAATGCCTGTCTGCATCCCGATCCCAGCGAGAGGATACAACTGGAGCAGATTCTCCTCCACGACTGGTTTACGGTACCTATGATCTAAAAAAACTTTTCAAAATGTCAGTTTTTTTGAGGACAATAAATCTGATTTTGATTTGTTTTTACTTTAGATCTCACCATCAGACATGGAGGATGAGCGCCCGGTCCTGATCATGCAGGAAGAGCTTATTAGCCAGGCATGCTAACACCAGTGGCCTCACCACCTCTCCAGTCCTTTGCTTCTTGCTAATGTCTGGTGTCAGAGCTTGAGGCAACAATATTTGTATCTTGCAGTGTTGCTGCCAAAAATGTATTGTTGAATTGAAATAAAATTGTGTCAATTGAACTGTTGTGTTTGTCATGTTTTTGTCCATTTATTTGCTGAATTAGAATTAGAGTTTGCATTAAGCCTAGTAAGACCATGATTAAATAGTACAGGTGTATTTTATTATGAAAGAAGCTAAAAAAAGAATATTGTGGTCCTCCAGGAGCTGGATTGGACATAGTAAGTAGTAAGGAATGTGTATTTATATTGCACATTTATTGTGTATGACCATACACCCAAAGAGCTTCACAATCATGAGGGGGGTCTCTCCTCACCTCCACCAGTGTGCAGCATACACTTGGATGATGCGATGGCAGCCACAGGACAATGGTGCTAGTTCGCTCACCGCACACCAGCTTTTGGTGGAGCTTCAGTGAATAACTGGTCTTGGGCTGCAGGGTGATATAGCTGTGGCTGTGATATTTCTGCACTATGAATATATACAAGTGAGAAACTGCATTCTACATGATGCCCTGGTTGCTGACTTGTGTCACTGAAAGAGACATATCAGTCTTTAAAATGATGGAAGCATTGATCTATAGATAATTCAATATCTGCATCAACACAACAACAACAAAAAAGCATGTTTGGAAGTATTAGCAGAATAATAAAAATTATTTAAAAATAGAAAGGAATGTGGTTGAGAACCAGCTGATTAAGCCATAGGGATGAGCCCTTCTAAAAGATTGTATGTGGTAGAGACGTCTCTCATAAAATAAAACAATTATTATAATCTCAAGTTTTTAGTTGAAAATGTTTAACACAAAGGTCAGTTAACAAATGGGCTATAAGCACACAGACTTTTAATTTCAGTCAGCCAGCCCCAGGGTTTCCGGTTAATTGTCATCCCATACAAAATTGCTGTGTTTAAGATCTGATTTCTAAATGCAGTCGTCATTTGCTTTATACATTTAACACAAAATTTAGTTTATGAATATTGATCTTTGTTTATTATTTGATTATCTGTATTTAAGTAACTAGTGTTGGCTGGTTTGAGAAATAGTTATATTATAAGGGTGCAGGAAACGTGGTTGCTTTTTTTTGGCAAGTTTTAGGTGTTGATATTAAAGCATGTTGCTATTTTTGTCAGTTTTAAAAAACGAAAGCCATTTTTTTTGTTTTGTTTTTCGGAAATTTAAATGTTATTTTTATTTTATTCAAGAAACACTTGCATCCTTGTCAGACTATAACTTGGAAAAGCCAGTTAGGGGATGATATATGGATGTCATATGGGAGTAATCGCCAGGGCCGGAGTGGGACTCCTTTTCAGCCCTGGAGTTTCAAGCCTCAGACCGGCCCACCTCAGTTCACGACTGACTATATTAAAATAAGTAAATAAATAAATATTTCCAAATCAGTTTATAATGACACTATCACGTCTTTTTTTTTTTTTTTTTTTTTGAGAAAACAGCTGCTTCAGAACTTCAAATGTTCAACAACCCTAACAGTATTATATGTCTTATCAATAAAAATGAAAATACTAATTTACTCTAACGAGGATCTAACCCGGATCCACGGCGTCTTAACCTAACGTGCTAACCGCTTGACCACAACAATGAATGGTTTTATGAATGGTGACACAACTGAGTTTTATCATCATTAAAATAGATCAAAAGAGAAGATAAAATAATGAATAAAAAGGCTGTGGTCAAGTAAATAAATACATTTAAAAAGTTGGACTGCTGAGAGCAACAGATTCTGGAGCTAGGTACACCGGCCCTCGCAGCCAAAAAACGGACCGGCCCACCGGGAATTCTCCTGGTCCTCCCGATTAGCCAATCCGGGCCTGGTAATCGCGCAGCAGGTGCTGCAATTTTGAGAGGTTCTGTCACCTACTTGGTCCCAGTCATTCCCGTGGCTGGCCAGCAGAGGTCACCATCACTGGACTTCTAACATTACGTCATCCTCAAACACTGATTGCAACACACCAGCAGTACATCTCACTGATTACCCACGCACACACATATAAGCAGCCCAAACACTCACTTTAGTGCGAAGTCTTGTTCTGCCTTGCTGACATTACTGAGCATTCATCTCCTTGCCTGACCTCCCTGTTATTACCTGGACTGTTTCTTGGCCTTGCCTTGCCTTGCCTTGCCTTGCCTTGCCTTGCTTGCTGCCTGCCCTGAACCCTGCCTTTTACCTCGATTTTGATCCACGCCGCCTGCCTCTGACCCATGCCTGCTATCACTATCCTTGACAGCCAGCCGCCAGCCTATCGACCCAGTATTACTACGTTTGATGTGAGTTCGCGCACCAGTACTTACTGTGTGCTTGTTATTATACTGTGTTTAATAAATATACTGCAAATGGATCCCTCTGTGTCAGACTCCTCGTTACAGGTTCATTCAAAGGGAAAATTGTTCAGACAAAAATACACAATTCAGGTCTGTAAGAGCCATTATGTTTGTTGTAATGCTGTTTTTGACCACTGGGTGGAGTGTGGATTTGGAGGAGTATATAGGTAGACATAAACTTAAAACAGCAGGTGTGTAATTAGAGGAGAAGCACAACATTTTTTGACCGTGTTTGGAAAGACCTTTGTGGAGGCATTCAATGTCATTTTTATGAGCATTTATGTACCAAACTGAGTGGAAATTGAGCCATAAGAACTGTTTGTTAAAAAAAATAAACCTGATAAGCAGTATTTGGAAGATTATTTGTTTGTTGAGATCTCACGCGTCAGAAACAACCCTACAACACCTCAAGTGACAAAATGGTCATTTGTGTCACTACATTTGTCAAAAAAAATGGCTTCTTTGTGGATCATCATGCATCATTTATGGACTTTCTTGAGGAGCAGCTGTGATGAACTGAATGAATGAAACAAAGGTATGTGTAGCGCTACTTAATGAATGACTTTGTGAGCACACAATAGCGTAAATCCAATGCTTTGGTTGCTTAAGTTTTAAAGTTGCTAAGAAAGCAAATGATTTTAATTTGTAAATATGAGTTAAATAAATTGTGATGATGATGGTGCGGCTACCTGTGAACAGACAGAGACTATTGTGCTGTTTGAGAAGGTTGAAACAGAGCATGTGAGGGAAAAGCGGCTCCTTAGGCTCACTCCTAAGGCATTATTGGAAAAATTAGAAACTCTGCAAAAGACAAAAAAGTGTAAACTAAGCAAGGCAAAGAACTTATTGGGTATTATAAAGGATTTTATGTCCAACCAAGAATATGAAAAGCAGGTGCAGTGTTCTTTTGAGAAATTCATCAAATTGAGAGACGAAACAAAGGAAATACACAATTCCGTGATGGTTCTTTTGCCCAGTGAAGAAAAGGAAAAACAACAAACATGGTTCAATGGAAAAATGTTGATTTTCGATGAGTTTGTAGATGATGTTGAGAAATGGTTGAGCACTGAAATTCAAGTTTCATGTTCTGGTGTTGATGAAAGGGTATGTCAAGAGGATGTTAATCCAGATGATAGCGTTTCCAACATCTCCTCATGCAAAACAGGGGCCGGTGACGATGGAGACTGTGCATTATCAATTGTACCAGTTCAAGTCAAATCCAGTAAGGGACAAACGGTAATTTAAACCTATGCATTTTAGGATCCTGGCAGTTCTGCCACATTTTGTTCAGAACGCTTAATGCACAGTTTGAAATTAAAGGGAAAGCAAACTAATATTGTTTTGAAAACAACGGGCATTCAAATGGCTGTTAATAGCACTGTTTTGACTGGATTGGAAGTGTCTAACCTTCTTGATGACACCTTTTATAGTCTTCGAGAAGTCTTCACTCTAGAAAGAATGCCTGTATCCAGAGACAACACTGTCACTCAAAGGATTTGGAAAATTGGCCATATCTGAAAGGTGTTGAGATTCCTCAAATTCCTGCTGATGTGGATTTGCTGATTGGAGCAAATGCTTCCAGGGTAATGGAGCCCTGGGAGGTTATAAACGGCAATGGAGATGGACCTTATGCAGTTAGAACCCTATTGGGATGGGTTGTAAATGGACCACTCCAAGGAAGCAGGAATAAGGTCAAATGTTCAGGTGTGACTGTTAACAGGATTTCTGTAAGAAAATTGGAGGATATGCTCAGTAAACAATACAATCATGACTTTAATGAGAATGCTGTTGAAAAGAAGGAAATGTCAAGAGAAGAGCATGCATTTATGGAAAAGGTAAGCAAGTCAATTGAGTTACAAGATGGACATTATAAATTGAATCTTCCTTTTAGGATGGAAACTCCCATGTTGCCAAACAACCTTTGTGTGGCTAAACAGCGCTAAATTGGATGGAAAAGAAACTTTTAAATAAACAAGATTTACCATCAAGAATATAAAGATTTCATGGATGAGGTAATTCAACACGGTTATGCCGAAATAGTACCGTTACATCAGTTAAAACAGGATGAAGGGAAAGTTTGGTATATCCCTCACCATGGGGTTTATCACCCCAAGAAGCAAACATTAAGAGTGGTGTTTGAATTTGGAGCTGCCTTTAAAGGTACATCATTGAATGATCAGCTTCTGCAGGGTCCTAATCTGACAAATTCACTGTTGGGAGTTCTTGTGAGGTTTCGACAAGAGGCAATTGCATTTATGGCTGATGTAAAAGCAATGTTTCACCAGGTTAAAGTTGCAGCAGAAGATACTGACTTTCTTCGTTTCCTATGGTGACCAGATGGTGATATCAATCAGGACTCTGTGGAATACAGGATGAAAGTGCATTTGTTTGGTGCTGTGTCGTCCCCAAGATGTGCTTGCT